TCGGCTCATGTGCCACCCGCTATTGGGAGCCTGTCCTGAGCCCCCTAGATATTAGTGTTCAATCCTGCCCCAAATTACCTTATTTTTTACTTATCTTTCTAAATATTGTATTCTCCCAATAGATTGTAAACTCCTTGAGGTCAGGAGCTGTTTTTCATTTTGTGTTTGTGTCTTCAGCATCTAGTACCATCCCTAACCTGTGTTTAGTAGGGACTTATTAAATGCTTATTGAACTGAGAGCAGCTAAATTCTCTTTTACTATAGTAAGTAACCTTACTCATCTTCTGTTTGAATGCTTCATTTAACAATTTCTGTTTTTTGTTGCCCAGTCCAATTTCTGTTTCCTTTTATAAAAGATATCCACTTGATCTTAACAAACATATAATCGTGATATATAATATGTATTTTAAAATACATAATCCTACTCTACCACCACCAATTTTATGTATTCTGTTCCTTTTAAATAAACTATATATGTATAAATATATAAATTTGTACATATTATATGTAATTTATAAATATATAATTTTATAAATAAACTCTAGTCATATGTTCAAACCCAACATCTCGCAGCCATATCTATGAAGGTAGATTAGTTTGCATACATTATAACCTCTAGGTCGCCATATTTATTACCCATACTTTTATACATTTAAATATCAGCATCTAAGGCCAGTTGTTTTATTGTTGGTTTTCTCTGTACTGATTTTCTTCTTACGTTGTGCCCACCATTCTCCATTGTATCTGGTTTAGTGATACATGTGAGTAATCTGCCTTTACTATTAAAGCCCAATTGACCAGATTTGTTAAATTGTGGAGAAGTTTGTTTTTACCAGCTCTTGTTAGGGACACTTCATCCCTGGTCAAGAAGCTATCTTTCCTGTGTTTTAAGCCATGAGTCAAAATTCTAAATCAAATTCCAATGCACCACCCGCTTAGCCTGTCTGTTTCCCACATCTTTTACTTCTGAATCCCCATCAAAGAGTCAAGTCAACAAGCATTTATTAAGTGCCTGCTGTATGCCAGGCATCAGTAGGAACTCCAGGACTACAGAGAAAGATAAAAGCAATCTCTGCTGTCAAGGAGCTCACAGTCTAATGGGAGAGACAACACGCAAATAGTTGAGTGCAAACAAGATATATACAGAATAAAATAAGATCATCAACGGAGTGAGGGCACCGGCATTTAGAGGTATCAGGAAAGGATTCCTGTAGAAGAATCTAGGACTTGAAGGATGGGAGGCAAGCCAGAAGATAGAGATGAGGAGGGAATTTCAGACATGAGGAATAGCCAATGAAAATGGCTGAAGCTGGGACACGGAATATGGTTGGCTGAGGAACTGCAAGGAGGCCAATGTCATTGGGTCAGATCATAGGCTGAGGAAAGTGAAGTATGAGAAGACTGGAAAGGTAGGAAGGGGACAGGTTATGAAGGATGTTAAAAGTATTTTCTGTCTGATTCTAGAGGGAGACACTAGAGTTTATCAAATAGGGAGAATGATAGAGGCAGGTCTGTGCTTTAGGAAAATCACTTTGACAGATGAGCAGAGGATGGACTGGAGTGAGGAGAAGTTTGAGTCAGAGAGACTAACCAGTAGGCTTTTGCAATAGTCCAGGTGATGTGATGATAAAAGGCCTGCACCAGGGTGTCAGAATATTAGGGGAAAGAGGGGTGTGTATATAAGATGTTGTGGAGGTAAAATTGCCAGGACTCGGGCAACAGGTTGGATATGGGGAGATGAGAGAGAATGAGGCGTTGAGGACACATATTGTAAGCCTGGGTCACTGGGAAGGTTGTGGTACTTTTAACAGGGATAGGAAAGTTCATAAGGGGGGGGTGGATGTTTGGGAAAAGATAATTAATTTAGTTTTGGACTTTTGAGTTTAAGGTGTATATGGGACATCTAGTTTAAGGTGTCCAATAGGCATTTGTAGAGTAAGGCTGGAGGTCAGGGTTGGGGCTGGACACTTTTGAGAATCATCGAGTTTAGCAGGAGTGACCTGTATGAAGCTTCAGTGAAAAAGCCTGAGTGGTCACACAGGCAGAGAACCAAGAGAGAACAATGTCATGAAAACCTGGAGAGAAGATGTGCCAAGAAGAGAGTGACCGTCAGTGGCAAAGGCTGCAGTGAGGTTAAGAAGGAGGATTGAGAAAAAAGATTAAGAGATTAATTGGTATCAAGAGATCATTGATAATTCTGGAGAGACTAGTTCCAGTTGAATGACGAGGTTCAGAAGCCAGACTTCAGAAAGTTAAGAAAAGAACAACAGGAAAAGAGGTAGAGACACCAATTAAAGGAATTTTAATTATGAAAGAGAGGTGAGAGATATGACAACAACAAGTGGGGGTGGATGAATCAGGTGAGCTATTTTTGAAGATAAGGAAACATGAGCATATTTGTAGATATTAGGGAAGTAACCAGTAGACAAGGAGAAACTGAAGATTAGTGAGAAAGTGAGGATGATAGAGGGGACAGTCTTTTGGAGAAGATGGTTTAGAATGGTGTCCTTTATACTGTAGAGTGATTTGCCTTGGCAAGAAGAAAGGCTGCCTCTTCGTGTGATACAGGAGTAAAGGAAGAGGTAGTGTCAAAAGGCATCTCAGTGATGTGGGAAAAGAGGAAGGGAGAGGAAGGAGCTCTTGGTGAATGGCCTTAACTTTGTCCGTGAAATATTAAGCAAGATTCTCAACTGAGAGGATAGGGAGAGGAAGAGTCATGAGAGATTTAAGGAGCGATGAAAAGATTTGTAAAAATCACTATGATGGGTGGGATACTAAATCGATTACAGAGGTGTGAAAGTATTCCCTTGCCTCAGTGAGGGCTCAGTTCAGGTTATGCAACATAAATGTATAGTGGACTTAGCACAGTTTTGTGACTTTGCCCAGTATTGTTCAGCAGCACATGAGTAAGATCAAAGATGGTGGGAGTAATCCAAGGCTGAGGCTTGGCAGGGTGTGATTGGCTTTAGGATAAGGTGGCAAGGGCCTTGAGAGAAGAGGACAATGTGGAATTGAACTATTTTAAGGGGTCAAGATGGTGAAGGCAGGAGAGTATAGCAAGTGCAGAGGCGATGGCTTTGAAAAGAACCAAAAGTTGGAGGAATTGGAGGTCTCTCTTTGGAGAAAGAACAGGATTAAGGGTTATAAGGTAGAGAAAGAGGTAGAAGGACAGCAGATTATGATCAGATAAGGGAATTTCAGAGTTAATGAACATGGAAGTGAAGTACTTGTGGGTGATTGAAAGATGAAGGGTATAGCATTCTTCCTGTAGCTGAGATGGTGTGGAAGAGTTCATTCATGGGAAATGAATAATTTGAGGAATTGGGTAGTTAGAGTGCTTGAAAGAATATCGGTATATGTGGAAGTCCCCTAGTATGAGGATAGAAGTTGGGGAGGAGAGCCTGTGAGCCACATATTGAACCCATTGAGGAAAGGAGAGTGTACTGAATATTGGTAGATAATAGCTACCAGAATCTTAAGTGGGTAAAAAATACAAATTGAATGAATCTCAAAGAAAGATGTCACTTAGTCATGGTGGTAGAGGGAAAGCCTGGACATGACGATGGGGGGCAAGGAGTATTCCAACGCTCTCATCTTATGCAATGAGTTGGGGGAGGGGGAGTATGAGAGAATGTGCAACCAGTGCTGCAAAGTGACTAGGAAATCTATGTCATCAGGAGGGAGTCAGGTAAATACCACCTCTACCCCTTAATTTCTTGCCCAAGACTTGATCCCCAGCAGTGCTTAAGTGATTTCTGGCTGCATCTTTTATACCCTATGAATTAGCAAGAGAGGGTAAATTTGACAAAGCTTGAGAGGGTCACTGTCATATCCCAGATACATACCTTGAGAAGGTAGCTAATCACTTCTGTTGTTCATGTTAGATTGGCAAATAGCTGTCTCAGTATTCTTCATGAGGAAATCACCAACTATCCCTTCTCTTCTTTCTTTGAAGATTCCTGGATTTCCTAATTTAGGCACTTGTGAATCCACATCATCATTCACAGGCAGTAGATGACAGTGGCATGATTTGAACCCAGGTCCTCTGACTCCAAAATAAACGCTGTATTTTGCTATTCTTCCTCTACAATGTAGACTGTAGAAAACCATTTCTTCCAGCTGTTAGAAAGGTGTTCCTTTAGTTATGGTTCAATAAAAGGGCAAGATTTGGAAGCAGGAAGTAAGCAAAAACAAACCAGAGATAATAGATATTGAAAACAGATATTGGAGATTTTGGTGAAGGGAGAGAATCAGCTTAGGAAGTGTGAGTCAGTAAGAGGCAAAAAGGAGAAGGGTGTGATGAAAAATGGGATTTCAGATCTTGCTGATAGAGCAGTGTCAGGGGCTGGCTAGGTCTATGGGAAGACCACTTCCATGAGTAGCTGAAGTTGAGTGGAGATGGAGGTCATGAACTTCATGGGTTGAAGAAGGTAAGGAACTAGGAGGCCAGTCTGTTAGGTAATCAATAGACAAGGTACCAAAGCTGAAATACTTGTGTTTAACACTCCATGCTAGGCGCTGGGAAGATAAAGATGAAATGAGAAGTTTGTAATCTACTAGGAGAAATAGGACCGTGTTGTATGCAGATCACTGTAATGCAACATATATGATAAATCCAAACAGAATACTTTGAAAAATTTAAGGAGAAAGAAATCCCTTTTGACCATGGAGATGATCATTTGTTTCATGGAGAAGCTGGGGAGGCCTTGGAGGCAGCTTAGTATTTCACTTGGTTAAGATGTTGGGCAAGACTAGAGGAGGAATGGGATAGGCATGCACAAAGGTGAAGTCTGGCATAGGCAAATTATTTTACCAATAATTTTGTCTTATGTTTGTAACATTTTGCTATGAACAGGACAACTACCCCTTTCCTCCACACCTCTAGCTATAATATTTCATGAAATAAATCAATTACCTACTTTATCAATTATGTAAATGTGAAAATATGTAAAATATGCTTTCTTAACTAGTATTATAAAAGTTAAAGCATTGATTCAGTATTTTAGATCAAACAATTTTATTTTTAGATCATAAGTCAGCATGAATATTGTTTAAAAAACAAAATATTCCACTTTAGTTGTATATGTTGAAGTATTTATGTATTACATTAATGTTATCCATTCTTGAAACAAAAACATTACATGTTTTAAAATAACACTTCATTTCTTATATAATTAATGGTAAATGTTGTTTAGTGCTAACATAACATTTGACATATGGAAAAATTCATTTAGGTTAGATTTTGAAATTTTAACAGTCAAGCATTGCATTATTTCATTTCATTTGGAAAGTAAATTGAAATGTTTATTCTATTAAAACAGGTCTCTGGGAAATCTTTGAACAGATTGCTAAATCCCAATTTGAAATCATAGATCTAAAAAGATTATTCATGACTCATCTGCAAAGCTAAATTTTTCTAACAGAAATTGATTACTTTTTTAAAGTCAGAAATAATGGTGTAATTGAAAGTGCAGTCTCATAAATACAAAATTTCCTAGTATACAATTTGTGGAAATGACCTGGGTGTGTTAAGACCAATTTTTGACTAGGATTCCATTTGCAGTTTAGCTAAGCTCAGAGAGCCCTGGCCTGAAAATAGATTTGGGTTCTGGCTTTTGCTACTAATCAGCTGTGGCAATTTACTCAACCTCTCCTGGACTTACCTTCCTCATTTCTAAAGTTAGGAGACGGATCCATGGATGACCTTTGCAATCCTTTCTGTCTTCAAAATCTGTGACAATAGATTTATAAAAAATCTAGTTTTCAAACTTGGGTGTATTTAACTTGAAAATGAACAGAAACATTTACAAATATGGTTTTAGTATATATAAATACTAAAAGTCTTAGTATAGCTTTAAGTCTTAACAGCCTTAGTTTAAACCTGTATAAGGCTTTGGGGATGGATACTCTGTATAAAGGAATTCCCAATATATTCCTGCCAGCAGTGTTATTATCATTTGATGTCCCTTTTAAAGTGAGATAATTTAAAAGCATCAAACAAAATAATAAAAAGCATTCATTTGTTCTTGGAAAGTTTAAAATATATATTCATAGAATTAGTAAACATTTTATATTTTGTCTTTATTGAAATGTTTCTTAGGAGATAAAATGGAAAAGTTAAAGGGCTTGGTTCTACAAGAGTTAGGGTCGGTGACTGAACCTGTGAGTGCAGGGAACTCTCTGATGAGGGAAATCCTCCCACCAATGCAGTTGGGCATCTTTGCAAGCTAGAGAATTTCCTGCAGCACTGAGAGGTTAAGTGACTTGCCCTGGGTCTCAGAGCCAGCATGTGACAGAGGAGGGAACCTGCACTCAGGTCTTCCTGGGAGCAGTGCCAATTTTCTATCCATTGGGCTCATGCCTTCCCGTTTTGTATAAACTGTGTTTATGTTGTTGTTTTCTTTACTCTGGCTTGGGGTTTGGCATGAGGCGAGCCAGTGAGGGAGTGTGGCACAAATTAGGGGAACTGATTTGATGTGTCAACAAGGCCACCAGAACATGGAAGCAGAGCTTCCATCCAGCTCCAAGAGCCTGTCTTCTAAGATCTCTAACAGCAGATCAGGGCAGTCAGTGTTAAATTCTTTTCTCATGCCTATTGAATTTTTAGACATGACAGTAGATCTAGATAGTGCAGCAGAAGACAAAAAATGTGGGATTCTTCATGAATCTCAGACAGTATTTAGTTCTTCTTTTGTGGCTATAGCAGGTATTAATTATAAGAGTGTGTGTATATATATGTATATATACACACAGATATAGATATAGATATAGATATATAGATATAGATATATAGATATATAGAGAGCATTTGAAGCTCATCCAAGAACCCTGTTTTTTATTATATATGCATTGCCAGTTAATTTAACAAACTACTCTCAACATATGAAAGAATTTTATAATAAGACAAACAAGGAAATAAGTCTACAAGTGAGAATGTAAAATTGCATCAAAAACCATCTATTTTGAGCAAGATTGATTAGGTAACTGAATTTAATTAGTTAGCATTGGCACTTATAGGGATATTTCGTTGATATCCATGGTCCTATCCATTATGGGTTTTTTCATCACCATTGCAAATTGCTCCTTCTCCACATCTTCTCATCCTGGATGATCCTTCTTGTTTGTCCTAGAAGACTTTGGGCTATTTTACTATTTCATATATTCCAGTGCAGCACATGTGCTGTCCCTTCATGACTCTCCCTGTGACTATCTAATTGGCCTATCTCCTTTCTAGCCATGGGTAACCTTGATAATTCCATGGTTATTGGCAAATGAAGTGGAAAGACAAGTGCACCTGTTTCCTAATAGGGGTGCCTAATGGTTTGTGCATTTATTTAATAGAGGAAGTGTTAAAGGGAAGTATGTTTTCAAAGGAAGGATGGAAAATAGTCTATCAAAAGCAGTACTTAAAAGGTGAGAGTTGTGCCTACTTTGATAATTTGATAGCTTAAATTTATATAGCATTTGGCAATAAAGCACTTTTGTATATTTAGCTAAGGGAATGTTACAGTGAGACACGCAATGAGTCAATATGCTTTAAATTTTAGCTGTCTAGTGAGTTAGCATCAGTCCTGGGCTCTCTGCTGATAGAAGATGTGAATGGTTTGAATTGGCCATTTCTGTTCTAGGCTTTAGCAGGTTCAACAGGTGTGAGTCAATTCTGTCCAAAATACCTTTGCCTATTAAACAGTCTTCCAAATGTCCTTGAGCAACAAAGAACTCTTTCTCTGGAGTGTTGGAGAGCAGGATGGAAGTAAACAAGCCTTAAGGATACCTTGAGCCATACCCCTCCCTCCATTTGATTTGGGGTATGTAACTGCATCTCAACCATCATATATTTGGCACTTTAATGAAACCAACAATGATCTAAAGACAGTAGTAATGCTTTTTGTGAATAATCTGGTGGCACAGCACAGTAGTTTCATTCTTAAAAAGGAGTTTTTGTTATAGCACATCTATACTGCCATTTGTCAAGTTAAAAAAATTACTATTCTCTGCTTAGGTGGCAGTTTTATTTTCTGTGATTTTGTCAGTCTCTTCTCTTCATGCAAACCTGACAGCGACTGATTATCTCTCTAGCTCTCCGGCTTTCACAGTGGATGGAGTTGGTTTTCTGGGGAAAAAAATATTAAAGAGAAAGTACTTGTTTAAATTAATGTGATTTAAGTCAACACACATTTAGCCAGTGTAAGTGCTTCAGGTATAAAGACAAAAAACCTCCAAAGTCCCATTTCTTAAAGAGATTACAGTGCCTGGCATGTAGTAATCACTTAATAAATGCCTGTTGACTGAATCACTGACATTACTCTGGAGGAGACACTGCTTTTAGGAAACAGGAGAGAAAATGTATTGTGAACACATATGTGCATAAATTTGGTAGCTCAAAAAGACAAATAACTCAAAAACATATTTTAAGAGCATTTTGTCATATAAAATAGAATTCCTGAAAAAAATCTAAATCAGATTTTTGCAGATTCATTTGTACATTAGAACCACTAAAAGGAAACCTATAGTTTCCTTCTTTAAAGGAAACCTATAGTGAAACTTTTTTGTGGTATGGATTTTTTTTCATTTATTTTGTTAAGTTCAAATTTGCATATACATATGTAACAGTTTTAGAGCAATCTATATTATTTTAAATAATGAGGATTTATTTTGTTATTATGTTGACATGTTGATCTTTCCAGTGACCGTAGCAGAATATTTAGTATAAATTATCCTATTTTTAGTTGAAAAAACAGAAACACCAAAAAGTTTAATAATTTGCTCAAGCTCAGAGAGTAAGTTGAGGATAGAAATTGAACAAATAAATCTTTGACTTTTTTCACTGATTGTTTAACTTGTTGACTTACTAGTTCAGAACTAGGAAGTCCTTGATTTAGAAAAGGGTAAAAATGTTGATAATGAATCTCTGGTGGAATAGAGAATAAATGATCATGTTACTGTGGATATAAGGGCAGTTGTGCCATTTCAATCCATGGTATCAATCAGCAAGTATTAAGTGTTTATTATGTCCCGGGTTCTGTGCCAAGCTCTGGGAATATGGAGGGAAAAAGTGAAGCAATACCTGCACTTAAGGACCTTACATACACTAATGAGGAGGATAACATATACATGTATAAGTAGAGGAATAATATGCAGGGGTTGTTCTGGGAGGGAAAGTGCTAACAGCTGGGGGACCAGGAAAGAGCTCTGGAAGGAAGGGGTGGGGGAGATTGGAGTTAACCAGGGATTCCCAGAGTCAAAGATGAAGAGGGAGAGCATTCCAGGAATGAAGGACAGCCAGTGTAAAGGCCTGGACATGGGAGATGTGACAACCAGCAAACTGGCAATTATGGCTGGACCACAGAGTTTGGGAAGGGGAGAATGTTTAGGAAGACTGGAAAGGTAGTAAAAAGCCAAGTGGTGAAGAGCTTAAAATGCCAGAAAGTGGGGTTTCTTTTGATAATAGAGGTAGCAGGAAGCCACTGGAGTTTATTGAGTAGGGAGGTGGTCTGGTTAGATGTGCCAGTTAGGTAAATCACTCTGGTGGCTGTGTGGATGATGGTGTGATGTGGGGAGAAACTCGAAACAGAGAGACCAAATGGTTGGTCTGTTGTAACAATCTCATTATGTATTCTAATAGGATCATAATAATATTGTAATAACTATTGTATTAATTCAGGTGAGAATTGATGAGGCTTTGTGAGTGGACGTAAGGGACTGTATTTGAAAAATGTTGTGGCGATAGGTACAAGTTGATTTCCTATGAATGATAACTTCCTTCCTGCCAGGAGCATTCAGGTAGAAAGGTGATTTAATTATTAATAATAAGCTAAATAGAATTTCTTAGGCCTAACTTTGTTTTGATTGGAGCATCTCCATCCCAGTTTTTGAAATCTCATGTTCTAGATCACTTCACTTATTGTACTGATATCCTTTCACAAAGTCATCACATCATTGTGTAATAATAATAATAATAATAACTTGCATTTATGCAGTGCTTTAAGGTTTGCTTTAAGGGCTATAAAGTGCTTTACAAACATTACCTCAGTTTATCCTAAACACAAGTCTGGGAGGTAGGTGCTATTATTATCCCCATTTTATAAATAAAGAAACTGAGACAGACTTAGGTTCAGTGACTTGCTCAAGGTCACACAGTTAATGTCAGAATCTGTATTTAAACTATATTTAAAACTCCAGACTGACTCTAGGTCTAGCACTCTGTCCACTGCGTAAGCAGCTCACAGCTTCCTAGTAAATGAATACTCTCCATGATATTAGAGATATTTTGTGTAGGAGATGTTTTGCTGACAGCTATGATTACATTATGTACTTAGTAATAAATGGCTCTGGCTACGATTGATTCTGAAGTGCTTAGATGTTGGTGGTGCCAATCTGAAGATGGTTTTGGTAGTGTAAGTGGATTCTTTGCGTGTGAGTCAAGTAACATCAAAATTCTGCTGTCAAAAAATTGGAAACAAAATAGATGTCCATTGATTGGAGAATGGCTAAATCAGTTGTGGTACATGTAATGGAATATTACTGTGTTGTTAAGAAATGCCAACTATGATGAATACAGAGAAGCTTGGAAAGACTTATGTGAACTGATGCAAAGTTAAGTAAGTAAAGCAAAGCAAACAACATATACAATGACTTCAACTATGTAATTAGAGACAACAACTGGAAATGAATGTTGCCAAATTACAAAGGATAAGCATGGCCCAAGGAGGAGACATGAAAAGACACCTCTGCCTACTCCTTAGTAGAGCCATGAGGCCCACGGATATGGAAAATTGCATGAATTTTAAGATTTTTTTCAATATTCACTAGTTTTACTCAAAAATTTTATTTATTTTTTCTTATTTTTAAAGTTATTTTTGTCATATGCAGTGGCCCTCTGGGAGGGGCAAAGGGATGAATACATTTAGGTGATATGAAAAGATATCCCTAAAATTTATTTTAATAACAAAAGGAAATTCGGTTCTAGGTAACCTTGGAGTAGTTCTATTGAGTTTTCAGACAAGGGTTGTCTTTGAATGTTTACCTGAACATTCTCCTTGGATTTAATGAAGCCAACCAGAAACTATAAGAATTCGAATAGTAGTTGCAGGTTCCCCTGCCGTGACATTCTATAAATGGATTGGCGCGGAAGTCTTCGAGGCAGGAGCCAGGGGATGCTAGTGCTTGCCCAGAGCCTTCTGAGCCCGCACTTGTATACTGTGAAAAACAGGAGCATTAGAAGTTATCATTTCCAGGCGCCAAACAGATTATCATGTGCAGTATTAGCCCGTTAAGCTGCTAAAAATAACGCTTGCTGTGATTCTGCTTCAGCTTTTTCAGTTACCATGACAAAAGAAAATCCTTTCCAAAGAGAAATCCAGCCATCAGGACATAAAGGGATGTCAGTGGTCTGACTGTGAACTGCTATGGCCATGGCAGGACCTTCACAGACTGTACATCTGTAACATAACAAAAAATGTGGCAAATACCACCACTTTCTGGCATTATAATCATCCTAGGTTGTGTGCTATACAGAACATTTAAACACTATTAAACTAAATTTTCATCATCTTATCAAAAGAAGAAGGAAGTAATTTAGTACCTGCTAATATAAGGCTCCACAGCTCTGCCAGTAATTGGGGCCATGTTCATCGGCATCTGTGCTGTTGTTGACAGCCAGTACGAGTAGTCATTTCGGGAAGCAAAATTGCACACATCATTGGTATTACAGAACAAGAATGGCATTGTGGTAAAACGTTGTAGGCAGCTACCGAGAGTTCCTGTAAAACATAGGATTGTGCATCTTTACTAGCTGGAAATTAATTTAGTATCTCAGCTAGAGGGTCACTTTAATAAGCCATAATCTAAAGTACTTGGAAAAAACTGGATAATGGCAAATTATCAATTCGAGGATCTTTTCTTTTTCTTTTTTTGGTGAGGTTAAGTGATTTGCCCAGAGTCACACACGTAGTGAGTGTTATGTGTCTGAGGCCAGATTTGAACTCAGGTCCTCCTGACTCCAGGGCCAGTGCTCTATCCACTGTGCCACTTAGTTGTCCCCAAATTACCAATTCTATGAAACCAGCATCTCCAAATTGTAACATTGAAAGGCTGCTCATATGACAACTCAATAAAATTACAGTGAGTTTTTTTTCCATTATGTATTTAGATTGCTTTAGGAGTTTTCTGGAAGGTATATGTAAAGAATCTTTGCTAAAATCACACTCTTCAGAGCATGGAAGTGATCCTGGGTTCTCAAACTTTGTACCAGTAAAGTGCCAGGCCTGGATGGCAGGTCCTTCCAAGCTGCAAAAGTTCCAACTCTAAGTCTGGTGACAGACTATATGTTTATTGGTAGAACAAGCCTAGCTCAGTTTGGGAGATTTATCACTCTAAAGCTGACCTCCAGCTGATCATTATTTTCAGCCACAGAAACTCAGCAAAACTGTCTTCTGTAGACTAAAAGAGCTGTGACGTACAGTGGTTCAGAGGATATCCACACCCATGAAATCCCGTATCCTTGTAGTGTGAGTACAGGGAAAGAACAGGATATGCCCTTGTGTCAACCCCACTCTGAATTTTCCTATATGAATATTCCTTGCTCAGTAGACTCTTGTAAAAAGATAACAAATTTTAGACTTAAAGGCAGGCAGATGTTTTAATTCAATACTACGTGGAATGAATGGGAGGAATATTTGGCAGGATTGTTCTAACAGTTATTCTGGGATGACAGTACAGACAGATCAGTGCTTTATTTGCCCTCTGAGCTAAAAATAAATATTGGAAGTAAACTTCATAAGGAATTTGGTAGATAATGTAGGATAGGACAATTGTAGGATGGTCAAGGTCCCAAGTGAAAACTTTTGCTAGAGTCAGGCGCTCCCATATTTCAAGAAAACAATAGGCTATATGGAAACTAAACTACTTTCTTATTGGATTAGGGGCACCATCATACTTGAATTCATCTCTAAACTCACATTTTTTCACTCTTCCCTTTCTTGAAATATATACTCTAAGTTGTCTAATGTAGAGACAGAGAAAAATAGTCATTTGGGTGAGGATATTTTATTTACTTCAATATCTGGTTGCCAGTGATTCGCATTGTTTTTAATGTCCAACTTCTGAGGCAACTTCACTATATGATACAAAGTTTTCACTCCTATGAAATAAATTATTTAAGTTACATCGGAGACATTACCAAGGTCTTGTCCGTAGGCTTGTTCATTTCCCTGTACATAGAGAAGAGAATAGCCCTGATAAAGGGGCACCGTTCCTCTGGGGCATGAAGGAATCTCTGTTGATTGACTGTGACGGGTGAAGATAAAGCCTCTGATAGATGACCCAGTTGCAGGTGGTCCAAAGTTTCCAGGTTTTCCTTTTAATCCAGGCAATCCAACTGATCCAGGTGGTCCTTAAAATTATATACTTAAATGTTAGAGGAAACATGAACAAAAAATTACTGAAAAGTATGTCCATCATCGCTAAATTCCTAACGTCACTCAAAATTGTTCAATGAAATATTCATGTATGTCTATTATGGCTTATACATGGAAATGTTTGTTGTGCCTAACAATAAGAACTAACATTTATATAGTACCTAATACATGCCAGATACGGTGCTGTGCACTTTACAATTATGATCTTATTTGATCCTCGCAACCACCTTGGGAAATAGATGCTATTATTATCACCATTTGACAGATGAAGAAACCAAGGATAAGAGGTTAAGTAATTTGCTCAGGGTCACAGAGCTGCTACGTGTCTGATGCTAGATTTGAACTCAGATCTTCCTGATTCCAGGTCCAGTACTCTGTCCAATGTACTACCTAGCTGCCTCACATATAATAGGTGCTCCAATAAAGAATGAAATGAATGATTGAAATGAATGAATGGGGGCATTACTTTTTATGATTTGGCCAAACAGTATCTTCTGATGTTTTGTGTTGTCATTCTTTGTGTACATGTGTTATCTTATCCTAATATACTGAAGCTCTTTAAAAAATAAAATTTCTTAATCATATTTGTTTCCTGTCCAATACCTCGGTAACTAGCACCCTATACATTGTAAGTACTCAAATATTCATTAAATGAATTAGCTCAAATATCAGAGATCTTAGAAAGCCAAACAGAATCAACTGAAATTTCACATTTTGAAAGAGGTATGTTAGCAAAACAATTATGAGGTTACCTGCCCTTGAACAGTAAACTCAGCAAAAATGTATAAGCACTTGCCATGTGTCAGGCATTGCTGTAGGTGCTAGGAATACAAAGATAAAAGTGAAGCCCTGACCTCAAAGAGCTTCTATTCTTCTGTGTGTGTGCCCACATAGAGATAGTTAAACTGATACAAAACATGTGATTTCACAAGGGGGAAGGGCACTCCTCCTGAAGGGAGGGGTGGGCCTCATGCAGGAGCTGCCACTGGAGCTGGGCCCTGAAGGGAGCTAAGGATGCTAACAGGTGTAAAGGTTAAGAAGTAAGAGCATTCCAAGGATGGGAGGACCTTCTCTATACAGGCACTGAGGTGGCAAGCGTAACACTGTGGATTGGGAATAGTCAGTAGATCAAGGTACCTGGAATGTGCCTCACACGAGGCAAAGTCATGTGTAATCAGGCTGTAAAGATCTATTGAAGCTGGATTATGAAGGGCTTTAAATGCCAAATAAAGGAGTTTGTATTTGGTATTTTGTCCCATCGGCACTAGGAAACCACTGGAGTTATTGGATAGTGAGGTTTTATGGTCAGACCTGCGCTTAAGAGATATCACTATGGCAGCCTTGTGGAGGATGAAATGGAGTGGGAAGGACCTGGAAGGAGGGGGATCAATTAGGAGTCTATTGCAGTGGTCCAGGGGAGAGATGATGAGGGTCTGAACAAGGGGAGTGGCACTGTGAGTGAATAGAAAGGCACAGATGCAAGAGGTGCTGTGGAGGAAGAACAGATGAGGGTTGGAGGGTGAGAGGGCAGAGTGGAGAGTAACTCCAGGGTCCAAACCAGGATGACTGGAAGAGGCAATCAGTGGTGCCCTCAACAAAAATCGGGGAGTTAGGAAGAGAAGTGGGTTTCAGGGAATGATGTTTTTAAAAAATAACCCAGTTTTTATAAACTAGATAACATAAATTACTTGGGAAAGAGTTCCCTCTTTCACAACTCCTGGCAAAAAAGGAAAGACGTTTGGTGTAAATGAGGTTTTGATCAATCTCTTATACTATATACCACTATATATACTTATACCACTTTATATACTATATAAGTTCAAAACGGATGTATCACCAAAATATTAAAGATAATGCTTTGAAAATCTTTAAAAAGAATCAGATTAGGTGCCTTTTGTACTATGTCTAGGGAATGAATTCTTAAAGTATAGAGGTGATCTCAAAAATAAATAATTTTAATTACAGGAAGTTGGAAAGCTTTTATGTGATCAAAATGAATACAACTTGGGTAAGAAGGGAAGCAGTTGACTGAGAAAAAAAATCATAGTACCAAAGAGCTCTGATAAGAGTCTAATGTTCAAGATTTGTAGGCAACTAATAGAAATATGTAAGACAAAATGGATTCACGCCCAAAGGATATTAACAAACAATCCTCAAAAGAACTGCAAATTATCAGCTGTCATATAAGAGAATGCTTCAGATCAATAAAAAGAGAAATGCAAATCAAAACAACTCTGAGGTTTTGCTTCATGCCCAGCTGTTCTCCTCCCCTTGTGAGTATCAGTAGTTTGCTAAAGTTTTCTCTGTGTGGAATGATGATTCTTATCTGGACTCCTTGTACTTCAAATAACTATTTTCTTTGACACAGAGATCCCACTGTTATGTATATATCCTGAAGAGACTAAAGACAGAATGTTCCTGTGTCCACCAAAATATTCATAGTAGCTCCTTTTGTTGTAAAGAACTGGAAAGAAGGTCTTACATATCCCCCGCACTTAGCACATTGCCTGGCACATTGTCGGTTGATTGGGGAATGGCTAAACAAATTGTGGCACATGAGTAATAGATTCTTACTGTACTGGAAAACATGATAAAAAAAATTCAGAGGATCATGGGAAGACTTGGAACTGGTGCAGAGTGAATTAAGCAGAGCCAGGAAAGCAAATTACATACTGTAAATGGAAAAAAAAATATGTATGTGTATCAAAGGTTGTATAATTATAGTGTCTGTGCTTTCCCCCAAAGAGATGAGAAAATACGCTTCCCTTCCCCTCCTTTGCAGAGGTGGGGCGCTAGGTATGCCTATGGAACAATGCTTATACCAGCAGACTTGACTGATGCTGTGGTTAGTTTTGCTAACTTGTTTATTCTCTTTTTCTTCTTTGTTAAAAGGAAAAGTGAGGGGTGTGTATAGGGGATGAGGGGGTTTGGGGGAGGCAGCTAGGTGGCACAGTGGATGGAGCACCTAGATTCAGGAGGACCTGAGTTCAAATGTCACCTCAGACATATAACACTTACTAGCTGTGTGACCCTGGGCAAGTCACTTAACTTCCATTGCCAAAAAAAAAAAAAGGAAAAGTACACCAAGTAGGGAAGGGGGAGGTATACATTCCAAAATGAAGGTGATATAAAAACAAAAGCTATCCATACGAATTAGACATTTCTAAAAAAGAAAGAAAATTATGTTTTGAACCTCAGTTTGAGGTACCTTTGGGACATTCAGGTGGAAATATCCAACATGCAGCTGGGGGACTAGAGCATAGGAGAAATGAAAGGACTACATAATGTAGATTTTGGAGTCATATGCATAGGGACAAAAATTGATCCCATGGGACTAGATGAGACCAATGAGAAAAAGTAAGTATAAAGAGGGAAGGGCCCAGGCAGAGCTTGCAAAGGAGACTACAAAGGTCAGGTTGGGAAGGTAGGAGGAGAACCCTGTTATAGAAACCCAGGAAGGAGAATCCAGGAAGAAGGCAGGATCTTTAGTCCTGATTGCTGTAGACAGGTTAAGAAGCCTGAGCACTAAGAAAAGGCAGCTGGATTTGGCAATTTAAAAATTGTTGGTAGCCTTGGACAGAGCAGTTTTGTTCGAGGGGTGGGGTTAGCAGTCAGAATGCAGGAGGTAGAGAGAAGTGACTGGGCTGAGACAGTGGAAAACACCTATAAACAGCTGCTTTCTCTTTGAGTTTGACTGAAAGGGAGGAGAGATATAGGATTGTAACTTGAGGGGATGGCAATGTCAAGGGAATATTTTTTTTTTTAAGGCTGGGGACATGTTTGGAGGGAGGAAGAGGGTGCCAATGGATAAAGAGAGATCAGAGATTACAAAGAAAGAGGGAACTGCTGAAGGTCTTTCCAATGCCAAAATTCTGTGGTTTGAATTGAAGGGGTGAGCAAAATAAGACAGAACAGAACACTTTGTGAGATGTTCCAGCTTCAAGAATCAGAAAGATAGATAAAAATAGAAGAAATAGTTTCTTCTCTAGGAGAGGTTATCTATTCTACCTGTCTAAAGTCAGAACTAACCAGCTTAATGAATTTTAACAGCCCTAAATCTTTCTCTGCATTTGGGCAAGCCTTATCCATAAGTTTTTACATATGGCTTAATAACAATCTGTTTCTCTATATACATTAGTTGGTCTTTCCATTTATTAAATATTTATTGCATACAATACTTTAAATTTATATTGTAATTCTAATATATAAAGTACAATGAATTTTTGTTATTCTTTTTCTGGTGGTAGAGATACTGAAGTTCTATAAAAGTACCCCATTTTATGCATTGAGCTAATCGTGGGAAGCAAATTTTGTCACTGATATTTTCAAATTAGGAAAATGTATTGGTCCTAAGCCATCTGTACAGTCATACAAAGCCTATGTTTTCAGGGTACTTTGGATTACTCCAGAGCCAGCATTTAATAAGGGAAATTGTTAGCCTTATATTTCAACTTTTTCAACTTTGGACTTTTAACATCTGTTGTATCTTATAGATTTGGGCATTTATATTAGAAAATAGGAAGGATATTTTCAATTTTTCTTAATTTAAAAAATTCAGTGGTAAGTGTTAAGTTTGAACAGCTGGTTAGTTTTCAACATGGATGCACAGAATATTTTCATGCAGCTTTGGCAGCAGGCAATATTTAATCCAGGTTGATCACTCTGACAAATGGATTTTAAAAGCCAAGTAGAATGTATGTGTCAAGCAGTTGGTTTGTGTCCAAGTACAAGATGTCAATAGAACAACCAAGGTAGGAAATGTGTTTATGATTTAGTTAAAAGTAGTCATTCTTATGTAAGCATGAAGATGCTTCTCCAGCAATATCTGTTTCATTCTTTTTCTGGTTTTACTGATAGTTGTTCTATCTAGTGACAGATCTATGTACCTAAAGGGCAGGATTGAACCTTATCAAATTAAAATATCTATTAATGTCCCATAACATTCTACCTGACTTGTTAGAAACTGATCTGTTCAAAATAGCCTTGCAGATAAAACAGTATGGATCACTTTGACTTCCCCTGTGTTCTTTTGTATTAGAGGCAGCCAGGCTACAGAGTGGATAGAGTGCTAGGCCTGGAGTCAGGAATGTCTGATATCAAATCTAGCCTCAGGCACTTATTGGCCAAGTAACCCTGGGCAAATCTCTTAACCTCTGCTTTCCTTAGTTTCCTCAACTGTAAAATGGAGAATAAGAACAGCACCCATCTTGCAGAGTTATTGTGAGGCTCCAATGAAATAATATTTATAAAGTGTTGAGCACAATGACTGGCACATATAATATATCTATAAAATATTCTTTTTCCCTTTGCCTTTCCCTTCCCTTCTCCTGGTTTTGGAGATTGAGCCATGTAGGGTTATGGAGTAGATGAAACTGTTCTGTCTAGTAATTCCTAGATTTCTTTTCTGTTCCTCTTGACTACTTCTCTCTGTGGTTAACAGGAAGGGTAAATGAAGAAATCCCATATTACCTTGAAGTTACACAACCTCTTGCTAAACACAACATGGTACTTATTTCTCTTAGCAAATGACTCTTTACAAGCCTAATTTTGTTGAGAAAATAAGTAGAGATGTATTTACCAATTTCTCCTTTAGAGCCTTTGTTGCCTTTTTCTCCAACTGGGCCAGGAATTCCTGGTTTTCCTGGTTTCCCTGGTTGACCTCTTGGTCCTTGCAGTCCTATTCAGCACCAAACATTGCATCATTACATTCATGCATGTGGAAACGCAAAACAAAAAACAACAAATCAACCACCATTCTCATACATGAGAAAACAATAACAAAAAGAAGTAAGGGGCAGCTAGGTAGCACACAGTGTATAAAGCGCTGGACCTGGAGTCAGGAAGACCTGAGTTTAAATGTGTCCTCTGACTAGCTGTGTGATCCTGGGCAAGTCATTTAGTCACTGTTTGCTTCAATTTCTTCAATTATAAAATGGGGGTGTTTGTGGTCTGTCCTTTGTTCTTGAAGAGGATCACAACCTCAGGAAGGTGATGCCATGACTTGCAAGTGAATTGGATTTAAGTGAGAGAGGGTTGTGCAGTCATCAGCCTCACTTTTTCCTCCAGGGCCATCTGGGTACAGTGGCCAGATATAGATCTGGACAGCTGGAGATGGCCCGGGATACAGTGGGGGACTTTGGCCTTTTCTAGCTAAGGTCTGTAACAGGTCTCAGTTTGACTGAGGCAATGTGCATTCAGTGATCACAGTTTAATAAGAAATGAGGCAGAGAATGGCCTCTTTACCTAGACAAAAGGGGAAAAAAAAGGATCTGGAAGGGGAAAAAAAAGGATCTGGGAGGGGAAGAACCTCAGAGTTCTGGCCAAAACAGAAGTAATTGCTATTTACATTCATTTTGAGCCAATCAGGGCCCAAACAATGACCAAGTAGGGCTTGGCCTGGGACCTGTTGTTGGCCAGTCAATGAGAGCCAGAGTGATTTGGGGTTAAAAAAAATTTCAGAGATTTTTCTTTCCCTTTCCCTTCCCCTTCTCCTTCCTTTTCCTCTTCTCCTTCCCCTGCCTTCCTTCCTTCCTGCCTGCCTGCCTTCCTTCCTTCCTTCGAAATGAAGACTTGAAGGCTCTCTTCAGAAAATATGTTTCTCATAACTATTATTATATATTATATAGTTATAATACGTGATATTATGTGATAAGTGAGTGAGAAAGGTACAAAACTTGCTACATGATGTCTGAAGAGAGAGGTTTCCTGAAGGAAGTAGCATTTGCATTGAGCACTAAAAGTAGGTAAGAGTCAAAAAGAGTAAGATGGAGAGAGAGGGCATTCTGTGCATAGGAAATGGACTAAGTGCAGCACCCCCAGTTTGGGAGTGGGTGGGGTGAAGCAGGGAGAAAATGGTACAGCCAAAACCATTTCATACCAGCCAAAAACAGTTCAAACCAGTGAAAAACAGTTCAAACCAGCCAAAACACAGTAAAAATTTTTTCTCAGGCCCAATGATTGCCTTAATTACCTGGCCCTTTGGATCCCCAGCATCCAAAACCACTGTTTGATTTATAAAAGTAGTCATTAAAGTCATCACTGTCTTTATAGGACAGTCTGTTTTTCTCCAGGCTCAGGATCCCCAACTCCTTCAATGTGCCATGCAGTCAAGATCCTTTATTATCTACTAGACAATCAACAGTCTTTTTTAAACTTTGTTTCTTGGAGCTTAATGCAATACTCTGTACATGGGGAAGGGATTCTTTTAATCTATAATTCTGTGATTAACAGTGCAAACAAGCTAGCAAAATCTAAGATGCAAGACCTAAAATTACAAATTGACTTTCAGACCCATGGCTGGCTGAGAAAAGTAGGATTCCAGTCTGTATGTTTTTACTGTAAAGTCCACTCTGTGTGTGTGTGTGTGTGTGTGTGTGTGTGTGTGTGTGTGTGCGTGTGTGTGTGTGCGTGTGTGTGGTTTAGTGGATAAGAGAAATGGTTTGAAGCCAGAAAGACCTAGATTCAAGACCTGCCTCTGTCACATAAAAACTGGCAATGTTGTATAATTCTGGGCAAGTCACCTACATTTGCAGTGTTCTGGGAAGCCTTCTGAGACTTAGAAATAAATGGAAGAGAAAGTGCCAATTTGCATAGATAGAGTTTCCTCACTTAGGAGTTGGGCAAAGTAATGCAATCATAGGTACAATCCTTGTCCCTACATGGTAGATGTTAGTTGCCTAACATCCCCCTTTTAAAGAGACTCCACTGTATTAAGCACCCATGGGCAAAGTGACTTATTTTATATCAGGAAAGGTTATCTTTCAGAGAACTTATAATTGATTATGGCATATAATCAGGACAAACATTCAAAACATATTTATCTAAAAAACACATACAAGTCAACTGATTTTCTTAAGGTTGTATTCTGTGATAGTTCAATATAGATTCAACACTTTTAGCTGCCAGCTAGATCACTGGGTTTATCATTGCAATATGCCGTCTGAAGTTGTATTTTTGACCTCAAAACAAATGACTAGTATTTTTTTTTAGGTGAGGCAATTGGGGTTAAGTGACTTACCCAGGGTCACACAGCTAGGAAGTATCAAATGTCTGGTCTGAGATCAGATTTGAACTCAGGTCCTCCTGACTCCAGGGCTGGTGCTCTATACACTATACTGTCTAGCTGCCCCATGACTACTGTCTTAATCTTGGGAAGCAGAAGAGTATATAAATTTAATAGTATAATAGATACTAGTTTAGAGTTAGTAGAACCTGAGTGTGATTCCAGACTTTGGTATTTATTAGCTTTGGCAAATCACTTACCCAATCTGTCTCAACTTCCTTATCTGTGAAACGAGAATAATAATACTTGTATCTCTCTACCTGCCCCAGTTGTTGTGAGGCAAACATTTTGCAAAGCTTAAAACACAATCTTGTTCATAGATTTAGAATTTTAAATGACTGCCTGGATCATCTGATCAGCTTCTTTTATGAAGGAGGCAACTGAAACCCCCAAATATGAAATGACATGTCCACAATTACAAAGGTAGAAAGTAGCAGATCTAGAATTAAAATGTATATTCTTTGACCAATTCTGCTGTTATTTCCAATTGCCAGGTTGTAAGTGTCAACAGTTATTATAGAATGACCTCTCAGTGATTCAGTTTCATATATCTGATCCCAACCTGGGTATCCTGCTGGTCCTTGTGGTCCTGGTTCTCCCTGCATTCCTGGGTCTCCAGGTTGACCAGGAGGCCCTGGGCTCCCTGGCAGGGATATAATTTTAATTGTTCCAGGGTCTCCAGGTTGACCTATTGACACAAACATAATAAAAAGATGATTTATTACCTTTAGAAGTGTTCTGTTAATCTTCATAAAATACCAAAAAAAATTTACCAGGAGGTCCTTTTGGCCCAATTGACCCAGGAGGCCCAAATGGTCCTGGAGGTCCTAGGTTGCCCTTTTCTCCTACAGGAAAAACAAAATTTATAATAATCATATAGTCGTTATACTTTGGGTAATGGCTTCAAGCCACTTCTACCTTAAGGTTTGTGATATACTTTAAACCAGAGGTTCTCAATTTTTTTTGTGTTATAGAACTCTTGGGCAGTCTGGTGAAGGTTACGAACTCTTCTGCAAATCGTGTTTTAAAATACATGAAATAAAATACATAAGGATTTCAAAGGAAACTATATTGAAATATAGTTATCAGAATATGAAAAAACAAAACAAGCTCACTGACACTGAGTTAAGAGTCCCTGCTCTACATAGAGACTATAGATTAGAGATATAGAGGTTAACATTAGAACCATTATTATGTATCCTGCCTGAGGCATGGCTCCAGAATAAGAGTTGGAGGTGACATGATCTAAACTCTGTCAATTCAGAGGAAGTTTCTAATCTTGACATTTGATGAAGATTCCAGTCTAATCACATGCTTGGCCAAGCTATATGCAGATGCACAAAGTGGAAGAGGCAACAAAAAACTCATTTTGTAGGTCAAGGGGTTCTTAATAACTAATTTCCTGAATTTAGAAACCAATTCAGTTTCTTTAAATTTTAGAATAGAGACATTATGAAGCCAAGCCTCATTAAAAGTTTATTATTATATACTTATTATCTCCTGGTGAGAGACACTGCTTAGATATTATGGTTGTCAGTGTTCTTACATCATTATTGGAGGTTTACCGAATACGGGTATGGCAGGACATCTCTTTCTAGTACCCTTGAGAGTAAATGTAAACCCTATCTGCTTTTTACCTAAACTTGCTAAATGGTGAGGTTCCACTTTTGTTTCTAGCCTTTGACACAGGTAAACTGAGGATAAGAAGATCCCTGAATCATGAGCCGAGGTATTAGCTTTTGCTTTGTGGCCCAAACCCGATTTAGCTATAATTGGGAAATATTTAACAAAATAAATAAAAATACAATAGAGCACTGATAACATGCGGTTTTCTAAGTCAATATGTAGGTTCAGGGATCCTTATGTACAGTTGAGTGCCCCTCACTTCTGTTTGAGTTTGACACCATGAACAATATGCTCACTTTAAGTCATCTAGTTAATGAATGCAATTTTCAGGAAATAAGTACGTGTCTTGAGTGAAATAAGGAATAGGGACTGGGCCTGTGATTTTGCTGGTATAGAGAATTCCTAAGTAAAGTGACTCCTGCCAAAAAGGGTGGCACCTTCTTTGCAATTTATAATCTTAGAGAGTTGCCTAGAGCAGTGGTGTCAGACTCATAGAATAGAGGGCCAAGAATCCATAGATAAGAACCCCTGTGCACTGCACATTGGCTTAGTTTTAAAAGGTGATATTATCTATGTTTCACTGCATTTTTACTTATTTTATTAAATATTTCCCAATTACAGTGTAATCTGGTTTGGGCAGTACCATGGAATGTTGTAGGCATCCAGGCCTTGCAAGTTTGATACCTCTGGCTTAGAGGCTGTGTCCAAAGTCACAGCAGCCAGTTCTGGGTCAGAAGCAGAACCAGAATCCAGGCGTTTCTGGCTCTGAAGCTGGTTTTCTTGTCACTATGCCACATGGCTTCTCAGGATTGAGGGGGGAGAGACAAAAACACAACACAATAAAAATATAACATTAATAGTGAAGGTGAATTGGTACAATTGTTCAGAAAGTTGCCATCTTAATGAAATATTCAGCGTGAAGAAATCTTTTTGTCCTTAACTTTTTGAATTAAAAATTCCCAAGCAAAAAATACAAAACAACAGTAACATTTTGTGGGACTGACTGGAAGATCCAGTGGCTTATCTAGGAGCTTAGGGAAGAGAACAATTGTCTTCGTTCTACAAAGTTGGCAGTATTGACCTCAGCAATTCTTTTGGGAAGATTTCCTCAGGACTTCTTGTATAGTCTACTGACATTGGTGTATTGCTTTAAGGTGTGCAGACTGCATACCCTACTTCATCTAATCCTTACAACAACCCTCACTCACTAAGTTGCTTAATATTTTTATACTATATGATGATAAATAAAAGTAGTGCAATCATCTTCATTCCACAGATGTGAAAAATGAGGCTCACAGAGACTGTGACTTGTCCATAGTCACGTAACAAGAGATTGTCAGAGATGGAATTTGAATATTGGGCCTTCTGACTTAAGTCCAACACTCAGGCTACCATGCAGCCTCAGCAAGCCTAAAAGTGGGCACCTTCTATAGTATCTGGAATATTTTCTAAGCTTAGAGGGAAGTGGTTGGCGCTAGGAATTCTTTGAAGGTAAGTGAACTATCTTGGCTGTCAAGTCTAGCAAAGCTTTTCAGATCTTCTCCTCTGATTTTTGGCTAATGTATTGCATTAAAGGGTCAGTATAAAGATTAGATTGAAAATTCTTTCTATTGCCTTCTGAAACCCATCTCAAATGTCCTTGTCTTCTACAACTCATTATTTTTTTGGTTCCATTCACCTTAGGTGAACTTATTACTTAAATATTTCTTCTTTGCATGGCAAAAACTTTCTTGATTTACAAAGAAAATACTATGGGAATTAACTGGATAGGACAAGATCATTAAGACAAATGCATTGCCTTACAACCTCATATAAAGGTCATGGCACTCAAAGGTTTGCTATCAATGAAAGATTCCTTGTTTATTTTCTGAAACTTTTAAAGTTGTTTTTATTTTGTTCTCATGGTGATATGCATTTCCCCTACATCAAAGCTTTGAATCTGGGAACTTTAGTCATCAGCTTATAATTGGAGATTGTATTTGTTCCCCCAGAGCAGTGCAGAGGACATTTAGACAAGTACCTGTCATGCCAGGAAATCCTTGAAATCCAGGATCCCCTCCAAAACCTGGAAAACCTGGGGTACCTGGCATTCCCTGTAATTTAAAACAAGGTAATTGCAGAGGAGTTACTACATCAAAATGTTGTCATAAAGTTTTCTTCTTGAGGTAGATAGTAAAATACAATATAATACTGAGAAAGTTGGGCAGTAAAGGTTGGCATAATTTGTCTATTTCAGACCAGTCCCTTGGCTAATCAGACATATTCCAGAGACAGGGGTTTTTCATCAAGAAAATCATTCTTTGTAATTTCAATGTAGTATGTTTAATATAATATTATTACAATATATTATTATATATTGTAAAATATATTACATATATAACTATATAATACATTATATTGTATATAATAATATGTACTAATATTATTATAATACAGCATTTTCAGAAGTCTACTAGATATAACTTTTTGGATGTGGATGCTTTACAGATGAAAGCAGACATTTAGCCAGATTAAAAATTACAATTTGTGTTTGTAATTATAACAAAGGTGATATAACAGATGGAATGGTAATGTCCAAGCCAACAGGGGTATTAGTTTACATTGTGTATGTATGGGGGGAGTGTTGAGGGAGCAGGAAATATGGGAAACCTGGGATAGAAAAGGAGCTAGGGACATTGCCAATTTTTAGGGATGACAGGTGCTAAAATGATCAATGAGTCAATCAACAAGCATTTATTAAGCACCTACTATATGCCAGGTACTGGGGATACAAATACAATAAATGCAATAATCTCTACTCCTAGGGAGCTTACACTCTTCGGGAAGAGACAACAAAGACCTGTATAAGTATATACAGAATAAATACAAATAAATTCAAAGTCGTTTGGTACCAGGTCAGAAAAGGCTTAATGTATATCTGTCAAAGGCACCACCATCCTTTCGGTCTCCCAGATTTGTAGTTTTGGTGTTATACTTGATGCCTTCATCCACATAGCCAGTTAGTTGCCAGATCTTACTGTTTCTACCTCATTTTCCTCACAGCCAACCCCTTCACTCTACTCACATAGCTTTAGGCCCACATCACCTCTCCCCCAGATTATCACAACAACCTCATAACAGATGGGACCTTGACACTCCCTCCACTCCACTGATTTCCTGCTGTTCCTAGGACAAAATAGAATTTCTGTTTAGCTTTTAAAACCCTATACAGTAATCTAGCTTTCCAGCATCATTTGACATTAATTACTACACTTCCCACATTCTGTGTTGCAGCCACATTGGTCTTTTCTTTCTTCTTCACACATAACACTTCATTTCCTGTTTCCATACCTTTGGCTGCATCACATGCCTGGAAGATATTATCTTATCTCCACTTCTCCACCTCATAGTCAGTCTCTTTATTCCTTGAAGATTTAGCTTAAACATCATCTTCTACATGATGCCATACCTAATTTTCCCCAACTGCCCATACCCCCTTCTAAAACTACCTTGTAATTAATTTGCATATATTTGTATTTATTCATTTTATACGTGCTTGTCTCTCCCATTAGAATCCAATCCAAATCCAAGAAATGTTTATTAGGCTCCTACTATGTGCTAGGCATTATGCTAAATACTGGGGATACAATTAATAAAAAGACAGTCCCTGCCCTTAAGGAGCTTACAGTCTAATAAGGGCAAAAGGAGGCAGGACAGCAGGGTTGGAGGAGATACCTGGGGGTACTAGGCAGGGGCATTTTGTTCCCTTGTTGTTGGGTCATTTCAATCATGTCTGACTCTGTGGCCCCATTTGGGGTTTTCTTGGCAGAGATACTGGAGTGGTTTGCCATTTCCTTCTCCAGCTTTTTTTTTTTTTAGGCAATTGGGGTTAAGCGACTTGCCCAGGGTCACACAGCTAGTTAAGTGTTAAGTGTTTGGTCTGAGGCCAGATTTGAACTAAGGTCCTCCTGACTTCAGGGCCAGTGCTCTATCCACTATGCCACCTAGCTGTCCCTCCAGCTAATTTTACAGATGAGGAAACTGAGGTAAGCAAGGTTAAATGACTTGCACAGCTAGTAAGTGTCTAAGGCTAAATTTGAATTCAGGTTTTCCTGACTGTAGGTCTGGTACTCTATCCATCACACCACCTAGCTGTCCCATCTTATTCCCTAGAGTTGAAAAAAACCAGTCAGGGCAGCAAATGTGGAGTGGAGTAAGCCCAGAAGTCCAGTTTCTCCTTTCTATAAAGAAAAGCATCGGGAGGAGTTTGGTACTCTACCCTCTAGCCCTCTGATCAAAGGGAAGGGGAAACTAAGGGAGGTGCTGTCAGTTAAGGCTTGAGTCAGCAGAATGGTGATAAAATCAGAGATCATGTGCTTAATCTGGGGGGGGGAGGTCATCTTGTTCCCAGGAGTCCGGAAAGAACAGGGCCTCAGATGCAGAGTGAATGCAATCTTATACTTGTATCTTTGACACCTAGCACATAATAGGTACTTTAAAATACTTGTTTTATTGTTGAGCTGTATCCTGAAGGAAGAGAGGGCTTTAGTGAGGCCCAGGGGCAGACAGAGTGAACAGTAGGCCAATGAAAAGGTGTGGAGTGTACTGGGGGAGGATCAGAGTTCAGTTTCGCTGGATTTTAGAGCATTGGAGGGATAGTAATCATGTATAATGAATATGGAAAATAAGTTGGGGCAAATTTGTGAAGGGCTTTAAAAACTAAACAGAGGAGTTTACGTATGATTCCAGAGGCATTGGGAAGTCATTGGAATTTGGAAGTCTCAGACACGAGTACTGAATAGATACCAAACTGCCAAGTAGCTTAGATTGGAACAAGAAGTTCCCAGAGGCTTTTAATCAAAGCAATAATTAGTCAATTTCTTTCACTATATAGCTAAAATGAATTCTGGGAAAATGCTACTGGTTGGAAGTAATGAGATGAGACATGCAAAAACATGCTAACAGATAACAATTTAAAAAGCTTTTTAAAGCTATGTTTGAGCCAGGAAGAGGCCATCTTCTCAGGACAGATGATGTAATGTTCATCTAGAGCAGTGAAGAGGTAGAATTACTCAGCTGCTTTTTTGCTTCTTCTCTATTAAGGGGAATGATCTTCCTATTGGAAAGGGCATAATAGTCATGGTTAGGAAACAATGAAAACTCAGAATTGATGAAGAAATAGTAAGGACTTGAGCACTCAGAAGGTTTAATTGAATTCAGGTCTTAGGACCCAGGTGACATGTTCCAAGGTTTGGAAATAACTTTTGATATAACTGTATCAAGAGACAAGTACATACATTGCCTTGTAGGCAATCTTTGAAGGATTACCGAAAATGGCAGAGATGGCAGAGGACTAGAGCCAAATATGCCATGGAAAGAAGCTGGAAGATCTAAATTCAAATCCCAGCTCTGCCATTATGACCTACAGAACATTTCACCTCTCTGGACCTCAGGGTCTTTATGTAGAATGAAGGGTTTCGACTAGATAGCCTATAAGGTCTCTTCTAGTTCAAATTGCTATGATCCTGTGAACCATCTTAATTTTCAAACACGGAAGTACTGGAAGCTACAGAGCAGTGCTTTTAATGTTGGTCTTTGACAATTCCAGCATAGATGATTAAATAGATTACAAAACCTGAAAAAACGAAGTGGTGATAACTAGGAGCCATGATGAGTTCATTAAGATTATCTTCTTTATTAGATTATAAAAATGTTCACTAGATTATAAAATTCTTGACTGAAATGACTATATTGTATTAATCTTCTAAAAATGCCCCCCAACACTTAACACAGTGCATTGCAGGTATTTAAGTTTGTTGAATAAATGAATAAAAGCTCATTTCATCTTCTTTTGTGATAAGGTTAGTAAACTAGTAATAGATCAGGAGACTTACAAAATAATATATCTTTATTTCAGCAAAGCACTCAATAAAATCTTTCATGATATACTTGTTAAGATGGAAAAGTATGGACTGGATGATAGTGCAGTGAAATGTATTATTGTGGCTTCTCTCAGTCCTCATTCTTCTTGATCTTTCCATAGCATTTTACACAGCTCACTACCTTTTCCTGGATCAACTCTCCTCTGGAGTTTTATGGCATTACTCTCTTTTGGTTCTTTTGCCTTCTCAGTCCCTTTGCTGGATCTTCATGTCACACCTACTAACTACAGGTAATCCCCAAGACTGTCCTCGGCTTTTTTTCCTCTCTCTATCCTGTCTTTCACTTGGTGACCGTATCAGCTTCCAAAGGTTCAGTGATCAGCTTTAGATCATCCCTATCCAGATGTATATATCCAGCCCTAGTCTTTTCTGAGCTCTAGTCCCACACTATCAACTGCTAACTGGATGTTCCCCAGGCATCTCAAATTCACAGATTTCATTGTCTCCCTCCACCCCCAAACCCACCCTTATTATTTCCCTATTACTATTGAGGGATCCACCAATCTTCTGGTTACCTAGGTCCACAACATCTGTGCCCTCCTCATCGCCACCCATATCCAGGCATTTGTCAAATTTTGTCACTTCTACCTCTGACTCTCTGCTCACACGACCACCACCCTAGTTCAGGCCATTACCACTTCACACTTAGACTATTACTTTAGCCTTATGATTGGTTTCACTGGATTAAGTCTCTCTCTACTACAATCCATTTCCCATAGCTGCCAAAGTGATTTTAGCCTAATATAAGGAAGAATTTTCTAATAATCAGAATTGTTTCCAAGTTTAATTGGATAATGTATGAGGTACCGAACTCTAAACACTGGAAATGGTGATGTAGAAGCTAAAAAAATCACTTTTCTGGGAAGTTGTATGAAGGATTGCTGTGTTGTGTGGGAGGCTAGTGTAGAGTAGATAATCTTTGGGGTATTTTTATTTCAAGTCAACAAACATTTTTAAAAGCGCTTATTTTTCGTAAGTGACTAAAGAGCAAAAGTGATAGAAAACTTGAAGCCCAAAAAGCCAAATGATCATAAGACATTTAAGTATGATATTGGCAGGAAGACAACAAGCAAGTGAAAAATGGAAAAGATCTGCTATGATTTCTATAAAAAACTCTTTTCTCCATCATAGATGGTGGAACTAATACTTTTGGGCTCTGTCATCACGGTGTTCGGGGTACGTATGAGGAAGCAGCAATGGCAGTCAGAAAAATACAGGCAGAACAGCCATACTAGCCCATATATACACACGGAAGAGGTCTGTACCGGAGGCAATATGCCTTTTTTTCCCTTTTGGGTGAGGCAGTCGGAGTTAAGTGACTTGCCCAGGGTCACACAGCTAGGAAGTGTCAAGTGTCTGAGGCTGGATTTGAGCTCAGGTTCTCCTGATTCCAAGGCTGGAGCTCTATCCACTGTGCCACCTAGCTGCCCCTGAGGCAATATTTTTTGGAGGGATTAAATGATCACTTCTTAGGATACCTGAAAGGGGGAAGATGTGAAATATTTGGGGGAAACACGCATAGGAGGGGAGATAAGATACATGCACAAATATGGTTGGCTGTTGTCCCTCATGCTCAAAGACCACCAAAATGACGTCACTGTGTTAGGGTCAAGGCACAGGGTGTCTGACTGTTGCTATCAAACCAATCTGAGCTTGGAAGGCTCTGCCACGGGTCAAGCATAAATAATCCATGTGAAACATTTGGAGTGGAGAGGTTTCTAAGTTAGTGCATCTCTTGTTTCTTTTGGGTTACTGCAATTCTACTTTGCTCATAGAGCATAGTGACTTCTTTGATGTGGGCATGCTGGGTGGTCCTGTGCCAGTGTCTCCCATGTCTCACAATCAACTCCAAAGTTCTTCAAAGAGACCTTGAGAGTGTCCTTGTATCGCTTCTTCTGGCCTCCAATTGAGTGTTGGCCTTGTGTGAGTTCTCCATAAAATGGTCTTTTAGGCAGCTATATGTTTGGCATTCAACAATGTAGCCAGCCCATCAGAGTTCCCTCTCTGCAGAAGGGTTTGAATGTTGTCAGTTCAGCTCAAGAAAGGACTTCAGTATCTAGTATCTTATCCTGCCAGGAGATCTTCAGAATCGTCCTAAGACAATTCAAATGGAAACGATTCAGTTTCCTGGCATGGCGCTGGTGTATCGTCTAGGTTTCACAGGCATACAGCAATGAGGTCAGCACAATAACTCTGTAGGCCTTCAGTTTAGTAGGCAGTCTAATACCTCTTCTCTCCCACACTTTCCTTCAGAGCCTCCAAAACACTGAGCTAGCTCTGGCAACGCGTGTGTCAACCTTATCATCTGTGTGAAAATCCCTGGAAAATATGTTGCCAAGGTAAGTGAGCTTATCCATAGTATTTGAAATTTCTCCATTTGCTGTAACTGATGGTTCCCTGTATGGATGGTACAGTGTTGGCTGGTGGAGAGCCTCTGTTTTCTTGTTTGCCAAAATTGTCAGGTCAAAATTAGCTTAAGCGGCAGAGGATTGATCCATACTGTTACATCTCAGCCTCAGAGGCTACATTAAGTGATAATTATGTGAACAAAAAGTCATGCACCAACTCTCCCTCAACAATTATAATTTTTTATATACAAATAATAATTATAAATTATACATAATCTATATTATATACATTATATTATATGTAATATGTTGTATTATATATTGTCATATACATTATAAATAACAATTATTATGCACAAATATAAGGCAGCATGAAATATAAATGCTTGGGAAATGTCCAAAGAGGTATTTATTTCAACTTAGGTGTTCAGGGAAAGCTTCACGGAGGAAATAAGATAGGTGTCGGGGCCTTAAAGGATGAATGGTGTTTTAACAGGTAGAGATAGTAGAGTATGGGGGGTTTATATGTCAGTCATAGAGTACAAAAGATCAAATGCAGAAGGACAGGGCAAGTTCAGGGAGTATCAAGTAGTCCAGTTTGGCAGAATGATCTTAGAATCTGTGAAAAGGAATAGTGTTAGTCAAGAAACACTTACTAAGCACCTACTTTGTGTCAAGCACTGTGCTGGGGGAACGTAGAAAGGTAAAAAAACACCAAACCAGTTTCTCCTCTCGAGGAGCTCACAATCTAGTGGGAGAGACAGCAAGCAAATGATAGTACAAACAAGAACTATACCATATAAATAGGAAATAATCAGAGCAAAGACACTAGCATTAAGGGTGATCAGGAAAGACTTCCTCTAGCTAGATGGTGGAATTTTTAACTGGGACTTGAAGGAAGTCAGGGAAGCCAGGAGAAGGAGATGAGAAGGGAGAGCATTCTGTACAAGGAGGAGAGCTGGTGAAAATGCCCAGATTTCGGAGACAGAGTGTTATATGAGGAACTGCCAGGCCGATGTCATTAGATTGAAGAGTACATGGAAGGATGGAAGGTGTAAGAAGACTGGAAAGGTCAGGTTGTTTTGAACACCAAACAGAGGATTTTATATTTGATCTTGGAGGTGATGGAGAGCTACTGGAGTTTACTGGGGTTTGGGGGTAGCTTACATGGTTAGACATGCGCTTTAGGAAGATCACTTTGACAGCTGAGTGGACAATGCACTAGAATGAGGAGAGACTTGAAAGCCGAGAGACCAACCAACACTGTTATAATAGTCCAGGCATAAGGTGAGGAAGGTTTACGCAGGGTGGTGGCAATGTCAGAGAAGAGGAGGGGGCATAGTCAAGACAGATTACAAAGGTGAAATTGATAGGCCTTGGCAACAGGTCGGATATGGGGGATGAGAGAGAGAGAGTAAGGAGTCAAGGATGACCCCTAGGTTATGAGCCTGGGGGACCAGGAGTATGGCGGGACTCGTCAATAGTAATAGGGAAATTTGGAAGTGGGGAGGATATTTGGAGAAAGATGACAAGTTCCCTTTTGGACATGTTGAGTTTAAGACATCTACAGGACTTCCAGTATGAGATGTCTATTATTGGTGATGTGAGCCTACAAGTCAACAGAGAGGTTAGGGCTGAGCAAGTAGATTTGACAATCTCTAACATAGAAATGATTATTGAAATCATGGGAGCTATTGAGAACAATAATAGGTGAAACAGTGTATAGCCACATTGTGGAGCCAGTGGGGAGCTACTAAAGGCCTTTCAGTATTTATGTGATTTATCAGAAGAGGTCTGCCCATTTGAAAATTATTGCAGCAGAGATGCCAAGTGTACATTTAGGTACATGAAAGTGGGGAGAGACTGGAAAAAGGAGGGGACCAAGTAGACTGCTGTAATAGCCAAGGCAGCTGGGCAGCACAGTGGGTAGAGTGCTGGATCTGGAGTCAGGAAGACTTGAGTTCAAATCCAGTCCCAGACAATCTTAGGCAAGTCTGTTTGCCTCAGTTTCCTCAACTCTTAGAATGAGGATAATAACAACAACTACCCTGCTCAGTTGTTGTGAAGATCAAAAGAGGTAATATTTGTAAAGCACTCAGCAGTGTCTGGCACACACAGTTGGCACTCAATGAATGCCTATTCCCTCCCCTTCCCGTAAGTGATGGTCTAAACTAGGGTGCTGGTAGTGAAAATGGTAAGGAAGGGAAGTATAGAAGGGATTTTTTAGGAGACAGAATTGATAGGATTTGATAATTGAATGGGGTGAGAGGAAAGGGAAAGAAAGTCAAAGGTGATTCTGAGGTTTTTGCCTATGTGATGCTGAGAACCGTGGTATCATTAAATAGAGACAGGAAAAGTAGGAGGGGACAGGTTTTGTGGAAAGATGGTGAGGATGGCTTGATATGTTCAGCTTAAGGTGTTAGGATATGTATCCAACTCTTCTTTGATTATATGAACACGTTTGAAACATTCCTTTCCTGAGGCACAGGGCTTAAAAGCAACTACAGATGGTCCTTAGATAAATTCTCTTGCTTCCTCTACTAAGCTGATTACAATGCTTTTGTGTCCAATGTATAAAAGGAACAAAAACCCACTAAAGATAATTTTCTTGACTTACCAGATGCCCGGGAGGCCCAGGGTCTCCTATGGTTCCTGCTGGACCTGTGGGCCCAGGGTCTCCTGGGAAACCTTTTTCTCCTTTTATTCCTGATGTGTATTCACAAGGTGGGCCTGGGGGGCCAGGATCACCTAAATTTACACATAGTCTGTCAATATTGTCAGAAGTCAGGTTCTCCAGTAATATCAGTGATTGCTATACAGGAGACCCCTTGAAAGTTACATTTACGGGGCTAGCTAGGTGGTGAAGTGTGTAGAGCACCAGACCTGGAGTCAGGAGCAGCTGAGTTCAAATCTAGCCTCAGACACTTGACACTTACTAGCTGTGTGACCCTGGGCAAGTCACTTAACCCTGTTACCTAGCCAAAAAAAGTTACATTTATTTTTTTTTCCTGTAGAAAATTGTTGATGGTCAATATAAAAAAAATCTCTTCATTACTCCTATTAGTATGGAAAATCTATATGTTCCATACTTCATGGATCTGTGGCTTCATCAGGGTGAATACTCCCTTTACCATCGTAGATGGAAATCTCCACTTATGGCAGCAGAGGTAAAAATTGCCACCTTTTGTGTAATGGTGATGAAGTTCTCTGGCCATCAGACAACAGGTATATACAGTTTCCATTTGGGTTCATATCTGAAGCCTTTCTAGCTCCTAGGACTTGCTGGAGCCTGTATTCCATTGTGTCATCTTTAAGGACCCAAGGTCATTTCTATGACCAAATAAAGCATGGGAAGAGAACTGTATTGTATTAGGGCTTTTTATTTTTTTAAATTTTTTTTAGGGCTTTTTATTTTTAAAAATTGCTTTCAGTATTTATTTTCAGGGAGAAAATTGTCAAAGTTAATGTCTCATACACTACATTTTTTGATTCAAGCTTTTTTTCTGAACATCAGGTGCAATTTATATACTGTTTTCCAAGTTAATTTTTTATTTATCAGAATTAAAACTATCTGATTATACATTTTTACAATATTATTGATGAGACAGAAAAACAAATGACTGTTTTTAATGGAAAATGATTCTTGACCATTCATTTAAGGTAGTATTTTAAAAAGATGCCACTCACTGTGCAGTGGCTGGAATGATAGGAAAACATTTCTAGTCTTCTCTGTTTTCATTTGCAGGTTTCCATTAGATTTTACAAATCACATGAACAAATGTTGAAAACAAATTGATATGAAGAACTGGAATGTGTGTGTTAGAGGAGAAAGTCTTTAATTTTTAAAATCTCCATGTGCATTTCCAAAGGCAAGATGCCTCAAGGAACATGTAAATGCTGACTTCACTCCCTTTTTATGGAGAGGTGATTTAGAGAACTGGTCTGAGTTTGGGTGGCGTCAGACCAGTGATGGTGTAGGTAATGCGCTGGAACTGGGAGAGAGAGGACTCCCAGTCCTGGTATGCAAAATTGGGGGAAGATAATGAGCTCCCTTTTGAACATGTTGAGTTTAACATGAACACAAGACATCCCGTTTGAGATGTCTGTTAGGCGCTGGAGATGAGCCTGAAGGTCAGCAGAGAGGTTAGAGCTGAAGAAGTAGATCTGACAATCATCAGCATAGAAATGTTATGGAATTTATAGGAGCTGTTGAGATCACCAAGTGAAATAGTACATAGCTGTATTGTAGAGCTAGTGGGGAGCCATGGGCCTTTCAGTCAATCAAGGTAGTTACATGATTTTCCCCCAGTATGAAATCAGGGTAGTTATGTGATTTTTCCCCAGTATGAAAACATTTGAGAATCTCTGGGGTAAAACATCATCTCGACATTAGTTAGACACATAGTTGTATTTTTTGGTTTTCCCCCCAAATGTTTAGAAGTAAAAACAAATACCTGGATTTCCTCCCAAGCCTGGAGGACCTTGATTTCCTTTTTGGCCTGGAATTAGTGCACCAGGAAAACCTGGTGGCCCTGGTGGTCCAGTCATGCCAATGGGGCCTATTGGTCCCACATCTCCCATCACACCTTTTATACCATAGATGCCAGGTAACCCTGGCCTTCCTTCATTTCCTTTGTCTCCTGTAGAGAAGAAGGTTTGGTTGATTTTCAGAATGTTCCTCTGGTTATGATTGCATGATAACCACTATCAAGAAGTGATTCAATTAGCCAACTAATAGGATTCCCTGCTTCAATTCTCTCCTCTCTTCAGTTTATCCTGCAGATATCTGCAGGTGTGACTTTCCTAAAGTGTAGGTCTCTCCCCTAGGGGCTCAGTAAACACCTGTGGCTCATGGTAACCTCTGGGATCAAATATAAACTCCTGTTTGGCACTTACATCCCGTAACCATTTGGTTCCCACATAGCTTTTGAGCTATTAGGCATTATTCCCTTGCACACAAAGTCCAGTCCAGCCCAGCCAAATTGATCTTACTGTCCCTCGTACATGATATTGCACCTCCCAGCATGATGCTCTTATGGTGGCTGTCCCCAGAGCCCGGGATGTACTCTTTCCTCAGATATGTCTTTTTGAATCCCTCAGCTCAGCTCAAGAACCACCTTCTATGGGAACCCTCTCATCTTGCTAGTGCCGCCTCCCCGCAGTTTACCATGCACTTGGTCTTTAGGTATTCTCCTGATCCCCCTTTCAAGTTGTCTTTAAGGAAGGGGCTTTCACTTTTGTCTTTGTATCCCCAGCGCCTTGCACATAATTGGCACTTAGTGAATGCTTGGTGATTGATTGGTCATAAAGGTTAGACCCGGAGGGATCTTGATGAACAGTCCTCAGCTCCTTCATTTATAGACGAGGAAACTGAGCATGAGAGCGTGAAGTGACTTGCCCAAGGTGACACAGCTAGTCTGAGGTAGAATTGAACTTATACCTGGGTCATTGAGTCCTGACTCCAGTCAAGTACTATTATCATGCTTTCTCCCTAGTCCGTGACCTGGACAAAACATAGCTTTTTCATTCCTCGTGCATTCTACCTTTGTGTTGTACCAGGAGGGGAGAGAGAGAAAGAAACAATTAGGTGGGGCAGGAAATGGGCTTGATAAGGTGGAAGATATTTGATGCTCCATAGCTAATGATAATATGAATCTGGACAATGTCAATAATGTTTTACCCATCAGCCAGCAAGCATCCAGGAGCCATTGTTAGGCTTTTCATGGTCATATTGGTAAAATATTAGATGAGACCAGGGTTCTTCACATCTTGTCTAGACTACTAACACTCTCTAGGTCTCCTTTTCTTATTAACTAAAATGAAGAGGTTAGACTAGGTAAGGATTCTATGTTAGTGAGCAGCAGTGGCTGTATTTGTATTTTGTAATTTGTATTCTGCAGCCTCAGATTGTTAAAATTCTAAGCACTATTTTAGGGTAGGGACCATATCCTACTTATCTTTGTATCTCCTAGAGCATCTAACATAGGCTTATGCTTAATAAATGTATGAACAAGACACACGAAATTCATCTCACTAGTAGTCGAATCACAGTTCTGAATTTTTATACTCTGTGATGGTAAAGATAATTTATATTTGAATGCATGGGATTCAACTGTCCAATATTTCTATTCGGAGTACTTTGATTTTAAGCATATCAGAGTAAGACTACCCACAACCTGGTGTAACATATAGAAGGATGGCCTTGGTGTTTGGAAGACATGCTCCTGATACATACCAGCTGGGTGACCAAGAACAAGTCAATTAACCTCAGTGTCCCCAGGAAATTCTCCAAGCTGTAAATTACAGTTGAGTTGCCATTTGATTGGATGGCAGAATTTCTCTGTTAGATGTTACCTGTACTGATGAAATCACAGGTCTAGAATCCTCTCCCATTCCCCTTAACCCCCCAAGAATTTTATCAGGTATACACAATTGGAGGCTATTTCTTGAAAATATAAGATGTGAGATTTAGGGGAGAAGAACATCTTACCTTGTAAACCAGGAAGACCTCTTGGACCTGGAAGTGCCCCTAGCAGACCTGGGGAAAAATTTCTGGATATTAGCATTATGTGTATCCTATATATCTATGTGGTTCATTTAAGCATTGCATGAGAAGAAAATCTAACTGATACATTGTTATTTTTCTGCTTTTTGGGGGATAATATTTATTTTAAAAATATGCATAATAAAATATTAATTCTCACGATGGCTATATAAAAATATGTATGTCTCATTCTGTACTTTAAGTTTATCACAGCTCTGTAATGGATAGCATGCTTCACCATCAGTCATCTGGAATCACAGTCACTGTATGGATCATAGTCTGTATAGCTTTTAGAGTTGTTTGTTTTTTACAGTGTTGTTCTTATTGTATAAATTGTTCCCCTGGTTCTATTCATTTTATTTTTAATCCATTTATGAAAGTCTTCAAAATTGTTCATTTTTCTAATATTGATGTTAGGGTATAAACTGTTTTTCTGATTCTGCTTACTTCATTCTGCATTAGTTCAAGTACATTTTTTTTCATGTCTTTAAAAAAAAATTTTCATTGATGTCTTTTGTTTTTTACATTACCATAGTATCACATGTATTCACCCTTCGCTCCCTGAGAGCCACCCATATGACAAATAGTGGTTTATTTGGTTTTTAGAGAGGAGAAAAATCAGCATAACTGATCAATACATTGAGAAAAGGCAAAAATATATGCAGTGTATAACACCTGTGGACCTCCACCAAAGGCTAGTTTGGGATTGTCCTTTCATAAATCTCTATTTAAGTCCTGCTTGATCTTTATAATTTTGTTACATTTACTTTAGAGTTTTTGGTGTGTCACTGTTCTTTTCATCCATGTCTTTTGGAAATCAGTCTCCTCATTTCTCACATCTTCTAAATTCATATAATTTATTAAGCATTTTCTGTCACTCAGCGTATTTTATGCTGACCTCCCCCAGTATACAGTACATTGTCTGAAAATTTCAAAATAAGACAACTTTCTCCCTGCTCTCAAAATAAGCTATATCACAATAGAGGGAAAAAATAATCATACATTGGGGTCAAGGACTGGGTTCTTCCCTGGAGGAAGTCTCCAGCCAAGTGTCATGGTCATAGTCATGCTCTGATACTAGAGATTTTCATTCTTAAGAGTAGAGGCCAATGGAAAAGATAGGCCAGAGAGGCCCTAAAAAGGAGTTGGTGAATATATAGATTCGGCATCTTCTGTTTGTATCACAAAACACTATGTCTCCTACCTCATAATTCAAAAAAGATGTCCACTTTGTAGACTTCTCTCTTAAGAGAATGCTGGTCCCAGACATGATGCAGACCATATACTTATTTTTTCTTAGACTCAAAAGCTAGTATCCAAGAGAACATGATGGTGAAACATCTCCTCTCCAGTTCTCCTTTCAGGGGTCTTACAAAGGCCAGCATCCCCAAGCAGAACTGTTTCTATCCTCCCAATCACCTCCTCATAATGTTTCCTTCCCAGACATGAAGCTCTGAGGTATTAGAACAGTGACACATAGATCGGATCTCTCCATAGCATAATCTATCTTCTTCCATGCATCTCTTTCTCTTGATGTTTTCATATCTATGGACAAGATGATTCCAGGATGGGCAGTTTCAGAATCCAGATTGATTTCCTCATGGAATTGTGTCTTGATCACTTTTCTCTGATTCATGCTTTTCATCAAGTGAGGTTTAAGCATTTAAAGGACTGTGCCACTGTCCCCCTGATTGGGCTGGAAAGTCCTCACAACAGAAATTCTCTGTCATTCAGGATGTTTAAAACTGCCCCTGGAAGCCCTGTGAAGATGCAGGAAAATAATTCTTTGCATAAATTGTGACTACATTCTATAGATATGGCACGTATGGAGAGATCTAGGCAGATGGGAACTTCAGCTCTTCTGAGAGACTCAGAGTGAGATACAAGGCCATGACTCTTGAGATGCCTCTGATTTAGGCCTTTCCTATGTTTGGAGCCTCCTAGATTTCTGTTTCACTGTTGTTTCCATTGGTGAGATATATTCTAGGGCGGAAATATATTACAAATTCATCAAGCATTTGACTAAGCAATCACTGTGTGCCAAGCACTGTGTTAGGTGCTGGAGATACAAAGAAGAAAAAAGAAAAACAGTAGATACCCTCAGAGAGCTTATATTCTAGAAGCTGGATTTATTCAACAACAATAATAAAGTTTTTCAGCTGTGAAATAAGTGGATTCAAGGTAATATGAAAGTCATACCTAGTTCTCCTTTTTCTCCTGATGGGCCAGGAAATGCATCCCCACCTTGTTTTCCTTTTTCACCCATTGGTCCAGGAGGTCCTGGGGCTCCTGGAGGGCCTAGAAAAAGGACATGCCAACCAAAAAGAAAATATATTTCCTTCTTACTCATACATATTCTCAAGCACAAGGAAATGGTTTGAGATTTTGTTTGTTTGTTTTAAAAGACTAATTATACGAGGTGTAGGTAGGTGGCACAGTGGATAGAGCATTGGTTCTGAGTCAGAAGGAACTGGATTCAAAGCTAGCTTCAGCACCTACTGGTTGTATGACTCTGGGCAAGTCACTTAATCCCAATTGCTTAAAAAAAAAGGTAATTAGTCAGAACCATAAATGTTAATTCTGTATTAAATGTAATTGCTATAAATAAGTAAATATTCCCATTAAGATCTTCATGTTGGAAATTCTGAACTGATGGGGATTTCATTTAGGTGTGTGTACAGAGTACAGTTTAATACATTTTTTTTCCTGAATCTTATACTGAATAATGGGTACTACTCTCCAAAATTCTGAGCCAGAGATGGATGAGTAATTAAGGGAACAGCCATAATTAGATATACAGAGATTCTGACTTTAGAAAACAAAAAGATCACATTTGTACTAAAAATTTTCTATCTTATGTCATCTTATAGTTGAATTCTAAGGGTAGATTACAGAGAAAATAAAAGTGAAACCTGGAGGTCCTTTCATTCCTGGAGTACCAGGGAAACCTTTGCATCCTTTAAATCCCAAATCACCAGTAGGGCCAGGCTGTCCTGTAAACAGAATAATAAAGAAAAATTTAACAAAATATTACAGCTATTTTAATTGAGGTCAAAATAACAGAGATGATCTCCCCATGCTCTTTGTTCCATATCATCACCCACCCACCCAATTACCCCTGGTAAGATGCTAAAACTGGCAGTCGATTCTTCTTTAATACTCAGGTTGTACCAATATGTGTAGCAAAGTCACTCTTGAAAGATTTGGCCCTGAGATTTATTTCCAAGCTGCTGATAACCCATAGCCAATTGATTTATTAATAGCAAGAAGATCTCTTAGGTCAGAGGTGTCAAAAATGCCCCACAACACTCCTCAGTGGGGTCCCGACCAGATTAAAATGAAACTGGGAAATATTTAACAAAATAAATAAAAATGCAACAAAACAGACAATGTTAGATTTTAAACGGAAGTCAATGTGTGGCCCCCGGGGATCCTTATGTATCCCTGTTTGTGTTTGAGTTTGAGACCACTTTAGATAATCTTTGAATCTATAATTTTATGTAATTTTGTTGGTACCCTCAGTATCTGCTATTGAACCATGAAAGGTTCCTGACAGCAGTTTTAGTAACAAAAGTACTGAACTTTTCAGATTTTGATAAAAAGAATATAAATATTACCATTAAAAATGTATCTGGAAAATTCATCCCATAGGTTGGTACCGATAGTTCTGGCTCTCAGTTCTAGACCCAGAAGGGAGCTCAGAGGCCATGTAGTCCAAACTTATTATACAGACGAGGAATATCAGCCTAGGGAAGTTAAGTGATGTGCCCAAAGTCACATATGGAGTGTCATGGGTGGAACTTGAACTCAGGTCTTCTGACTCCAGAGCCACTGCTCTTTCTGCTGTGCCATGCTATATCCTTTACTTGCTTTTTATAAGCATTAGAACAAAGTCAGAATTTGAAATTAAAATTCTGTGCCAGCAAAAAACAAAGCTAAGTGTTAAACCTGAAACTTCAAACACACACACAGAGTTAGAAGAGTTATACCATAGGCAGCTGACCCTGGTGTCTCTGTGTTTACTCAGTTTAGGCAGTGATGGTTGGGTCTCTGCCGCTACTAGGAGAGGGCTTACATGTGTCAGTGATTGGGGTCAATCAACAGCTATGAAAGGGAGAACCTGCCTGGAAGGGCAAGGTTGTGATTTAAGCTAAAATCCAGGAATGTCAGCAGGATGCTGTGATGAGGTGAACACAAGGGTTCACCAGGCTAAATAAATCCAAAAGGAGAGGCATTACTTAAAAAAACATCAGTCCCAAAATGGGGCTGGTGAGAAAATTCAGCACATGTGAGTCAAGGAAAATGCCGCAGAAGCAGCAGCATTAGACATGGCTCACCTGAGACAGTATGTATTATAGGAGAGACAACATCCTTTCATAAGCAACATGCCTCTCATTCCTTCTGGGGCTTTATTCTAGGCAGAGATCCATTCCTTTCCCTCCTGGCTCTGCTTCTGACTTTCCAGACTGACACCAAGCCCCTGTGCAGGCACTTTCCTTCCTCCTCTGACCCTCTCCCCACTTCTCAGCTTCCTTTTATGTGTTGACTTCCTCTGTTAGAATGTCAGCTCCTTGAGAGCAGAGGTTGTCTTTCCTTTGGCTTGTATTTGTATTCCCAACACTGAGTACACTGCCTGTCACATAATAAGGGCTTAATAAATGTGCGTTGCTTGCCTGCTGCCTGTTCCCTGCCTGCCTGCCGAGGATTCTATCCATGTAGTTTGGGCTGGAGGTACACCCATTTTATGTGGTCATATGGACATAGGTTGGGTGCTTAGCAAGAATTATCTTAACTTCCAAATTGTGAACCTCCTGCTCACACTGCTAGTTTTTGAGAAGGTCTAGGTATCTAGACTTCAGGAAGACAGTCAGACCTGATTCCTTATGTCCAAAGGCTTCCCAATGGTGGTCAGTATCTCATGTCACTTGAGAGAGAGAGTCTTTAATTTTTTTTTCATATTTAAAATACATTTATTATTTATTTTTAACATTAATTTTTTAAAATTTTGAGTTTCTAATTCTCTTCCTCCCTCCTGCCCCTCCCTCCCACTCCTATTGAGAAGGCAAGCAATGTGGTATCAATTATACCACATTATATATGTATAATATATAATATTAAATATTATGATATGTTATTATACATTATATATTGTATATAATATGAAATCATGCAAAACATATTTCCATATTAGCTATATTGCAAAAAAGAAAAGCAAGAAAAATAAATAAAATGAAAAATATGCTGCACTCAGATTTCATCAATTCTTTCCCTAGAGGTGGATAGCATTTTTCATCATGAGGCCTTCAGAATTGTTTTACATCATTGTATTAGAGTGGCTAAGTCTTTCACAGTTGATCATCAGTAACGATATTGCTGTTACTGTGTACAATGTTCTCCTGGTTCTGCTCACTTCACTTTGCATCAGTTCATATAAGTCTTCCCATGTTTTTTTGAAACCATCTAAGGATGGTCCTTTAAAGGTTGTCATCCGCCTCTGTCCTCTATCCCTCTCTGCACAATTCAATAACCACTACAGACAGCTTAGTTTTGTGGCCAATTTTAAAAAACAAATTAAATTTAAAACAATTAAAAAACAAAATAAATTACCAGTTAAAGGAATAAATATTTTTTTTCTAAAGCTCAGTTCTGATCTGAACTTTAGTGACTCCCTATTACATGTGGGATCAAATAGAAAGTTCTCAGTCCTTTCATGCTCTTCACAATCCAGCCTCTTTTTGTTTTTCCAGTCTTGTAATGCATTACTCCCCTCTGTATATTCTGTGCTCCAGGTATAGTAACTAAATTTTTATGGTCCAGGCATATTAACTTAATTTTTGTTTCTCATACATGACCCAACATTTCCTGTCTACATGTATTTGCACCAGTTGCCCCCATGCCTAGAATGTTCTTAACTCCGTCTCTTAGGATACTTGGCTTACTTCAATACTCGGCTGAAATGCCATCTTCTACAGACCTTTCCCCATACAGTGCCCACCAAGGTGATTCAAAGCACACAGACAGTGCTTTAATAAATGCTTGTTAACTGATGAATGTAAAAATTAAATGAAGAATCGAAACTCTTAGTGTCTGTTGAAGCAGCCAGGAAAGAATAGTAGAAAAAGAGGAATGAAGAAATGATGCTACACAACTTGGCTTTTCCTTGGAGGGAGAACAGAAGGGAGATTGGGTCTTGGTCTCTTCTCTTTTTGACTTTTGCCTGGCTAAGCAACCTCAGACTTCTGGTCTGGCCCACAATCCAAACACCTTGACTGTCACCTGATGTTGGCCACAGTTGTGTTGGCAAGATATGTGCCGGCTTTTCTGGAGCCACCCGTGTTGTCTTTTTTTGCAGCATGGCTTCTTTTCCTTCTTCCCAAAATTGCACCCTAGGTCAAGGGCAAGACTGCTGGAACGTGGGTAGGGCTGGGTAAATCCAGGCAAGCCCTCTGGATCATAGCATGTTTGCTGATTGTCCCCCATGCCTATAATTGTCTCCTTCCTTATGTCCTTCTCCTGTCTTCCTTAGTTTCCCTCAAGTCTCAGATAAAATATCATCTACAAGAAGCCTTTCCCAGTCCATCATAATCCTGGTGACTTCCCTCTGTTGATTATCTCTAGTGTATTCTGTAAATACTTATTTATACGTAGTCACACACCGTCTCCCCATTAGACTGTGAGCTTCTAGAAAGCAAGGACTGTCTTTTGTCTTTCTTTGTATCCTCAGCACTTAACACAGTACCCGGCACATAGCAGGTGCTTAATAAATGCTTATTAACAGACTGGTATAACCCAGTTGTTGCTGTAATGCAGCAATTGGGACTTGAAACTCTTTAATTAGATTAGGCAGGTGTTCAAGAGACATTATAATTTGTGGAGAGGGTGCTGACTTGGATCCAAGAAATCCTGGGTTCAAATCCTGCCTTGAGTACTTATTAGCTGTGTGAGTTTGGCAAAGCACCCAACTTTTCTGTGCCTCATCCTCATTCATAAAATGAAAGGGATAGACTTTGTGGCTTCCACCGTCTCTTCTAGTTTTTGTTTCTTTGTTTATTTGAAGCAATCAGGATTAAATGACTTGCCCACAGTCACACAGCCAGGAAGTGTCTGAGGCCGGACCTGAACTCAGGTCCTCCCAACTCCAGGGCTGGCATGCCATCTACTGTGCCACCCAACTGCCCCCTTCTAGTTTTTAAATCAGTCATTCTATAGAAATAGACTCTACCCTTGGCAGAGCTGCAAGTTGTGGCTTATTGTGTTGGTGATAACAATAACAATAATAATAAAGTTTACATTTTTATATGGTTCTTTTAGGTTTGCAGAATGCATAAAACATGTTGCTTCATTTGACCCTCACAACAACCTTTTGAGGTGGATGCTATTATTATCACCATCATATGTATGAGGAAACTGAAGCAAACAGAGGTGAAGACCAGGACCATATAGCTGGTAAATGTCTAAGGCAGAATGCAAACTCGGGTCTTCTTGACTCCAAGTCCAGCGCTCCATCCCTTATGTTACCTGGCTGCTTATGAGTAAAGGCAACTAGCAAACTGGGAGGTGGAGAACACACTGTGGGCAAGAGGACTTGTTCCTAGCTTGGATCCAAATGGTTGCACAAAATACTGGTGTAGAAGAAGTAATTCACTGTGTTGTTCAATGGATCCAGAGTAGGAGATAGGAAACAAGGGTAAAAACAATGGTCCAAAGCTTGAGAGGGAATCAGCTTGCAATAGGCCCCCAAAGTACCAAGCAAGGACATGGTGTCAGGGAATGGCATAGGAATTCAGTGAATGAAAGTTTGTCTCATGGGTTCTTTCTTTCTTTCTTTCTTTCTTTCTTTCTTTCTTTCTTTCTTTCTTTCTTTCTTTCTTTCTTTCTTTCTCTTTCTCTTTTTCTTCTTTCTTTCTTTCTTTCTTTCTTTCTTTCTTTCTTTCTTTCTTCTTTCTTCTTTCTTTCTTTCTTTTTCTTCTTTCTTTCTTTTTTCTTTTTTTTTCTTTCTTTTTTTTTTCTTTCTTTCTTTCTTTCTTTCTTTCTTTCTTTCTTTCTTTCTTTCTTTCTGTGAGACAATTGGGGTTAAGTGACTTGCCCAGGGTCACACAGCTAGTAAGTGTCAAGTGTCTGGTCTGAGACTGTATTTCAACTCAGGTCCTCCTGACTCCAGGGCTAGTGCTCTATCCACTGCGCCACCTAGCAGCCCTTCATGGGCACTTTCTACCTGTTACATAGCACCTAAGCCACTCCCCACTCCATGTGCATTTTCACTGGTGTTGCTGTGATTCCAGATGCCACTTCAGAAGTGTACACATTGCTGGCCAATTGATGTGATAACACTTTTCCTGGATATTTATTTTCTTCTTCAGTATCTTAAAGCTTGATGATTTGATTCAAATTCAACTCGTTTTTCAATTAAAAAAAACATTTATTAAGTGCCTGCTATGTGTTGGTACTGTTATAAGAACCAGGGACAGAAAGACAAAAATGAATGAAAGGAACAATTTTTAAGGAGAAAGAGAATCCAATTTTAGGTTCTGATTTTAGATGGAAGAATGTAATTGGTTCACTTTTCATTAAGTATGAAGCTTTCTGAAGATCATCAAAAGATATACAGATAGAACTTGTGAAATGCTAATAAGTTTCATTTATTGTTAAGCCACAGGTCTTACCTGGAGGGCCACGGTTTCCAGAACGTCCCTGGTTTCCTTCAGTTCCAGCAGGTCCTACTGGGCCTGGTGGGCCTGGTGGGCCTCTTCCTCCTTTCATGCCTAGGGAGCCTGGGGGTCCTGGTTCTCCCTAAAAGTCAAATTATTAAATTTTTACTTAAGTAGGGCAAACAGTCAGAATTAAATTTAAATACTATTTAAACTATATTGAAAAAAAGCGTTTCTTTAAATTAATAGGTGGACATGAGTGCTTCTTTAATAGATTAGTTCTAGATATTCCAAATAGTAGCTATACAAGATTCAGCTAAACAAATATATTTAATATTTTAACATTTCTGTGGCACTTTAACTCTCGGAAAAAAAGCTTACTGTATTTTATCAGTCTTATCATTTCTTCATTTTCAGACCGTGAATCAATATAAATCAGTGAATGCTTTCTAGACCTAAGAAATATGCTTTTGTTTTCCATCTTTATGTTGTTTTAAGATTCTATTTTCCATACAGATGAGTACAAGAGAAGGATATAATTCAGTTTTATGGAACTTATTGCTTCATCTATGCTGCTGAATTGTCGTGTCATGCTGATACTGCATTTTTTTTAGTCCTAACTGTAATTTTATAAGGATGGGAAACTTCCTCACCCATGTAGTTGGGTGGGTTGTGACCTGTGTTTCCTGGTGGCTTCCTGTTACTTCTAGGATCAAATGCCAGCTCCTCTGTGTGGCATTAAAGCCCATCACCACTTGGTTACAGCCTGACTTTCTGGGATTATCATACATGGCTCCCCTTCATGCATTCATTCCCTTGGCCTTTTCTCGCACCCTTCCATGTGGCATTATATCTCCATGCATTGGCCCAAGCTGTGTGCCCCTGGAATGCACTCTCCCATCTCTGCCTCATAGACTCCCTAGTTTCCTTCCTAACTCAGGTAATGAACCACCTTTTTTTACAAAGCTTCTTCTCATCACCTAGCTAGGGCCTCCCCAAAATATCTGTTTTGTATGTGTTCTCTCCCCCAGTAGAATGTGAGCTGCTCGAGGGTATAGACTTCCATTTTTGTCTCTTTATCACCAGCATCTAACACAATGACCACCACATAGTAGGTGCTCAATAAGTGCTTATTGATTGATTGATTTCACAGAAAGAGTACCCATATCACTGATCGCAACTCTTTTGAAATGTTGAAGGAATCTTGAGTTTTAATACTGTATCTTTAAAAATAAACAGTTCTGTAGGTAACCTAAAGTAACTGAGAAACTAAAGAAGGCTATTAATGTCATATTATTGTACAAAGTAAGTAAAATAGCTTCTGTGCCTGAGAAGATATGGATGCTCTTCTCTGACCCACCCTTCTCCTGAAATACTATGTGTAAAAACATCAGGACTCTGATTCATGAAGGGTAGAGATTGAGATTCCAATGCTCCAGGAAAGAAATGATATGAAATGTTGAGTAGTGGAAAAATCCCTAGGCTTGGAGTTCAGAATATCTCAGTTTGAGGCTTCTGCCACTTGGACAAGTAAATCATTTATCCTTCCCTGGCCTCAGTTTACTCATCTGTAAAATGAAAGGGTTGACTTCTGAGGTCCCCTCCAGTTCTAGATCTGTGATCCTATATTGCTATGATAGTACACCCTACCCCCCGATCTTCCTCACTATTCTTTCTAACTGCTTTTGTGGCATTTCAGAAATTAAAAACTGAGGAGAGCTAGAAAATACCTAGATAGGAAATGGTGTCATAATGAAGGAGAAGCTAGAGTGAAAATGAGGTGGCAGACAAATCGCTTTGCAAACTTTAGTTTGTTAGTTATTAGTATTCAAATTCCATAAGGCTACTAAAATGTAAATTAAGTTGTAGGTATGTGCATGAGGAGGGAGGCACTGGGGGTGTGCGTGATGGAATATATTTTCTAGAGCTCTGAAACCTAGGAAGAATACTAGCATCAGGGAGGAAAGTTTTGAGATACACTTTGAAAGACGAGTTATGAAGAGGAGCAAAAGCACTAAAAGTCCCAATTTAACTAAGACAGATTCATGTTCATATCTTAGGAGTTTTGTTTGTATCTAATCTGATGGTTGTTTTGGAGTTGCCTAAATTTAGCTATTTTAATAAACTTTTTTTTAAAGTAATAGGCAATTAGGCATGTAATTCCATGCTAACTTCGTAGAAGAGATTCACCAACTTGCCCCCCACCCAAACAATCTGAAGGGACAATTCAGCACCCACAAGTGCTGAAACTACAAAATGAATGTCATAAAGAATCACAGTGGTGTGACAGCTACTGCAGACAGCCTTGTTTGTGGAGCTAGAACCAAAACCTCATTAAAAGCCTCATTAACTACCAAATTAAGAAACACAGTGTCTCCCTTGGCTAAGCATGCATTTGTTCTTTTTCATCTGAATAAGACTCTGGAAACACTGGGAAAGATGTCCTACTCATTTCAGCTTCAACTGCCCAGGTTGAAATGTGACATTATTTAATCGGCCAGTATTAAAAACATATAAACCATCATCATGTCCGTACCGTTGGCCCTGGAGGTCCTGGCTGTGCATCCTTTGCGTAGCCTGGTTCTCCTTTCTCTCCCTTCATGCCCTGAATTCCAGGGAGGCCTGGTCGGCCAGTTACACCTGGGTGGCCTGCAGTTCCTTTTTTCCCTTTTGGGCCTTAAAGCAAAGAAACAAATTTCAGATAGTATCCATGAACAATGAACTATTTACTGATGCTATTCCAGACCTGGGAATAGCCATTCATCCCCAAAGGTTTTAATGCTCCTGAATTCTGGAACTAATATATTAGTCATGAAAGCATTGTAGTAATACAATGAATACTGCCTAGAATTAATAAATATTTAATTATCCATCTTTTCATGATTTTTGTTTTCAAGTATACTTGTATTGTTGTCTCTTTGACTGATGATGTTGTTAGTTTCAAGATGACTTTCAGATGAAATGAGATTCAATGTTTCTGGCCCGTCATGACTTTGAGGGAACAAAGGGCCTCATCACACGGATTTATGACTCACCTGGCATTCCCATGTGCCCCATGCTTCCAGGTCCTCCAGGTGGTCCTGGTTCTCCAGGGTGACCTATGGTGCCAGGGTCTCCTCTGAGTCCTTAATTGAGAGTAAATATTCATTCTCCACAAAATTCACATCAATGTCTAGCTTAGAGTAGCCATGCCAATCAGGGTAGATAGGAAATGACTGTGACCCAGAGCCCTGTCCCTCTACTGCCACATCTTTCTCAGTGATCAAAAAAAGAATAGCTCTTGGACCAATACTAACGGGAACTGAAGACTTTCTGCCATCATCTACATTTGCCACCATGATTTGCCATTCCTTTTTATGTTTCCAAGATAAAATATAATCCTAGAGTTTTGTCATATGGCAGTTATCATAGCAAATAGAGTACATATTACTGTTTATTTTACAGGAAGTAGGAAGCAACCTCAACTTTTGTAAAACTTACTGTGTCTACTTAAATATTTCTTTCTTTAAAGAAAAGATAAATCTGATAAAATCTGAAATACCACTTAGTATTTCTTGGGGAGAGGGGTTGAACAATCATGATAAATATTAAATTTGTAACACGTTTCAGTCATTTTAAATTAGAAAATTTAAGTAAGTAATACAGGTCTTTCTGAAACTTTAAAACAACAGTATTTTCTATCAAAACTCAAAATTGGCTATAAATATTTTAGGCTAAAAGCATAGAACATTTCAAAATGTTTCCCTGTGAGGTTAGTTTAGAATCTGACTGGCTAAAGTACTGACTCTCTTCCCTTTCACTTTCAACAATAGCATCTTTAGGATCAGATCTCCTCAAAGCAACTCTTGAGGAAACTGAAGTCTCTTAGATAAGGGTCCCTAACAGATTTGTGTGTGTGTGTTGTGTGTGTGTGTGTGTGTGTGTGTGTGTTGTGTGTATGTTATGGTCCCTTTTAGCAGTGTTGTGAAATCTATGGACCCCTTCTCAGAATAATTTTTTTAAATGCATAAGATACAATACATAGGATTGCAAAGGAATTGAAATACAATTATCAAAATATTTTGTCAAAAGAAGTTCACAAACACCAGGTTAAAAAGCCTTGCTGTGAGAGAAGTTGCTTGCACCAAAATGGTCAGACAGACTTTGGTGCCAGGTTTAAGTCCTGTGTCTCTAAAGCTACTTTTAACTCTAAAATACAGTGTTTCTGTGACTCTAACTAATATACCTGGTAGCCCTGGTCTTCCAGGCATTCCATCATGGCCTTGTAGTCCTGGTAGACCTGGAGTACCTCTCTCTCCTTTTTGTCCAAGGCCTCCCAAAGGTCCTAGGGTAAAAACATGGGGTATTAGAAAATGCAAGACAAGATTTCTTCAAGTTCATAGCCATTCTGTTTCAAATCAATGTAACAGCTTTGCTGATTATTAAATGTGTCCATGACTGAGTCACCCAAGGTTTTTTTTTTCTTTACCTACCTCCTGTCTCTGTATTTAAGTTTAACCAACATAATTGAATCAGCCTTACATAGTGGACTCTCCATCTTCATGTGCCACAGTGACCCAGAGATTGGAAGCCTTAAAATTTAGATCCATAAATGTTCATGATTCTGACCCGATAAATCTCAGAACAGGAGGGGTAACAGATACATTCATTTTTTTTCTACCAAGAAACTGGCTGCCATTTCATATTTTACTTTTACTTTTCTTTTTTTCACTTAGTTCTGCCTTTTCCATCAGCTGTTCTGATTTTCTATCCCATGACCTTTTCTCATTTCTGCCTTCCTTTCCTAATTTTACATATGCTTCATTCCTCTGTTTCTTCTTTTCTGTTCTTCATCACAAAGGTTATCAGAACTAATGTGAACATGTACTCATCCAGGATTACCAACTAGATTGTAAGTCCTCAGGGTTAGGTCAGGGTTTTATATTTCTTCATATCCCCCATGATGCCTGGCACATAGTATTTGCAGAATAAATGTTGCATGATTAGAAAACAAATGAAATCTCCCAAAAATTGTATTTAAAAATAAATAATACTTTAAAACCACACCAAACAGAAGCATTAATCAATAGGTATATGCATGTGTGGTCATTTTTATGTTATAAGCCTCAAGGAATCTATAGTACATAGAAATCCTAGACTTTTTAAAATCTGTTAAACTGGCATATTATGTTCTCATTTCTTCAAGGTTCAAGTTTAAAGAGATTTCAGAGAAATAACTAATATATTTATATATTAAAATTGTGGCAGAATTATGCCTGAATGAATGTTAACCCTCACAATTGGGGTAGATTCTACTTAAGCAAGTATTTGGATATAGGAATGAAAAAGATTTTGAGTCTTTCATTTAGAACTGGCAAGGTATCTTAGAGATTATCTAGTTCACAAATTTTTACAGATGAGAAAATAGTCACATTTTAAATGACCAACTAATTTAATGGCAGAATTGGGACTAAAACTTGATTGTAGCCCAGAATTTTTTCCATGGTCCCTTGTTGCCTCTCATATGGGCATTGTCTCAGTCAAACTGAGACCTGGGAAAGACCTTAACTTAAAAGGCCAAGGTCTCCCACTGCATCCGGGGCCATCTCCAGTCGTCCTGATCTGTATCTGGCCGCTGGACTCAGATGGCTCTGGAGAAGAAAGTGAGGCTGGTGACCTTGCACAGCCCTCTCTCACTGTAATCCAATTCATTTGCAAGTCATGGCATCACCTACCTGATGTCATGGTCCTCTTTGAGAATGAAGGCCAAACAACAACAAAGAGGAATACACACACACACACACACACACACACACACACACACACACACACACACACACACACACACGAGCTGGACAAAGCAATAAACAAGCATTATTGTCCTCAATCTCTGCCAGATAGCCATCATATAGAGAAAAAATGCAGAGCAGATTTGCTAGTAGTAATAATAACTGATGTTTTTATAAAAGTGAGGTTTGATTAAATCAATTACCCCACTTCACTTAAAGTAACTACTTTAATCATGTGAGGACACCTTTATAGAATCTATCAATCAAAAGCATTGTATTAAATGCAAAAAGTCCTTAATCATTTTTGGGGGTAAGAAAACCATTGGATGAAACGAAATGATGCCATACTCTGTGAGTTGTGCATAAAATAGCAAGCCAGTTTGGAAGCCTGGGCACTCAAGTGGTGGGGCAGCCTAGTGGTCAAAGCAGTTCCAATCAAGCCCCCAAAAAGGAACCGTAAGGAGATAAAAAGGGGAGGAGAAAAACTTCTATCTCCTCCTCTAACCCTTTACTCTAGAGGATGACCTTGTAAATTTTGAAAGGTCAGAAGATATTAGACTTATCTTAGGTGTTCCAGAAGTGTCTCCTGAATAACTACTGATATGTCTGTATTGAGATTTGAGGGCAAACTAGAAACAGTGAGGAAAGGTAGATCCAGGCCTCTACTAGAACCTACCACATGCCTGAGGGTATACTCATGAGGGTCTTCATGACCATGAAGATGAGAAAAGGACATCCAGCAACCACAGACTCCTTTGTCTCTTTGTCTCATGTGCTCACCAAGCTTGAGCCCACTTTCCTCTGGACATGTAGGATAGATTTGGAGGGTGTTTTTATCAATTCATTTCTGAGAAAAAATTAATTCTGGCTGCCTAATTGATATATTGATAATCAGTGGGGGAAGTGTATCAATAAGTGCACATGAATTTTAGCACTGGAAAAATTCCCCAACCTCTCAGGATTAGCCCCTCAAACTCTGAGGGAAGAGGTAGTTAGACACCCTGGGGACCCAAACTGCCAGTCCTGGTGGGATTGGGAGAGTAGGCCCCAGAGCCTGTATTCTATTTCTATACTACTTTTTACAAAGCATTTTACAAATGTAATAGTGTTCTATTGTGTTTACAAATGTAATAGTGTTCTATCTCTCCCTTGAACTTCCTGTATGCAGAGGGGAATTCTAATCTTTCTCCCTTCTTTCATTCCCTCTCCTGATCCTTTCACTCCCATAGTTATGGGCAACTCATAACTGCCAGAGGTGGGGTGGAAGTCCAATGGAGACCTGATGGAGCCCTAGGCCACATGTACAGAAGAGTGTGAGAGTTCTCTTTTCCTTTAAAGTCTACTGACTTGGCATCTTTCCATGCCTGAATCCCAGTGTTCTTTGGTGTAGTCCCCCACTTATTGATGGGGGGTTGTGGGGAAGGGGAGGGAGATCATAGGGGAATCAACCAGAAGCCTCAGGTTGAACATGTCCTTACTCAAGAGGATCACCCATTGGAAAGGACCAGGTCAGACATTTAGCTCCAGAAGTGCCCCAGGTGCACCAAATGGGGGGGGGGGGAATGGACTCCTGATTATCTTCATTACACCTACAGCATCTCGTTTGATCCTTACAGCAAAGCTATAGTGTAAATACTAAAAACATTATTCCCATTTTATGGATAAGGAAACTGAGACTGAGGTTAAGTAGCATGTCCACTGTCACAGAGACAGAAAGTAGCAGGTGAAATTCAAACACAGTTCTTGACTACAGTTTTAGTAATTTTTCCCACTATACTATGCTGGCTAGGTATAATATTTTTTCTTAGACATGTACATATATTTTACCTCATGCTGTGTCAAAGGATTGAATTTAGTGAGATGCTGAATTATTTCCTTGTATAATATTTTCTTAGAAATATACATATATTTTACCTCATGCCAAATTATTTCCTTGTATTTATAGTCTGTATATATGTTAGGGTCAAAATGTATCTTACGTAGTAATGGACATGATATTGGGATTTCCTTATAAAAGGCTTATAAAATGCTAACCAAATTACACAAATAATCTATCACAGTAGTGAGTCTGTCTGTCAAAGCAGAGTAAAACGAAGCTGTTACCTGAATGAATCCATTTAAAACACATTAGATCTAATTGTTGTACTTAAGTTTGTGTCAGCAAATGCATTTTGCAACATTACTTAAAATAGTTATATTAACAGTTTTTAAAAATATGACAACATAGTAGAATTATTTCCTAAGAAGTTACTTTTCCAGCTAAAAGTGAAATACAACCCAGGATTTTATAAATCTGGAAATAATGAATTTTCTGGGTCAAAATGAAAATTAGAGGTTCCTAAAAAGACCTCTGTTCTCTAACTTTCTTTTATAATGAAAGTACTTCTTTATGGAAGTTTTTTTCTAAATTCATGCCTGTGTTTTAACAAGAGGATGACAGTTTTTCAAAAAGTAATAGAAATTTTGTTAGATCTTTACTTCTTAAAGACCATAAATATCCATGAGCTTTTATTCCTACCCAAATCAAGGGAACAAGTCCACAAGCCTTTATTAAGTGCTTACCATTTGCCAGACACTACACCATGCTAACTGCTGGGAATATAAATATAAGCAAAAAAACCCAAACAAACAAAAACCCCAAAACCAGTCTCTTCCCTTAAGGTACATATATTTTTTGTAGTGAAGACAGAGAAGAAAACACTTAAAAGAGAGGTAAAAAATCTGGGTGGTGGGAAAGAGATGGAGAAAGTCCAGAAGCAATAACTGTGGCAGGCTTGGGCCTTTCCCTAAATTGCAGGGTCTGAGAGGAACAGATCAGTCAGAGGAAAGGGCCTCGACAGTGGAGGGATCTTGCAGGGTGAGAAGGCTGCTGGGGATAGTGAACAAAGAATTCACCTTGTTCTTAGGTTTAATTTATGTGGAGTGTTAATGTTTTCTTTTTGGCTTTCTGGTTTTCTGGGTACACTTGATTTAAGTTTGGCAGAGAAAGAAAGAGTAGGCCTTTTTCTCATCTTGCCTCAATCATTTTTTCATTTTTCTTTTATTCTAAGGCTAACTGAATCAAAAATATTAAAATGCCAAATTGAATATACATGAATACCAAGCTACTAGGCTTATTAGCCAATTGCTAAGTGTACACAATGATTACAGATAGCTTTTTAAAATTGCAATATATAGGTCGTATCTGTTGCAGATAAAATTTGGGGGTGAGCATGGAGCAGAACCCAGTTCCAGTGCACCCCAGGATTGTTGGGAACATTAAGATAAGGTTTTAATTACAGCCTGCTTTCTGAGCTTGTAGTATTTTCTCACCAAAAGAACTGGAGTTTTGAAGAACCTACCTTTTAAACTTTAATTTTATCCTGGTGATACTACACATGCACAGAAATACAAAATGTGCTTAGAAACACACATTTAGCCATAAAAGGTGGTTTAGATGCAACAACTCTCCTTACCTCCTGGTCCTGGTTCACCTTTCTCTCCTATGTCAGCCGATATCATTGATGGTCCTTGGTTTCCTTTATTTCCCCTTTCCCCTTTTGCTCCAGGAAGTCCTTTCTTCCCCTTTCTTCCTGGAATTCCAAAGCTACCTGAAAAGAGCCGAGATAACATTGGTTCTTGATTATGGCCTTGTTATAAAATCTTAGAAAAGATTATGGATGACATTTTACCCAAAACAAAAAGCAACTGAAAAGTTATCTGCAACTAATGGCCCATATACTTGAACTATTATCGTAATAAAATCTTTATAAGAATTATATATGTACACGTGGACAGCATCATACCACTGACTCAGAGATGTAAAGAATGTAACATCTTACTTTGTTTATTTTTTGCTTCAAGAAAGAATTTGACTCAGTAGAGCAAAAGCTGTCTTGAATGCTCTTATAAAATAACTCTCATATATACATCAGCCTTATAAAAAACTCCATGTTGTCCAACGTGTATATAACTGGAAAAGGTGAGTTGATACACTATGCTAAAAGTTTCCAAGAGCATCCACAAAAATTTCTAGGATACAGGATAAATGGAATGGGGGGAGATGGGGAGAGGCAAAAATAGGAAACCGAAAAAAAAAAAGTACAGCAAAATGCATTTTCAGAACTCTTTTTCCACCGAAGTGAACATGTGACTTGCCTCCCCTAAAGATCCAAACATAACATATTTTACTAAATGCTGAAAATAGATAATATATGTAATGACAGCTGACATTTATATGGTGCTTTGTCTTGACAAGGTGTCTTACATACACTTTCTCACTCAATCCTTATGGCAGTTCTTTGAGCTAGGTTCAGTAATACAGGTATTATTATTCTCATTTTACAGATGAAGAAGCTGATAGCTAGCAAGAAACATAACCAGAAATCAAACCCAGGTTTTATGACTTCAGGTTCAGTGTTCTTTCTACTATATTATGTATACCTTCACCAATACAACTTACCCTTGTATCCTGGGGCGCCTGGATTCCCAGGCATCCCAGGAGGCCCAGTTGTTCCAGGAAAACCCATCATACCAACTTCTCCCTTTTGGCCTGTGGAATTGAAGCAACAGAGAAGTGTTTTGGATTTTCAAAGCAAAGAAAATCTCAGGTTTGGGTCAGGTATCTTTCACTGCTTAACAGAGGGAAAATCAGCCATGGTGCCTGAATAGACGCAGTCTAAATAGTAACAGATGTTAAGAGTCAAAGGATGGAGATTGATTGGAGTGAAGCCAAGATGGTGGATTAGAGGCAGCAACCCAGCCAAACTCTCCCAGCATTCCCCTCAAACAACTTTAAAATAATGCCTCAAATCAAATTTTGGAGTGGCAGAGCCAACAAAAGGTCCGAATGAGACATTTTTTCCAGCCTAAGACAACTTAGGACATTGTCAGAAGAGGTCTATGACATCAGAGTGGACACAGCAGTACCTGTGGGCGGAGGTGGTCGTGACAGTGATGACAGTAGCTTTGGGATATCTCAGCCCAGAAGCAGTAAGGGGGTTGGACAACTGGTCAGAAAGAGATTACAGGGAACCCCTTGCTGGCATTGGGTGCAGCTGGAACTGATGGGTACCTGTATTACTTATAACCACTTATGGGTTGCAGTCCTGGGGTAGAAAGGAGCACTTGTGGTCAGTTACAGGCGAACAGGTGCCCTGGTGGCAGTTCCAAGGCAGAGAGGAGTACTAATGCTTGTGGTTGAAGGGGACCTGCTCACAGTTCCAGGGCCAAGAGGAAGACTGGCACTTGCAGCTACAGGGGATTAAGGGAGCTTTCTGGGTAAAGACCAGAGCCCAGACCAGAAGAGCAGTAACCATACCTCTCCCCAGATCACAACACCTTAGAAGCACTGAAAACTTTCAGACCCCCAGAACTAGCTTTGAAAACAGCAGTGGAAAAAGTCCTGAAGCATAGGACAATGCCTCCTCACCTGCAGGTGAGCAGAAACCAACTTTAATATAAAGTTCAAAGTCAAGAAATAGGCTGAAAAAGAGCAAATAACAAAAAAAGAACTTGACCATAAAAAGCTACCATGTGGCAGGGATGACCAACACACAAACTCAAAAGAAGACAACAATGTGAAAACAGCTGTAAGAAGAGCCTGAAAGAAAGATGCTGATGAACACAGGCCCAACAAGAATTACTGGAAGACTTAAAGAGACAAGAGTGGTACAGGAAAAAATTGAGAAAAGAAATTAAAGTGATGCAAGAAAATTATGAAAAGAGAGTTAAGAGCTAGGTAAAAGAAGTACAGAAAAGAATCAAAGGAGAGTTTTCTGTGAGTAGGAAAAGAAACTTGTTTGTTAAGTAGATGGGCAATAGAAGGTCCTATCTTCTAACCTTGGTTCCAATATTCCTAAAGAATATTGATCCAGTTTAGAGCAGAGTTGCCATTCCTTCATTTTCTCTAGAGGAGAACAGCAAAATGCTTATAGTCTTAGGAAACCAAAGGAAGACCCTCAATCAATGCAAACGAAGAGTAAATTATCATATATTAGTGATATTCACCCTTCTGACAAATAGTTCAAAATAGATGCCTCATACACTGAAAGAAAACTTCTAATTTGAAAATGTATGTCCAGTACCTGGTGGACCTGGATGTCCTGGAGCTCCTGGATGTCCTGTTGGACCTACTAGTCCTTTATCTCCTTGATGACCTGGCAGTCCTGGTGGCCCAGGTTCTCCTGGGGATCCTGACCTGTCTAAGCCTGGTATCCCTGGGTCTCCTTTAGGACCATCCAAGCCTCTGTCTCCTTCAAAAACAAAAACCAAAACCATCAATAACTTCAAATCATATTTCTATAGGTCTTTAAGGTTCATAGGTAGCTTTCCATAACAACCTTGAGAGATAATTAACATAAGTAGCATGATTGACATTGCATATGAAGAAACTGAGATCCAGAGGTATGAATGGATTCCCCCATGGCCACACAGCTGGCATTTAAACTCAAGCCTCCTTCATCTGAATTCAGTACTGCTATTATTATACCATGCTGCCTCTCAACAGCACACACAACCTTCCTTCTTCCCCATCCCCCAAAACCTGATAAATAGTGAAAGGATAGAGTTGGGGTGGCAATGGAAATGGTCAAGTAAAATTGAGAACTAGATCAATTAGCAAACATTGATTAAGCACAAACTGTGTACCAGACATTGTGCTAGGTGCTGGGGATACAGTCCCTGCCCTCAAAGAATTGACATATATATACATGGATATATATATATCTTTTGGCCAGTTGGGGTTAAGTGACTTGCCCAGGGTTACATAGCTAGTAAGTGTCAAGTGTCTGGTCTGAGGCCAGATTTGAACTCAGGTCCTCCTGACTCCAGGGCTGGTGCTGTATCCACTGCACCACCTAGCTATCCCTAAGAGTTGACATTCTTAATGGGGGATGCAGATGAAGCCCTCAGTTTTTTCTTTAGCACAGCTTGATGGAAAGAGCAGCAGACTGGGTATCCAGACACCAGAGTTCTGCTCCTTGCCTTGCGTTTAATTAGGAATGTGGCACTCAGCAAGTTACTTAAACCAGTTAGGACTCAGTTTTCTTATCTGAGGTAACGAGAGAGGGATAGATTATATGAACTCTAAGATCTTTTCAACTCAGTTAATTTTTTGGTTATGAGAGAGTTGTCATCTCTTAGCTGTACAGTCTAATCTGCATATCAGTACTGCATATATGATCAGGAAGCCATTTTTTGCCAAGATTTCCATCGCTGTAGTGATGCTGTTATTATTTATGAAGGAATCTGTATTTAGTGGACTGGGCTGTATAGCTAAAAGGAAACCTTGCCCCAAATAGCTTCAGTAACTTGCCCAAGTCAAGGCAGAAACACAGATGACAAACTCAGGAAAAGAAAATTCAAACAATCTACTATATGGGAGTAACTTTCATTTCCACCTATTGTAGTATTTTCTATTCATTTTTAGTTACTGTAAGACAGTATTCATATTTTAGCCCATGTCATCTGTGTACTTTAGGTTTTGACACAGGAGGAGATCTACCTAACTTTCGTATTTTAGCCCACGTCATCTGTCCATTTCAATGTTTGACACAGGGGGAGATCTACCTTGTGGTCCCCTTAGTCCATTTAAACCTGGAAGTCCCTGGGTTCCCTTTGCACCCGGTATGCAGATCCCCGGAATCCCATTATATCCTGGCGGTCCAGGAAATCCAGGCTCTCCTGGAAAAGAGAAATGGACAAACGTAATCACCTGGGCTACGTGCAGCTGATACTTTGAGTAGACCTGTGATCTCATTGGTGTGCACACTTTTCCTGATACTCAAAGGATTCATGAGTGCATCAACACAGATACTTCCTCTAGGGATGTAGTTCACAGTCCACCTACGACTGCCCGTTCTCTGCAACTCTTGTCCACATTCTTCATATTCTTTTGTCCACTGAACATGCTTTCTCGTTTTCTCTGAACAGGGTGAGGATACCCACAGAGCCCCTAGGATGTCCATCAGTTATCCCTCCCTTTTCCAGTGTGATAAGCTTGTCTTTCTAGGTCATACATTTATTTGATGATTTTCTTTATTCCAGATCTTTATTGACATTGTCTTCAAAATGTTGCAGCCTGTTTACATTTGGCAATATATCTCTCTATTGCTCTCTGAATGATATTTTTTAATTCATTGAAGACTGAAGTATTCCATGACCCACAGCTATATAAGATCACCAGTAGAATATTGAAATATAAAAGGTAGTCCATCCTTTGTTTCAGGGAAAAGCTTGAGGTTATTAAATTGTATTGTTCCAGAGGTAATCCAGCATGCACTTCTATTTTAGTTCTGGGTTAGACTTGTCTATTTATGTGCAGTATATGTCCAAGAAAACATATGTGTGTATGCAATACATACATTCACATATGTGTTAACTCAGTGCTCATTTGCAGTGTATCCAATATATATGTTATATATATATATATGTCTCCACACATATATGCATGTATACCTATATATATATATATATATATATATATATAAGATATATTCACACATTTTATTAACTATAGACATATTACTAATATGTATATGTACATAATCTGGACAAGAAGTATAATTCATTCATGATTATTATAATTACTATTATTTTGACTCATTTTGTCCTGGCCATGCAGGGAAAAACTTTTTAGGGATGTAACTTTTTAGAAAATACCGCAAAGAAAATTACATGTATTTCTTATTTAGACTAATTCTTTAAATGTTCCTGAAAGAACTGAGACTTCAAAAAACTCTAGTCAGAAATGAGATGTAAGGTGATATAGTGGATAGAAAGCTGGGCTTAGAGCTAGGAAGACTGGGGTTCAAGTCCTGTCTTTGACATATATACTGCTCTTATGACCCTGGGCTAATCCCTTAATCTCTTGTTGACATAGTTCCCTAAGACTATAACTTTCAGAGGAGGTGCTTTAGTAGAGAGAAGTTCCTATTATCAGTGAAATCACAGGTCCATTTCCTATCTCTCCCTGCCTTCCCTTCTTCTGAAATGAATGAAAAATCTAAGAAACACTCAATTGTCACTTTCATAAGGTATCCAAGAAACAATAAGTTGTTTTAAAGAGGAATATCACGGATCATAGACTTACTACAATGCCCCATTATGTCATGGAGGTGACCAAGGAAAGCTTTGTCAATGGAGTTCAAGTCCTGGCATTTCCTACCAAGTTGTAAAGTCTTTGGGTGTTGATTGAGCCTGCCCTCTAAGGATCAGCACGGTTAGCTTTGGTGATATTAATCACAAAGGGTTAATTCAGGGGTGGGGAACCTGCCGCCTCCAGGCCACATGTCGCCCTCTAGGTCTGCAAGTGTGGCCCTTTGACTGAATCCAAACTTCACAGAACAAATCCACTGGATAAAAGGATTTGTTCCCTAAAACTCGGACTCAGTCAAAAGGCTGCATCCTTGGACCTAGAGGGCCACATGCGCCCTTGAGGTCGCAGGTTCCCCACCCCTGGCAACCACTTGGCAGTGTATTCTTTGACTACATCAGGCCGTGAAGATAAAGCCAGTCTCCTAAGTCATAGAAAGTTTGTGCTCGGCACGGATGGATTCAGGAGCTACCCTACTAAGCCCATCATATTTTTGAAGCACTGAAATAAAAAAAAAACAAATAAAAAGATTACATAATGCTTGCATAATAAAGCATTCTTCAGTCCAGCATTATGGATCCAGGGCTGGCCTTGGAGTCCAGAGGAAGAAGGCCTGAGTGTCTACAAGTCCTAACTGACACACACTAGCTCGTGACTGTGGTAAAGTCATTCTCTCAGTTCTCCAAGCATTTCTGTAAGACTCTAAGTTACAGAATATTTAGCAGTCTAAATTACTAGGAATTTGCACATGAGAGGTTCCCTAATCTGATGAAATTACAGATCCAGACCAAAATACATGTGTGTGTATGTGTGTGTGTGTGTGTGTGCGCGTGCACGCATGCATGCATGCATGTGACTTCTGCCTACGTGTTCAACATGGTAGAATAGAAAAATTTTCCAAAAGTGTCCTTCCTTCCCAAGTGCCTCCTTCTCATTTCTCCCACTCCTCCTCCCCAGGACCTAAGAGATAAGATTTTCCTTTATTTTAGCTTAGCCCTGGTGTGGTTGCAAGTAACCAAGCCAAGTACCTGGTAGCCCATTAGGTCCGTCATTTCCCGGGGATCCTGGAAGGCCTGGAAGTCCAGGGAGCCCATGTTCTCCATTTTCCCCTGAACTTCCTTTTTCTCCTTGAAAACCAGTGATTCCTGGTTTTCCAGGAATCGCTGTACCTGGGTCTCCCTAAACCACAAAAAAACATGTAAAATCAGTAAGATTAAGAGCTAGTAGAAACTTCAAGAAACTGAGGACCAAGGTATGCGGTTGGTGTGGGTCAAGGACCTGCTCTGCCAGTGACTACCCTCACGACTTGGAACTAGTCACGTAACTCGGAACCTCAGGCTCCTCGTCTGTACAGTGAGGGAGCTGGACTAGACATGAATGCATGAATAAAAGCATTTATTACGTGCGTGCTGGATGCCAAGCACTGGCAGCCCCTGACTTCAAGAAGCTTATGTATTGGGGGGGATAACGCATGTAGGGAAGGGGTGGCCTGGTCTGGGTCTTTAGAGAGGTGGTGATTGGAGCTAGGGCAAGAGGTTGTGCCCTTTGCCCTATCTAGTATTGATTTAGTTATGATTCCAGAACTAGAGGGGGAGGATGGGTTGGGGGAGGGAGCTGCACAGAGGATTGCCGAGCATCTGACAGGATCACTGGGCAGTAAGGTAAGGCCTGGCTGGGGCTATCTAAATGTAGTGGGCTATATGGGGCACTCAGGAACCAGGACAACAGGGCTATGGGCAGACATTCACATGCCCACTCTAGATCTATGGTCCTATGACTTGTGCAAAGTCACACTGCTTGTAAAAATTATGTTTGTGTGTAATTGGGAAAAATAGTATTAAATTCAAACCCAGGTCCTCTTATTCTAAATCCCACTCAGCCACATAGTAACTCACATTTAAGATTTGTTTACTTAAATTCAAAGAAACTTAGAATTGAGAGGGACATAGAGGTCATCTAGTTCCACTCCTTTATTTATTTATTTATTTCTTTTGGTGGGGTGCAATTGGGGTTAAATCACTTGCCCAGGGTCATGCAGCTAGTTAAGTGTCAAGTGTTTGGTCTGAGGCTGAATTTGAACTCAGGTCCTCCTGACTTCAGAACCGGTGCTCTATCCACTGTGCCACCTAGCTGCCCCCACTCCTTTATTTTTTATTTTATTTTTTATTTATTTTATTTTTTTAATGTTTTTTTTTCCCATATGCCTTTGAGTTGAAAATTTTCTCCCTTTTCCTCCCCCCCACCCTCCTCAAGACGGCACACAGTCTGACATAGGCTTTACATTTACATACCCATTAAACATATTTTCACATTAGTGAAGTTGTAAGTAAAAATTAAAACCAATAGGAGGAACCATCAGAAAGATGAAACAAAACTCAACAGAAGGTAAAAATCAGTGATAGCGATTCGACTTCCATGGTTCTTTCTTTGGATGTGGACAGCATTTACTCCTTTATTTTTTAAACAATGAAACAGAAATATGACTTGTCTAAGGTCACACAACTCTTCAGTAGCCAGACAGGGACAAGACCCCTGGATTTCCTATTTACTAGTCTATGGCACCCTTGCTAGACACAGCAGTTCATAGGATTTCAAACTAGGTAGGATCATATGGAGCAGATCGCTATGTTCCCTCATTTTTCAGATGAAGAAACTGAGGGCTTATCCAAGGTAATACAGCTTTAGAGGAAGAGTTAGGACTAGAATCCTGTTTTCTTGATGCTCATGTTTGTACTTTCCCCACTGTATCTTGCTGTTTTTATGAAGGGGTTAGTATAGTATGCTGCCTGAAAAATGCTTTGTTAAATGTGTAGTTTGCTCTATTTTCATCAGAAAGCAACGATGACTTTATTAGTAATAATAAGTTAAAATTTATATTGCCCTTTTAAATTTGAAAAGGCGGGGTCTTTTATTTTATTTTATTTTATTTTTCCTTTTATTGTGTCCTTAATACTGATCACAGTGCCTGGCGCAAAGTAAGTGCTTAAAAAATACATGTTGACTATTTCACAACAAGCCTCTGAGGAGTCAGTGTGGTACAGTAGAAAGAGTATTAGTTATATACTTATTTTTATGGCAATAAAAGTATGTATGTCCTGCCCTTCATATAAGGATATGATGCTTCTGAACTGCCATCAGTAAAGCACAGAACTGAGTTATTTTTACAGCAGTAGTTAGAGGTTCATGGTCTACATTATCAACTTTATGGTTCACAATAACTGTGCAGTAAGTAGCATCAGTATATTTATCACCATTTTATAGATAGGAAAACTGAGGTTCAGAGATGTTAAATGGCTTTTTTCAGGATCATACAGCTAGTAAAAGTCAAAGGAATTAGTAAGGAGATACTGATAACTAGATGAAGCTCTGATGAAATCTGAGTTTTCTTTTTCTTTCTGCAAGTGAAAATGTTTAACTTTTTTAAAACTTTAACTATGTCATTCAAAGGGGCAGCTAGGTGACGTAGTACACAGACAGCCAGGCCTAGAGTCAGGAAGAAATCTTCCTGAGTTCAAATCCAGCTTCAGACACTTACTAGCTGTGTGACCCTGGGCAAGTCACTTAACCCTGTTTGCCTCAGTTTCCTCAACTGTAAAATGAGCTGGAGAAGGAAATGGCAAATACTCCAGTATCATTACCAAGAAAATCCCCTAAATGGGGTCATGAAGAGTCAGACCCAACTGAAATGGCTGAAAATAAACAACATATCATTCAAATGGTGTGTTTTGCAAAAAAGATGAATTTTTAATGCTTAAGAAATAACCTGCTGAGGGGGCAACTAGGTGGTACAGTGGATAGAGCATTGGCCCTGAAGTCAGGAGGACCTGAGTTCAAATCTAGCCTTAGACCAAACACTTGACACTTACTAGTTGTGTGACCCTGGGCAAGTCACTTAACCCCAATTGTAAAAAAAAAAAAGAAAGAAAGAAATGACTTGCTGAGAGTAATCAGCTAAAATGCCAACAATTTCTGCTTCTTTTTTCTAAAAGATTTGAGGCTAGTGATATACAACTGGGCACAACAATCCTAACCTGCACACTGATTAAACTGAATTTGTGATTCTCTCAGACCTTTGCTCCTGGGAGCCCCGGTATTCCAGGTGACCCAGGTTCCCCCATTTCTCCTGGACAACCTGGTGATCCTTTGGCTCCTGGAAAACCTCTGTCTCCTATAAAACAAGCAGAAAAAAATCACAGGAATAGTTTTGTTAAGAGACACTTTATTTTTGCTTCAACAGTTTTGGTGCCTGGAAAACTTAAGAGCTAAATCAGTAAGTTTATTTTTTGTTTCTTTTCAGCCCTTCGGACTAGCTTAAACTGGTTCTTCTTGGGAAATAATTGTCTGTATTTTTATTATTTAAAAATTTTATTTATCATTCATTTTTATTTATATGTTTATTATTTATTTTATTTTTATTTTTAAAAGGAGAATTACTATTTTGATTCAACAATTTTCTAAATTAAGGCTTTGGGTTCATATTTAGTTCAAATTCATGGAGAAAAGTGGGCTCAATGATGAGTCTTTGAGTCTCACTGTGATCTTACAGTCTTCTACAATTGTCATAGAATACTTCGTAATCTTTATGTAGGGAAAACAGTGATTTGGTGCCTACAGGAAGACAGGACCAACGTTTGTGTTCCATTCACTCTTGTACTCTTGCTAGAGGAAGCACTTGCACTGAATTGCATGGATTGAAGCTAGTGATCAGTGGAGTGAGGAATAGAAAGGAATTTATTTACCTCAAGGTAAGTAGTAGACAACTCAGGGAGTTGCAGCTCAGGCAGAAGCCATGAAGTTCTAAAGACAGACAAGCTAAGCATAAAGGGTTCTGCTGGCTGGCAGGGTATGGTTGTGGATCTGATTCACAAGAGAGCTGAAAAAGCCCTGGAGCTATGCACTAAAAAAGCTGACACACCTCCGACACTCACACCCATATTTTGGGTGAGAGGCCAAAGGTAGCTTTAGTTCATCAGAAGACCAGCATATGAACACAGCAAAGGCCAGAACACTAATGATAGTCAGAATTTTAAATTCCTCCAAAGTCTCGTTCCAGAAAGCAAGTTTCTGGATGAATAACTAACTGGGCAAGCAGATAAGCTTACAACTACGGTCCATTCATTAGAACACTGATGAGAAAGACATGGACAGGAAACTGAGGCAGGCTTTTAGTTTAGAAATCAGCAGGAAGAGGCATAGGAGCCCCAAGTCAAGGCAATTTACTGGAGTCATACTGAAGGTGAGAGTGAACTGAATGTCAGACATCTTCAACTTCAAGATTTTAGTACACTAAGGTAGGGAATTCTCACATTTGGGAAGTGTTCGTTTATGAACAATATTTATAATCCATAAGAACAAATAACATAACAAGAACAAATCAAGTCATAGGAAAGGCTCTCAGATCCTAGTAACATTAGCCTATTTGGAATACATCTGGCAGCATTGGAACTGAGACTTCTTAGATCTTATTTTAGAACAGTGTGACTCAGAAGTTCCCATGATTTCTTTGAATGGCCCCTATAGCTGCTTATTGAAAGCATGACATTCATCACTTGCATTTCTTTGAGAGTTTTTGCTGGTGAAATGAGAAAAAAAAACTTCTTAAGCTGAATAACTTCTCTATGTCTGAGACAACTGGGTAAGTGGTAGTGGTTTACTTTTTTATATATTAAGAATCATGCATATAGTACTCAACTTTTTGTGCTTTTTGTGACTTTCAGTTAGATCCTTAAGCATTTAAAAGCCTATACAAAGGGGAATCTGTGAGGATAGTATGGGATAATCTAGGCTAGATAAGGCTAAGAAGGAATAGGGCAATGAAGCTGAAAGGTTACCTAGTTCATGTTTGTTTCTCTATAAAACAATTAAATATATTTAACGCCATATTCTGTGAAATGGGTCACTGTAGAGCCTGCTGTGGACTTGAGATGGCATAAGGACTCACATGGGAGGCATAGTCAGTAGGTTTTTATCTGTTGCCAGTCATCCTATGTAGGCTTCAAAAATCAGCTAATACTGTTAAGTTATTATATTAGGGGAAAATAATAAATTTTTACTGAAATTTAACATTTACCCTTTGTCCAGGAGGCCCAGGAACTCCAATTCCTGGGAATCCTGCTTCACCATCAGACCCAGGAGGACCTGGGTTACCACTCGGTCCCATGGACCCTGGTTTTCCTAAAAGAAGACCAGAAAAAAAAAAGTCAGCCTTGATTCATCAGCTTCTGAACTTTCTTATTTCTGTCAAATGTACCACCAGATTCTCAGGTGATAATTCAGGGCCATCTTGGGGTCTGCGTTCTCTCTCACCCACAACTCTAGCAGCTGCACATACCCCTATAGAATCTCTCTCATCTGATTCCTTTCTACACGCATTTCTGTTTCCCCTTGGTTCAGGCCCTCATCACGTCTCACCTGGAGTATTCCAACAGCCTCCTAACTGGTCTCCTTGACTCAAGTTGGTCTCCACTCTAGAACGTTCTCCATATAGCAACCAAAGTGATTTTCCTGAAGTATAGTTCTGACCATGTTATTCCACTACTCAATCACCTCCTGTGGCTCCCTAGTCCCTCTAGGATAAAATGTAAACTCAAATGTTTAGTTTTTAAAGTCCTTCACCAGCTGGCCCAAGATATCTCCCCTGTGCCATTGTAGATTATACTCCCTCCTACATTCTTCAAAGACTCTTTTTTAAATTTTTAAATTTTTTTTGTGAGACAATTGGGGTTAAGTGACTTGCCCAGTATCACACAGCTAGTAAGTGTTAAGTGTCTTGTCTGAGACTGGATTTGAACTCAGGTCCTCCTGACTCCAGGGCCAGTGCTCTATGCACTGCGACACTTGGCTGCCCCCTCTTCAAAGACTCATGTTCCTCACACATGCCATTCTACATGCTGTCTCTGGGTACTTTTGCTGGCCATCCCCTACGCCTGGAACATACTCTATTCTTACCTTACCTTATTGAATCCTTCTCTTTCTCACATCAGTTTTAGTGCCCTCCCTAACTGCTATATGCATATGAATACACACCCACACCCACACACACCATATATATATATAAATAAACCTTGCATGTATTTATGTTTTCTCCTTACTCTCCATATACACATATATTTATGTGTATGAAAAACTACATATACTCATTGCCTTTTCTGTTGGAATGTAAGCTTCTTGAGAACAGGGACCCTTTTATTATATGTACTTATATCCCCAGTGCCGGGCACCTAATAGATCCTTAGTCAAGTTTATTAACTGTATTTGAATACTGACTGTGTTTTTGTTTTAAATTAAACTAATACAATAACCAATCCTCCTCCTATTTTTGCTAAAGGACTTACCATTAAAATCTGCAGTTTAATATATGTTCTCTCTCTCTCTGTCCCTCTCTCTCCTCTCTCTTTTTCTCATTCAAGACTATATGTGTGTATGTGTATACAGGGTGTTTCAAAAGTGAACCTTCATGGAATCTCTGTCTTAGAAAGAAATAAAGATAGAGATTGAGAGAAAAAATATATATGAGAAAGAAAGTATATGTATATGATATAATTTATATTTATATAATATAATATATAATAGAAACATGATTATAACCAATTTACATATAATATATAATAACATAAATAATTTGTATGTAAATTTCCCTATAACACATAATATATGACTATAATTTTATAATATAAATAAGTATAATATTTAAATATAATTTATATATGTAATTTCTCTCATATATACATGTATCTGTCCATCTATCTCTATTTCTTATTAAGAGATCCTATGAAGGCTCAAAATTCTGGTTTAAAGAAATAGATTTGCAGGGTGTTACAAAAGTCTTAGTGAAGTTTTAAGCTATTGAAGCTTTTTATTAAAGTTTAATTTAATAAGCTATTAGAGCTTAAAACTGCACTAGAACTTTTAGAAAACCCTGCACACAGAGAGACACATTCTTAAATCTATAAATATATGCTTTTAAGGTATATCTATATTACATGTATATTTATATATACCTTTCATATACCTTATATATTATATATCTGTATATAGAACATATGTATATGTGCATATGTATATAAACTTTTAAAAGCAGCATTTGATGTGTGTATATGTATGTGTGCATGCTTTTTGAACCTATATAGAATCATCTTAGGGGAGAAAAGATAATTAAACTTTAGAATATAATCCTAAAGAAGGTTCTTAGTTTACTAATGAAGAAATTGAGGCCCAAAGAAGTTAGAAATTTTTTTTAAATCTGTAATTCCCTGATAATCTCTAGAGATTATTCTCTCCTTGGGAACCTCTGAAGTGATTTTAACTGTTTTAGAGCATTCATTGTGGTTGCTGGAACACAATGAGCTCAGCAGTCATAAACATTAATGGGAAGGATAGTTACAGTCATTTCAGAGGACAGACAACAAATCCCTTCTCTTCCCATACCCTCTTTTTAAACTGATAATGATGTTTCATAAATTGGACTTAACTAGGTTTTATTACTAAGCTTTCCTTGCAAGGGAACTCTAATCCTTTATATTTCATTTGGAAGAAGAAACACGTACCAGTTGTGCCTTGGAGGCCAGGTAGCCCTGGTAACCCGGGAGGTCCTGGAGGGCCAGGTACTGGTTCTGCTATACCAGGTTCTCCTTTAGGACCTTAAATAAAAGGTATGATAGAAAATTGGTAAGTGTTGTTTCCTTGGTAATTAGGAAAAACATCATTATCAGCAATTCAGGAATGCATAAAGAGAGAAAGTAAACAATTTCTGTTTCTCATAGGTCTTAAAGTTAATTTAGGCTAATGGGCCTTAGGGAATAGACTTCTGATTATCACTAAATATGGAATTTGCAGGTCTTATGAAATATATGTTTTGAAAACAGGGAATGTAGAATTAACTTTAATCTTTAATGAAAGACTTTTTATTTGTTAAAGGGCAGAATGTTTATAGAGAATTATTCAATTACATTTGTTTTAATGCCATAAACACATTAGGTGCCATTCCTTGTACATAGTAGCTACTTTGCTGAATTAAACACCTACATATTCCTAGTTCGTAGTCAGCTAATTAGGTTAGCTAGGTACTGAAACTACTTCATATGTCAAAAGTAAAAGCTGGGCTACAAATGTGATGTAGGGGAAAAGAACCTGGATTATAAAATATTTTGGGAAAATGGAATATTCTATAAATGATTTACATTTCGAAATAGAATTTTCTATAGTAGAATAAAATACTGCTCCTCCCATTTCTATTCCTTTATCTCAAGAAAAAGGTAAAAAAAAATGCCCATGGCATTATTATCTAAAGAGACCTCAGTGGCCAAGCTGTATAAGAACAAGAATGCCATCTACTACATTCCCAACAAGAATGATCCAGCCTGTGCTTGAAAGGGAAAGAGGAGAAACCCACCACCTCCGGAGACAACTCATTTTAGTTGTTAAGGTGATTTTTCTTCCCGAAACCCAAATTTGCCCTTCTGCAATTTCCAGGTTTGCAATTTCAGGTTGGTGGCACAATGCAATAGAGTGCTATACTTGGGGGTCAGGAAGACAAGACTTGAATTCCAATACTGCCTCAGACACTAATTACGTGACCCTAGGCAAATTACCTAACCGTTGTATGCCTCAGTTTCCTCATCTGTAATATGGGGATAATAATAGGACCTCCCTCACAAGGTTGCTGTAAGGCAATGAAGATAACCTGTAAGGTGCTTTGCAAATCTTAAGTGATCTATAAATGCTAGCTATTATCATTATAGTCCTACTCTCTGAAACTAAGCAGAACATCTAATTTCTCTTCTAGGTGTTAACCCTTTGAATATCATGCCCTACCACCCCTAAATCTTCTCTTCTCTAGGCAAAACATGGCCATTTCCTTCAACTGAGCCTTATGTAGCAACAGCTCAAGGCCCTTCCATCCTGACTGGTTGCCTCTTGACTCAGCTTGTCCATGTCCTTCCTTAGAACTATGCCCTCCTCACTTCCCCACTGAAAACATTATTCCAGGTATGGCCGGATCTGGTACATAAGCCAGGACTGTCCCGTGTCTTTACTCCTGAAAGCCATAACTTTCTTTCTTTTTTTTTTTTGGCTAGGCAATGGGGTTAAGTGTGACTTGCCTAGAGTCACCCAATTAATAAGTTATGTGTCTGAGGCAGGATTTGAACTCAGGTCCTCCTGAATTCAGGCCCACTGCTCTATCCACTGTGCCACCTAGCTGCCCCTATAACTTTCTGAATATGGGCAGTTTCTTCCCTCCCTCCTTTCTTTCTTCCTTCCCTTCTTTTCTTCCTTTCTTTGTCTGATTGTTTAGCTGCTAAAATAAAAGGGAGGAAATTGTCCCCAATTCCTTTTTTTTTTTTTGGTGAGGCAGTTGGGGTTAAGTGACTTGCCCAGGGTCACACAGCTAGTAAGTATAAGTAATGAGGCTGCATTTGAACTCAGGTCCTCCTGAATCCAGAGCTGTGCCACCTAGCTGCCCCTGTCCCCAATTCCTAAAGCTTGATTAGGCACTTTCACCATTAGCTCACCTGAATATAAATGTATTTAAGGTAACCCCTCCTTTCCAAACCTTAGATACATTAGTTCAATAGAATATTGTGGTTAGCCATGAATCCTTAAGGCTAACTGCACTTACCTTATTGCCAAATGTTAGTTATTTTAGATATGTTGACTTGTAAGCTAATTAAGTGTTCCTTTAAGTTGATTAACTCTCCAGAAAGAACAGATCTGCAGTGAGGTCACCATGAATCTCTAGTACAGAAGTGAGATGAGGAGCAGAGACTGGGGCAAGAATCTGCTACCTTTGTTTCCTCTTTAGGCGTGGCCAACTTAGCTTCCATCTCTCACAGCAATTCTAATCCAAAATCCTTTGTAATTAGATTAGTCATAGTTATTCAGTATCCTGATATATTTTAATTGTGTTTAAATTGTTTGGTAGCAAAAGATAAATTACTTTTTCCAGCATAACCCAGAGGTTATCTGTCTGAAATTCTGCAAATTCCACGCCTGGGATTAATTAGGAATTATTAAGTGTGGCTCAATAGAGGGAGTATCAGGACCTGGAATGAGGAAGACCTGGATTCAGACCCTGCTTCAGACACTTATTTGGTGTGTGACCCTGGGCAAGTCACTTAACCTCTCTCAGCCTCAGTTTCCTCATCTATCAAATGGGGATAATAATCACAGGGTTGTGAAGATCAAACAAGATAGCAAATGTAAAGTGTTTTGCAAACTTTAAAGCTCTATACAATGCTAGCTGTTATTATTGTTCCTGAGCTTGGTAGAGTTAAAAATCCACAATACATGGAAATAATTTGTACTGGACATAAAATTAACCAACCGTCATTTCCAGGTAATCCAGGAAATCCAGGCACGCCTGTAGCTCCCTTTGGTCCAGGTTTTCCTGGTGGTCCATAGTTGGATGCTCCAGCTGGTCCCATGGGTCCTGGGTGCCCAGGGTCACCAGGATTTCCTGGAAAACCTTTATCCCCCTTTTCACCATTCACAGCCTATGGGAAGAAAATGTAACTGGTTGGCATTTACTATTTTGTTTGATTTTTACAGATAAAGTAGAAATGCGCTCTGCCCCATGGCCTCTCCCTTTGATTGAATGACTCCTCCTAGAACCTCCATTTAAGGAGGCGCCCAGGCCAGCCCTGTCTCATTTGCTCTCCAAGATGCCGTCCGGACTTCCTCTCCCATGTTCCCTCCCCAGATATGTCCCTTCCCTTCTTTTCAGCTTCTTTCAGCCTCCTTTTAGGGGTTGTCTTCCTCATTAGAATGGAAGCTCCTTGAAGGCAGGGACTAGCTGTCTTTCTATTTTTTTTTTCTATTTGTTTTTTTTTCTTAGTACTTAGCACACTAAGTACTTAGTACCTGGCACATGGCAACAACTTAATAAATTTTTGTTGACTGACTATTTGATCTAATTAGTAATGTATAACAGAATCTACAGCATTGCTACCTTTATAGTCAATTAGATTTTTGGGAATGTCAAATTTGTAATAGTTACCATTGAATGTAGAAGTTTGCTTTACTGTTTATCAATGTGGTTACTTATTTCACTGGTGCCAATCATAACCCCTCCCTGACTTCGTATATAATTTCCTGGTGGCCAACCTTCTAGTGATTCGACTTGCCATACTTAGCTAGCTGATTTCTTGAATCTTCGTCTTTTGATTATTAATTGATCACTGAGCATGGTAAGATCTGACACTTTATCCTCTACTGGTCAGCCTTCAAGAACCTAGGTCACCTTCATACCTTCAATGAATTGATTAACAAGTATTTGTTAAACATATACTGTATGTTAGGCACTGTGCCAAGTGCTGGGAGTACAAAGGCAAAACAACGAAATGGCCCCTGTCTTCAAGGTGCTTGTGTTCTTATCAGACAACATATACATATATGTGTATGTATAGGGGTGAGTGTGTGTGTGCGGGTGTGTGTGGTGTGTGTGTGGGGGGGTGTGGGTGTGTATGCAAAATAAACTCAAGGTAATGGGGGCATTGGAGTCTTGTGGTCCATAGTTGATCCAGCTAATCCGTCCCATGAGTTCGAGTTTCAACATCACCAGTATCTCCTGGATGACCTTTGACCTTCTCATCAAGGGTTATGGGTGTGGTGAGTTTATTAGGAAAAATTCATTTGGGATAAAATTCTACTTCAACAGGGTACCATCATTGCTGGCCAGCTGGTATTTGCACCATTTCCAATTTACTGACATTTCATTGCATCAAAACTGTCTGAAGCCCCCTTGATTTTTTTGATGAAGATGTATGAATATATGCCAGTCTGAGTAAATATGAGAACCAGAGCAGCATCCTGGCTGGCCTTGAAGTTAAGAAGACTGGAGTCCATGTTCTGCTTTTAACGCATAGTATCTTTGTGACCATGAGTAAGTCATTTAATCTCTTAGTGCTCTGGGCAGCTGAGACTATGAATTGCAGATGAGTTGCTCATCTTCACTGGTGGAGAATGTTTCCACACTGGGAATTCTTCACATTTCTGGGGGGAATACCACCAAAAACTCAACCAAATATAAAAGTGTTTGTGATACTCTTTTAGGCTGATCTTTATTTTTTGTGGCGTATAAACGTATACTTGTCTAAATACACATATTTACTTTTGCCTCTATCTGTAAATGAATGTTTCAAGCATTTCCTACTTACACGAGTCCTGTAAAAACGGCTTAGCATTCTAGAACACTCATCATGAGTGTATAGGTTAAAGATTGCCATAAAACATTGGATGCTAGCTCTTTGATTCTTAGAAAGGATCTGTGATCTTATTACTGGCCTTCTCCTTCCATGTTTCATGAGTTACTGTGGCTGATAACGCACCTAGTGGTCAGCCTCCTTGTGATGAGCCTCTGTGAACTTGGCTCTGAAGTTGATCCTTCGACAACAAACAGGCAGTCTATCACTGGCCCTGTACTTGAAGCCTTTCCAGATAGATGAGCTCTTCCAGAGCTCGTTCTATTGACACGAGCATTAAGGGCCCAGTATCAACAATGGCACAAAGAGAAATGGGTGTAGGACTTTAATGGAGGGCTAATTATTTAAGTAAATACCATAACTTGTGTATACGTTGCCTTATTACTAGTACTAATGAATTATAGATAGCTTTCTTCACATATACATGACTCAATCCTAGTTGTTGTCACTCCCTAGAAGATCGCTTTTTCTTTTAACTCAAAGCTTTATTTCAAAATCAGTGAAACATAATTTAAAACATATTACTGTGTACCAACCGGTTCGCCTTTTGTTCCTGGTAATCCTTTTGTGCCAGGTTTTCCAGGAATTCCATCTGAGCCCTTTTTTCCAGGGTCTCCTCTGTTCCCCGGATCCCCTCGATCTCCTGCTTCTCCTTCATGTGATGTTTCACCTTTTTCTCCCTTTTGTCCCTGATCACCAGGAGTACCTGGGAAACCCTAGTGAGAATAAGAAAGACACCTTGTTTACATTTTTGTGAAATTGGTTTTGTATTAATCTTAAATACGTACAATGGTAACATGCATTTATAGTGAGCTTTTGGGTTCTCAGAGCTCATTTACATACATTATCTCATCTGATTCTCCCAACAACCCCGTGGGGTAGATATTATTATGACCCATGTTTTACAGAGGAGGAAACTGAGCCTGGGAAGAGTAAAGTGACTTTCTAAGATTTGTACAACTTAGGGTCTGAAATGGGATTTGAACCTAGTTTTTACATCATGCCATTATAAAATAAAACTTACTACATATTAAAATCTTTTCAGTTTTGAGGAAAACATCAAGATTTTATCACTGTATTCCCTCCATATTTCATGAGTTACTATGGTTGAAAATAGCATGACGTAATGGCCAACTTACCAATAAGGCAAATTTTATTCATGTGACTGCTCCACTAAGATGCTTTTGTTGGAAAGTTGAACATTATTATGTTAATACAATGATCATAATGATTGATATTCAGTACAATAATCTAAACAGGGGCTGTGGTTGAACTTTGATTATCTTTAACTGTCATTCAGGAAAAGTACATCCTATTTTCTGTTAATTGATTGGGGTCCCCATCCTCCAGGGTCCTATGATTACAGAGTTTCAGAGAGCAACAGTGACAGGATTCCTGGTTAGTCACTGTAAGTATAGGGGTGCAATATATAGGTAGGTGGTTGGTTGGCGCAGTAGGGAGTTCTGTCCAAGTATCTGGGCCACTCAAGAATTGGTATTCTCATCTCTCGGTAAAGCTGAACTCACATTCCACCCCATAGCATGATCCCAAGATAATGGAGGATGAAGCACACCCAGAAGATTTAGAGAAGGCACACCAAAGCATCCTTCCCCACTCCCCCTCCTATTCTCTTATTCTGGTCCCCTGAACTTGGTGGGACAAATGCTTTAAAGAAATTTCTTTAAGTTGGAGACACTTTCCACCAGGAGCTAAGATGTTTATAGGTGTTGTAACTTCTGTTCTTGCTATATTTTATTGGTTTCTATCCCTTTGTAAAAGCTATTTGATGTTAATTGGGTAAATGATACTGGGGTTTTAATCACTGACCATTAATATTGGGGCAAACAATGGAATTAGAGAACACTCCCAACCTCTAGAACAATGGTGGGAAGATTGATAAAGATATAGCTTTATTCTAGGGGACCTGACTCATTACCGTGAGTGGGAATTGGGATACAGACCGCAATCATTATAAAGGCTACAGGCCTGATGCCTGGCTACTTATGTATGTGAGGCAATAGAACTTTGCCTTTAAGGGTAATGGGGATATGAGCCTTGGTAATTGCTGGGAGTGGCCATCAGCTTTTCCCTTCCACCTGAGAATAGAGTCAGGCAGGAAGTGCATGGGAAATGAAAAAGTAAATGAGTGAGGAAAGATGTGATAGTTTCTGCAGCATCAGAATGAGTGAACAGGAAGAGCTGATTGAGTATTGGCAGGGTGAGGGGAGGAGAGAGAGAGAGAGAGAGAGAGAGAGAGAGAGAGAGAGAGAGAGAGAGAGAGAGAGAGAGAGAGAGAGAGAGAGAGAGAGAGAGAGAGAGAGAGAGAGAGTGAGAGAGAGAGAGAGAGAGAGAGAGAGAGAGAGAGAGAGAGAGAGAGAGAGAGAGAGAATTAGAGAGTCAGTCTACTTCTTGAGATGGGAAAGAAGTGAATGAAATTCAGTAACCTAACTAGGCTGCAGGGGTGAGGTGGGGGTCTGAATAACAAAAGAGCTAACAATATTAATTAACTCAGAAGCCACCACCACTTGGCTGGCACTTAAAGAGCTGTAACCTTTCCTTCCTCAAAAAAGTGGTGGCAACCTCAGCAGGAATGACAAGTAGACATCAGAGTCAGACCTAGCCTTTCTCCTGGTCCAGAATTTTACTAGCTCTGTGATGATGGATAAATCACTTTATCTCGAGGTCTGAGGGCGGGGAGCTGACTATCAACCCTTAGTTCTTTAGCCACTTGGGGAAATAATATCAGGGTAGTCCTATTGGTCTGGAGCCCCTGTTTAGGTCCCTGGTAGAGGAAAGACCCATAAGAGGGGAATGTGTCTTGGCTGTCTGTGGGCTTAGAGAGGAGTCCTTTCTGTATTCTTTACTCTGTATGATAAACTTGCTCTTTGTTGTCAGCTAAATGCTTGCTAGGGAACTGAGACCCCTCGACAGACACTAGATGTGGGACAAATTCAAAAGTTCCGAGGTCCTGAGCCCTGAATGAGGAAACATATGCATTACACAAATTCTTCTTAAAGGGTAGCCCTCAGGGCTGATTCTGCTCCATCTATCAGTGGAGCCCAAATTCTTACAAGCATCAAATTAAAAAAAAATAATTGAACCAAAATGTTTAAACAATTCATAGCTGTAATCTTACTGGAAAGCCTGGTAGACCTGTATATCCCGGAGATCCTGGGCTTCCCTTTAAACCATCAGGACCTTGCCCCCCTGCAAATCAATCAATTGACAATATTTATTGAGTGGTTATTATATGAAAAAAGATAATTCCAGTTACCAAAGCTTATGAAAACTAGCTGTTCTTTTTAGGCATTGTCTAAAGGAAATTATTATTTAAATTATCTCTATTTTATTGCTGTCATAGCATAAAAATAGTGCTGGGTAAAAGAATGAATTAAGAGGCAGAGTATCTGGGTACTAATCTTAGATCTTTCTTTTCATAAATTATCAAAAATACTGACATTCCAATGTAAAATTGTTTAGTCAGAATACTTTGAGGAATACAGAGGAACACCTCACTTGGGCATTTAAGCACTTTATAACTGGGAGCCCCTTGACCAACGACAGTGCTGACTACCATTCAGGAATCTCTATTCTCCCACCGCAGATCACTAGCAGACACAGTACCAGTATTAATAGATGCCAGGACAGGGAACTTTACCCTCCCAAACCCAACATTCATTGGTCAGTTCCTGCCAGTCACTGGATACCTACTACACACAGCTGAATGCTGATTGAACCCTACTAGCATTCCTATTTCTGCTGTAGATATCCCAGAATTCCACTACCCTGACGTGAATTTGGCTTGGCACCATCTGGGATTTCTGACTCAAGTCTATAGCCTCCAAGTAGAACTCTTTCTTTTTTCTTTTCTTTTTTTTTTTTTTTGGCAAGGCAATTGGGGTTAAGTGACTTGCCCAGAGTCACACAGCTAGTAAGTGTTATGTGTCTGAGGCTGGATTTGAACTCGGGTCCTCCTGACTCCAAGGCCAGTGCTCTATCCATTGTGCCACCTAGCTGCCCCTAGAACCTTTTCTGAATGCCAGTTAATGAAGTCCCAGGGATCACTGGTTGTGTTACCTGGGCTCTTTTGTTTTGACCTTCTAAAATCCCCTTTCTAGTCCACTCAAATTATCCTAGTACATCTATGATTTCAAAATCCCTCCTTGCCAGGTAAGACAGCCTTCCATGCAAAAGGGGATATCATTTACCTTGAGTTCCTTTTTCACCATCTAACCCAGGCAAACCTGGCAGACCTGGGGGTCCTGGAGTATAAGTGCACTGGGTACACAGCAGTCCTTCTTCTCCTAGAGTGATATGATGATTCCATTATAATCATGAGCCCATATGATCCACTTGGGAGAATTAAACCTTTTTATTTCCATGAGACAGAGAACTTGTTTTTTGTGTGTTCTGAAAAGCACTTAATAAGTATCAAAACTATTAATAATCTCTCCCTATTCTATCTGCCTGAGGTAGACGAGTAAATGAAAAAGAATAAGAACTTAATTCCAGTTATCCTGAGTTTGGGCATTGTGAAAAAGAGATGGAAAATCAGCCATAAAAGTGATTAACTCTTTAGGGTTTATCATCTGGCCTGAAGAATAAAGCTGAGAGTCCATAAGGATTCATTTGGGCCTTATTTTAGCTTTCTATTTATAGATACATATAAAATCCATCAGGCATTTTCAGCTCATTCTTTTTTTTTTTTTGAGACAGTCAAGGTTAAGTGACTTGCCCCAGGGTCACGCAACTGATAAGAGTCTGAAGCCAGACTTGAACTCAGACTCCAGACTCCAGAGCTGGTGCTCTGTCCACTGCCCTACCTAACTGCCCCAACTAATTCGTTTTTAAAAAGAAAAATTTTTTAAAGAGTAAATAGTTAAACAACTTAATTGGCTCCTTAATTTTTGTGTGTTGTCATTTTGTAAGAGGAAAAATAGGGTAAAATATATATTATTTTAAAGGTTGACTTTGTTGATAGGCTCACTAACCTTTGGGCCCATAGGCTCCAGGCATGCCTGGAGACCCCACGTGGCCTGGATCTCCATGGTCTCCTGGAGGACCATTCTGAAAAGTTACTTTACCTGTTGATAAGTTGGAAAGACATTTTTAAAGCGATTGCATATTCTTAGAGACCACTTCCTAGGAACCACAGCACATACCTTAGGTAATGTATCTAACCCATAATTCTTTTATTGGAAGATGAAGTCACTCATGTATGTTGGTATGACTGAAGAGAGTGAGTCACTTTTTTCACAATTGCATCGATAGCAGGGGAAGGCTGAGTTCGGAGAAGGGCCAGAAAACTGGTCTACCAGAGACATGAAAAGGAGCGATGCAGAATGTCAGGAAAAGTAGGACATGGAAGACTTTAAATGCCAGGCTGAGAGCTTATATTCTGTCACAGAGACAATAGCCCACATTTATATAGCAATTTAAGGTTTGCAAAGTGTCTCATTTTATTCTCGCAACTCTAGGAGGCAGGTGCTATTATCATCCCCATTTTGCAGATGAGGAAACTGATGCAGGCTGATGTTAAGTGACTCGCCCAGGTTCACAAAGCCAGTAAGTGTCTGAGGCTGGATTTGAATTCAGGTCTTCCTGATCCTAGGTCCTGAGCTCTGTGTACTGTGCTACTAGCTGCCTTCATGACTCTATGCATGCAGACAGCAACTAATGAGGCACAGTTATAAATTATCTGTTGATAAAAGCTTTAGTTCGATGATTCTTCCAGAAGCTTTGCATTCTTATTGGTTTTGCAGGTTAAAAGCTGCACATTCTCCAGGAATTGGTCTAAATCATTAAAGTAGTAGAAAGATCCCTGGACTGGGTAGGGATCAGGAAAGACCTGGTGATGTCTTAGGAGTAAGGGACTTGCCCCAGGTCTCTCAGCTGATAGCTGAGAGAGTCGGCATTCTAACTCAGATATCGTAACTCCATATCCAGTTCATAGTGTTATAGAAGAGATGGAAGGGGCCTTTAACTCCAACCTCCTCATTTTACAGTTGAGGGAAATGAACTCCAAAAAAAAGTAAGCAACTTTTCCAGGGTCACCGAGCTAATGAGATTGATGGCTGCCTAAGTTTAGACTCTTGACATTATATACACTAGTTGATACCTCAGTACAAAACTTTGAGTGGCTTTGTAGAGGGGTAATAATGAGCTGGTGATTCCTCTGAAAACAGGTCACTCGATCCTTCTAACTTCACTGATAAAGGATTTGGAACAGGAGCAAAAATGAGGCATTAAAACTCATGATTTCAGAGCAGGATTAAAATCCATTGTCTCTTTATAAATTGGTTACAAGAACAAACTGCAGATAATTTGGGGAGGGGGGTGTGGGAGGGAGGCATTTTGACCTGGTGGTCCTGGAAGACCAGGTAACCCCTTGTAGCCTGGTGTGCCTGGGAATCCAGGAAGTCCGGGAGGCCCCATTATGTTTATGCCAGGTGGTCCTCTCTCTCCTTTATGTCCTTTGATTCCTGGAAATCCTGGAGTACCCCTAAGACCAGGTCTTGATGCCCCTAAGTAGAAAAATATAAACATTTTAGGCTATTAAAGTCACTTCCAAAAACATTTTAGGTAAGTTATTTTTCTGTATCTGTGTTCCTTCAAGACTCAGTCTTCTTCTAATGACCCCTGTTTTGTATCCAAGAAAAGTCTCTTTGTTTATGATCCAAGACTTTAAAATTATTGATTAGCATTTTAAGGGCACATGAAAATGCTAATGAAAACCATGGTCCAAGCTGACTGGACAAGAAGATGCCACTGTTCCACCTACTGGTATGTTGGTTCTCATCTTCCCTTTCATCACCTGTCTCAGATAATTAACAAAGAGGTACTAAAAATGTCTTGGGTGAAGTCAGGAAACATCCGAGTCCCACATGGAGAGACATAACTTTAATGTAACTTGGCTTAATAGGAATATTACTGTTTTTTAAAAATTTATTATTGTATGAATTCTAAGAAGTACATACATACCAGGTCTACCAATATCTCCTGGTGGACCTCTGGGTCCTATGGAAAGGAAACATTTTTTTAAAAGACATGAATGCCAATCCTCCCTCCCCCTTGCTCCCCATCCCCCAAAGAACAGCATAGGATTATTAGGATTTAGAGCTATTAGGAACTTTTGAGGCCATCCAGACCACTACCCTCATTTTACAGGTGAGGAAACTGAGTCCCAGAGACATAAAATGACTTGCTGAAAGCTGAATAGGTGGAAAGCAACAGAACTGGGATGCCAACCCAGGTCCTCTGACTCAAATCCAGGGCTCATCTCCTATATCACATGTAACTTACGTAACTGGAGAAACTGTAGGGCATTATACTGAAAGGACCAGAAGTATCAATCAACACAAAATTTTGAAGATAATTTTACAGTAATTTACTATGGTTTCTCTTATCTATGTAATTAATTTAAATGCAAATAATTATAAGCTGATACTATAATTTTACTTTCAAGTAAATTTTTTTGTTCTCCTATCTCTATTTTCTTTGCCTTGTGGATTAAAAAAATGCACTATATCAATTGATGCTGTTTGGTCCTTTGAGGTAGTCTGAAATTTTGATCCTTCTAGTTAGTCACTCAAACACTTCTCATGGCTTTTTGTGTCTTGCTCTCTTTTCTTTAAACACTGTGAACTTCATACAGATAAAGATTAAAGAGACTAAAATCTCACTAATAACGAGATAAACTTGGGGAAAGCTAGTCAAGGAATGAAAACTTTTTATGAAATAATTGTAAAGAATTGAAATGATCTGTGTAAAGGGATGATGCATTTAAAATGCTTACTGAACACGAAGGGCTATATAGCTACAGGCTATAGGCAGTTAAGTGGGGCAGTGGATGCTTGTATTTCATTCATCCTCACAAAAATTCCATGAAGGAGCTTTGGATATGGTTGTTTCCATGTTGAGACATAAAAATGGTAATAGAATTTAATCATTACCATCATCTCTGGGAAATGCTAAGTTTGAACATCCTTCTTTGTAAGTGGCAGACAGTAAAACTCTTGGAGTCTTTCAGCAATGCATCACAATGAGTGGGACTGATGGTGAGAAAATGCTTTAAGAAAAGCCCTCTTACCACGTGGACCACGTTCTCCTTTGGGTCCTGGAGGGCCAGGAGCGCCATCATTGCCTTTCTCCAGGTATCCACTGTAGTATTCTGTCTTAAAATAGAAAGGCATGAAAATTTTTAAAAAGAAAGGCTCCTAGGGTCTCACTGAAAGCTTTCAAAGGACAACATAATTATGTCAATTATTCTAGTTTCTTTTGTGGCCTCTTGACTGAAAGGAAACTTTCCGAATTTGCCAGATATCATAGGTCATCTGGGACACAACAATCACATATGACCTTAATGTACATGAGTAAAAGAGACTGCCACAGTAGGTCACAGGTGAGATTTAGAGGCCAAAGCTGCCCTTCTGGTATTATAATTATCCTGTGTGTCCATGTTATAAATTTGAGAATTCTATCTATTTGCAAGTCTAGATGAATATAATCTCTAATGGGCCCAGTAGGCCTATGGCTAATCTCTTCTCCCTAATCATGCAGCTCATCTGTTGGCTGACATTCCTTAGCTATTAGTGATGCAGTTTCAGAGGAGGAATATAGTTCTTTAGAAGAGATTACTGATAGACATGTTGTAGACATACAATAATAACTCATGGTGTCCCAAAAGTCTTAGTGGAGTCTTAAGATTTAGTAGCTTAAAATCCCTCTAAGACTTCTGGGATGCCCTGCATTAATTCACCCTCCCATTTCAAATCTGCAGAATGTTTGCATTAAGTTCACACACATTCTCTCACTTGGTCCTCACCACACCCATGGGAGGGAACCGCTTTATTAGTCTCAGTTTTACTATGAGGAGACTTAGACTCAGAGTGAATGGCTTAAAGTCACAGCTAGTAAGTATCCAAGGCAAGATTCCAACCCAGTTCTTCCTGACTCGGAGCCCAGCACTTTGCTCACTCCTTCCCCAAGCTGTCTCTCCCACACCAATGAAAATCAAATTTTGCTCAGGGAAAACAGAAAATTTATTTTAAAAGGTCACAGCAATAGGAAACTTTAGTGTCCTCCCCTACTCTCCCTCTCTGACCCACTTTTCTTTTAGCTTCTGAATTTTAACCTGGAAGGGGAAAATCTACTATTTGTCACCTGGTTTTGTAGATAGGAAAATGGAAGAGTACTCAGACTATGGCCAAGACTACAGGATTACATGATGTCTGTGGATCAGAACGTACAACCTTGGATTTTGTTTTTTTCCTACTCTCTACTCTATAGAAACACATCGTGTAGCACTTGGTGTTCAGGAGCTGAGCAAAAGCGAGTCTGTTTCTATACTACAGAGAGGAAGATGGATTGATGAAGGCTCTTGGACCAGGGCTCTTGGCATATTTCCAGGGGTTCTCGTTGCCTACTCCCACTCTCCATTAGTATTTGTACTTGGTTCTGCCAGGAAGTTCATCTTTTGTCACAGCTATGTACCCCCAAGAAGAGAACTGGTGAAGATACAGCTCCATTGTGGATGGCAATATTTCATGGCCATTCTCAAAAACACCTTGTTTATTTTGTTGGGTTTTTTTGGGGGGGGTCAGAGCCATAACTAGGATGGGCTAACCAGGGTGTTGCCCCAGGGTGCTCAAGCATCCAGAGGTTTGTTGTCTCTTACACCTCCCAGTCCTCTATTGCTCCCATACCATCACTCTTGTAACCACAGTGTGACTGCCTCTGACTCTGCCTTACCTTGAATCCCCAGTGCTTAGCACAGTGCCTAGCACATAGAGACACATAATAAATGCTGACTGATTGATTGCCTGTTCTCTCACTTGGCACTAGGTAGCCACCTCAGTTACCAGTGCTTCTTCTGTTCAATGTTGCAGCTAGCCTGGCATACCTTAGATAAGTTCTTACCACATCCCTTATCTTATAACCATGTCCTTTTCTTGTTTCTTCCCTATCATCTCCTCCTCCTCCTTGGAGTTGGGTATTGTGGGTCATAGGCTTCCCCAAAGGAGGCTTTTGTGTGAGCCACTCATAGTCTGGTATTATTGTATTAGCAGAGAGATAGCATGTCACACAGAATGTTTAGTCCTAACCTCCATGGGCTTATACTCTCCACCCATCAGCTTATACATGCTTCTTAAGGCTTCCCACCCCACAAGGGAACCTCTCCACATATAGACTTCACTTTGCTTCCCCCCACCCTTTACAGCAGCTTAAGGTGTCGTTGGGCTTCCATGTCTTCTACCACTGGGCCTTGGATCCCTAAGGTCTGAGATCTTTCCCCAATGTCCTCCTCACCCTCTGATCTTTTGATGGGAGCTATAATTTCTAGTTATAGTTCTATATGCATGGCAAGTAATATTGTGGATTTACAGCTAGAAAAGATCTGAGAGGCAACTGAACACAACTACTTCATTTTGAAGATGAGGCAATTAAGTGATGTCCATGTACAATGCCAGAGGTGAGATTTGAATCCAGATCTTTGTGACTTCAAGTCCAATGTACTCTCTACTATAGCTTGCTGCCTTAATAGAATAGATGCTTTATGGTTGATTGATTGGGTATTAGGAGAGGAAGTCCCTTAGTCTAGAGGGGTATAGGTGTGTTACTACTGTCCTCCTGAACGCAAAGGTGAGAATCAACTTCGTTCTTAATACCAAAAAACAGAATCATCCTGGATGTTTCAAAGGTAAATGTTATAATGTGAATTTCTGCTTTTGTTTTTGTTTTTGTTTTTTATATAATGTGAATTTCTTGAAGAGTTGTTATAAGAATTACTGAGTCAGGGTGCAGTGCCTTGAGGTGATCAACTCTACATTTTATCAGACAACTTCATCCAAACTTACTGGACCACGGAATCCTGGTGGGCCAATGTCTCCTTTAAATCCCTGTATTAAAGAAATAGATGTAATTGTCAACCAAATCAATGGATGCTAATGATATAATTAGAATATTCTAAGTGTAATGCCTCACTTCCTCAAAAAATAATAATTTTCATTAATTAAGTTTTCTTTGAATGTCATTTAGAGTTTAAATCCAAATGTTAAATTGGTCCAGGAAACCAGAAACCCCAATAAGACATCTTACTGAAGTCTATGATGATTGTATCTTGTGCCCAGTTTCCCCGTCTTTTTTGTTTTTATCAAATCTGATTAAATTAAAAGAGGATAAAGTCATAGGATACTAAGGAGAGGATTACCTTAACGCCAGTTTCGCCAGTTAATCCAGGCAAACCCTTTTTACCCTTAGCTCCCTAAGGGGAAGATAAGAAGAAAATTTAAAGGAGAAGTAAGTTCTCCAGTTTCTCCTATATCCAGTGTAAACATTTAAAACTGCCATTTATTAAAAAAAGAATTTTAAAATGCATTCATGTTAGATATGCACAGAAGGATGACTAAAATAAGATTGTCATGGTAGGTGCTTAATCAGCATTTGTTGAATTGAATTGTCAGGAATAGTTAGGTATTTTTTTAATGATAAACTTTTTATTGGTTTATGGATTACAGGAAGGGTCTCTAATTTCAATATGGGGAACTTCCAGTTTGGAAATTCCTTCCAATGCAGATAGTAGCCCATTTATGACTCAGTAGATTCAATTAAGTTCAACAAGCATTACTAAGCATCTACTATGTATCTAACCCTGTAGAGGCTCTGAGGATACAAAAATTAAAATGAAAAACAGTTCTTGTCCTCATGAAGCACAGAGAGGTTAAGTGTTTTGCCCGTGGTCACACAGATAATTTCAGGGGTGAAAATCAGGTCTTACTGACTCCAAGTCCAGCACTAACCGCTGTACCACACCACTATATACCACACCATTTCTCTAAATAAAAAATGACATGAATATAGCATTTTAAAATTTACAAAGCTTTTTATGCACATTATTTCATGTAACACCTACAACAAGCCTGTGAGGTGGGTACCACAAGTGACATTGTGCCCACTTTACAGGTAGAGAAGCAGATTCAGAGCTGAAGTACTTTGCCTCTAGTCTGCTAGTTATTAAGTATCCAAAGCAGGAGGTGAAGCCCAATCTCCTTGACTCTAAACCCAATGCTCATATTTCCTACACCAGAGTGCACCGTTAATTTAGAGTTTCCGAACAAAAACACCAGGTTGTAATTGAGATAAAGGCTTCCTTTGCTCAGGTAGTATTGAAGCTTTAACCATGAGAGAACAGTGAAAAATAAAATACTTACAGGAAGGCCGGGGAAACCAGGGGCACCATCTTTCCCAGGCTGTCCCTAAATTAAAAAAAAAAAAAAAAGGTGAAAAAAGCCCATATGCTATTTTCATAAAAGCAGAAAATGTGACATTTTACTCCTCTATTTGCTGTTTCTTCTATAGCCAATAGCTAGAAGTTTGAAGGAAGGTGTTCCCCAAAAGGAAAAGTCTTTGATCCAACTACTTTGGAGAACAATTTGGAATTATGACCAAAGGGCAACCAAACCGTGCATACTCCTTGATCTAGCAATACCACTACTAGGTCTGTAGCCCAAAGAGATCATTAAAAAGAGAAAAGGACCTATGTGTGCAAAAATATTTATAGCAGCCCTTTTCATGGTGGCAAAATATTGGAAATGAGAGGATGCCCATCAACTAGGGAATGGCTGAACAAACTGCAGAATATGAATGTAATGGAATACTATTGTGCAATAAGAAATGATGGACAGTCAGATTTCAGAAAAACCTGGAAATACTTGTACAAACTAGTGCAAAGTGAAATGAACCCAAGCAGGAAACAGTATCAGTGCCATTGTGTAGTGATCAGCTATGAATGACTTGGCTCTTCTCAGTGACACCGTGATCCAAGACGGATCATGATACCACAGGACCCACAATGGAAAATGCCATCCACATCCAGATAAAGAATTCTGAATGCAGATCGAAGCATGCTTTTTAAAAATTTATTCTTTTTTATGTCTCTTCCCCCCCCCCCTTTTCCCTTTCGGTTTCTTCTTTCACAACTGTGACTAATATGGAAATATGTTTTATATGATAGCACATGTATGACATATATCAAATTGCCTACCGTTTTAGGAATAGGGGAGGGGAGGGTGGGAGAAAAATTTGGGAACTCAAAATCTTGTAAAAATGGATGCTAAAATTGTCTCAATATGTAACTGGAAAAAAATACAATAAAAAAACACAAAAGGAAAAGTCTTAGGTACTAAGATGCTTCATTATTTTCTTGCTCCCAAGAAAGGTATGAGGCCAAGCAAAAAGCAAGCAGAGAAGGAGGTAGAGAAAAACTAAACTGTTTTCTGTCTGGTCCTGAGCTAGTCTCTTCAATTTAGTTTCTTTATCTTTTATTATTAAGTGTTCTGAACTCTGAGAACATCAGACACTTATCTCTATGTGTATGAATTAAAATCCATTCCAATATCACATATAAATGACTTTGAGATGAGCTGTGGTTTTAGATTATCTGTACCATTTCTTCCCCAGCCTATGGATGAATAGTTGAGTTGGTGCCATAGATATATTGCAAATATATACAGCATTATTTTAATCAACTTCTATTGCATAAAAGCATTTCATGATAAAATCTTAAACCTGGGTTATAATACACGCACACACATGTACATTTATACACATGTGCGTATGCATGCACATACATATGTATGCTATAAATATACATGCATATACACATATATATGTGTGTATGATGTATGTATGTATAGTTTCAAAGTAGAATACAAATTGTGGCTAGCATCTATTTACACATTCCACTAGGGAATGAATGTTTCTTACCTGAGGACCAGGGTCTCCAGGAATGCCTTTTTCAGATGCATAAGATTCTCCAGGTAACCCCTATATTGGAGAAATGTCAAGATTTATATATTCTTGTTTAATGGTAGGGTTCTTCAGCCACTGTAGCCGATCAATTGACATATGAAGAACAATGTTTTAAATGTGTAAATGAGATAGTTTAAACCCTCTGATCTGTTTAAGTGGCGTGAATCTATTTGAGCTGGTTAGGCAAGAAAGCAGTGTGATTGACAGAGACTAATCACACCCCTTGGGCCCATGTATAACACAGCAGTTCATATCAATGAAATTAGTCCAGAAGGGCCTCGCCCACAGGTAGAAGATTTCCGTTCCAGAGTTGAGGATACCAGTTCTAACAAAGCCCTCGAGAGGGAATTGTTCTTGGCGGGAAGGGGATGAAGAAGGATGAAGCTGGTGTTTCTCTTTAGCCTCCTCCACTGACTATATCCCTGGGATGATGGATCTAGCCACCAAGAACATAGATGGACCAAAAAGACACATATGGAGTCAGGAATATACCCAAGTGAGGAGAAGCTACCCAAGCTTCAGGGAGCGTGATGCTTTCTCCCTTGTGATCAAAAGAGTTCTGACGAGCATCCTCGGAGCTCCACAGAAAACACGTAAAGAGAACTTCGTGAGGACTCCAAAAGGGAGAAAAGAGTTTCTGGGACCAGGACTTGCATAGCATTCCTTTGCCATGGATATTCCCTAAACATATACCTCACCACCTCTGTACTTTACATTTCAGCCTTCTCTTTCCAGGTGTCCTATGTGTCTAGCAGAAGAGAGCTGAGGAAAAGTGTATTTTGTATCACCTGTTTTTACTATGTCACTTTAATAAATACCTTTTTTAAAAGCTAATTGAGACCATTGGCTTATAACTGTGTGAAAAAAACACCAGTGGGGGCTTATGAGCAAAAGCATTAGAAACCCAAGGGCTATCTCGAGAAATGTGATAGAACTCATTACCATCTGAGGACTTATCCTGCCAATGCAAGTGGGATTTGGGGAAGTGGTTCAGAGAGGAGGCTATACCTGTTTCTCCATTCACACTGATTTTATTTACTTATTACAATTAGGATTAGAAGATCAAAGAGCTAGAAGGGCCTTTATATGGTCAACTTTCTGGTGATGAACCTCTTTGAATTTGAGTTGAGGATCCTCAGACCACAGGTTGAGCTGCTACCACCTGCTCTAAGGGTACCTTCCATATTTATGTTGTATATACAAACATGCTTATATTTGTCTCCCCCATTGGCGTGTACATTTCTTAAGAACAGGAATGGTTTGTCTTTTTCTTTGTATGCTCAGATCTTAATATAGCGCCTGGCACATAGTGAGCACTTAATAAATGTTTGTTGATTGATTGATTGATTGATTAGAAGTACAAATTCTTCAAAAACAGACAAAAGAAGGGGGGAAAACATACGAAAGGAAAAAAGAGAGGTGACGTTGTGTTACTAGCGGTGGAACACTGGACAAATCAGTCGTTTGACCTCCCTGTCTTCAGTTTCCTCATCTGTGATATGAGGCAGTTGAGCTAGATTTTTTAGGTTCTTTCTAGCTCTAAATCTGTGATACCAGACCAGTTTATTGATTGTGTAGCCTTATACAGCATATGGATTGCAGATTGACGTGTAATTCATGACAGAACATAGGAGAGCAGAACTGGTTGTTAAGACAAAGGTTAGAAACAATCAGAGAACACGTCATGTGGAGAGAGAGAGAGGAGCAAAGGGAAGGTGAAAAGGAAGAATGGAAAAGGTAGGAAAGTATAATGGTTTGTGTTCACAGGCTGTAATAGGAAAAGCCTGGGACATATGATATATGACAACTTGCAATCCTTGCTGCTATATTACCCATCAAGGTTAAGTTGTCCATAGCCATGAAAAAATATTTATTGTTAACCTTTATTATTACACTTACCTTGTAATAACATAGGTAAATGTTGTTATAGTTAATATTATTATACAAATATCATGACTTTATTATTATAAAGGTAAAATTCCAGGGTTTTTTGTTAATGTGAGAATCAAATGAAATGATGAGCCAGTCTTTTTTGTGTTTTATGGAGGAGTTAAAGTCCTCACACATTAACATACATCGAACTGTTCTGTTGCATGTTCTGGAAGTAGTGTTGCTTGTTGATAGCTTACCTTTGGTCCTGGGGGTCCTGGCTCACCCACAGATCCTTTGTCTCCTTTATCCCCTTTAGAGTCCTATCACAGAAAATAATCCAGAGCGTTTATACACTCGTAAGACGAGGTTATAATTAGCTTAGACATTTAAAGTTGCAAGGAAACTGGTTCTCTGATATTCTGCATTTTAAGAAAACTTGATACATCAGATGGTGATTGTTAATATTACATAAGAAATCTTCATTTTATAAAAATGATTCATTTCAGGTTTCCTTTTAATAACAAATTACTCTGGAACACTTAAATTCAATTTATTTTTTAAAATAGATGGAAAACACCTTTTCAGGAGCACCTCTACCATGTGAAGTTAGGTGTCCCTGTTCCAGAATGGTTGGACTAACTTATAGCAATTAGTGCCTGGATGTACCTATTTTCCCACAGCTCCTCCAATATTTGTCATTTTCCCTTTTTTTGTGTGTTTGATCAAATGTGATAGGGATGATAAGAATGATTCATTTCAGGTTTCCTTTTAATAATAAATTACTCTAGGGGCAAGTACATGGTGCAGTGGATAGAGCACTGGCCCTGGAGTCAGGAGGACCTGAGTTCAAATCTGGCCTCAGACACATAACACTCACTAGCTGTGACTCTGGGCAAGTCACTTAACCCCAATTGCCTCACCAAAAAAAAAAAACTGCTCTAGAACACTTAAATTCAATTTATTTTAAAAACAGATTGAAAACACCTTTTCAGGAGCCCCTCTATTATATAAAGTTAGGTGTCTCTGTGAAAAAAAATGCTCCAATAATAAGAAATGCAAACGAAAATGACACTGAGGTTCCATATCATACCTATCACATTTGATCACAAAAAAGGAAAATGACAAATATTGGAGGAGCTATGGGAAAATAGGTGCATCCATGCACTAATTGCTATAAGTTGGTCCAGTCATTCTGGAAAGCAATTGGGAATAATAGCCCAAAAGTTACTAAAAGATATCATTACTGCATCTTTATCCCCAAAGAGATCAAAAAAGAGGAAGAGGATCTATATGTACAAAAATATTTATAGTAACTCCTTTTGTCGTGACAAAAAACTGGAAACAAAGTAAATGTCCATTGATTGGGGAATAGATGAACAAATCATGGTACATGAATGTAATGGATTCCGTTGTGCTATAAGTAATGACTAGGAGGACAGTTTCAGAGAAAACTTGGAAGATATATATGAACTGATATTGAGTGAAGTGGACAGAACCAGGAGTTACATGCAATAATGACAACATTGTAAAAATGAACAGCTTTGAAAGATTTAAGACATCTGATCCTGGAAATGACCAATCAGAGTCCAGATTACTGATGATGAAGGATGCTACCCACCTCTTAGCAGAGAAAGATGGACTATATACACAGAATGACATGAACATTTTTGGACATGGCCAATGTGGGAATTTGCTTTGCTCAACTATGCTTATTTGTTACAAGGGTTTTGTTTTCCTTTTTTTTTTTCTTCTTCAAAGAGAGGGGGAGGTAGGAGAAAGAGAAAAAGTAAAGTGAGGCATTTCATAATTACAATTTGGCTCATTATGCCATTCTTGTACATGGGGCAAGAGTTTGGGCCCTTCCTACTGAACGCAACTAATAAGATAAATTAAAGTGAAGGTAGACCTTGAATTTACAGTTAATCCTTGAAGTCTCAATCTGCTTGATTCTTTATAAAATCCTAATGGGCTCCACAATTTATTCAGTAAATATGTTCCTAAAATGCTATGTACAGTTTGGATTTTGTCAATTAAATCATCTCAAATATATTTAAGGAATTATAGTGTTATAATAACTCACATTTATGTAGGATTTCACTTTATATACATTATCTCATTTGATAATTAGAGTAATGCGATTACCTCATTTCAAAGGAGATCTGAATCCTTTCATAAAGCAATTTTTTTTATTGTTGCTTTTAAAAAAATTACTTCCTAATTTATCTGTTTGGTAAATTTGGATTTTCAACCATCAGTTTGTTCTTTGGTTTGGTTCGAGGCAGACTTGTCCTGAGCAAATTTAAGAAAAAGATCTTTTTTTCACTTTGGTGTGCAAAGACTATGTTGGATGCAGAATTTGTTTTAATTGTTGACAAAAACGAAATGACATAATTGGTCCAAAAATGGATAGTCAGATGAAGAGCTAAATTACATTTATGAAGGGCAAGTTGCTGAACTCTACTCTTGTGGCAAACTCTGGCTACTGTCCATCTGAAAACTACAAAAGAGATGCAAAACTTAGGGTACTGTCATCAGGAATCTGGGGACCATCAGAAGCCCTCCACCCTCACCTGCAACCTACCACCAGGACATTCCAATCATAGTTGCCATCCCCACCCTTGCCCCATAAATCTCTCCTACTTTTCCCCAGTCTTCCACTCCTGAACTGTGAGGAAGAGGTAATGGGGAGAGGAAAGGACAAGGCAAATGGTTTGGATTAAAGGAAATTTGGATTGCGGATGGGTGCTGAATTATGAATGAATTCAATTCATTAATTAATTGAATGTCAGAATAACAGGTCCCAAGCCTAGCAAAAGGTAAAACTCAAATTCTGTTTGAGTATTACCGTTAGGTTGTCTGGTCCAGTCAGTGTCACAATAACTGCTCCTGGTGGTCCAGGGGGTCCTGTTAACCCTCTCAAACCCTAAAAGGACAAACACAAAATGACAGGAAGAAAACAACCAGTCTCCATAGATGAGCTATCATTGAAGAATGTCACTTCCCTGTGTACTTCCTATGTTAAGATTAACCAAAAGGTAACTTGAGACATGTAAAGTACATTCACTGTAAATGCATTTTTCTAGCAACTGTGGATATTTATATAACAGTTCTTAAAAGTCATTTTCCCCATATATCTAAAAGGTAGCATTTTAAATTACCTGATCTCCCTTTTCTCCAATCCCTTTAACACCCATGTGACCCTATGGAGAAACACAAAAGTTATATTTTTTAAAAGTCTTCGTACATGAAAACATTTACATTTTATTTATTTAATCTTTTACACTGTATGGTCATATTTGAACCTTGAATTTTAGGCTGATAAAAGATTTTTTTCAGACAATATTTGTGAGGAAAATGATCTTATTCTAAAAACAGAGAAATGAAGTACAGAGAGATTTAAGGAATTTACTTAATGTCACAGCTGACCCGGGAGACAGTACTACATAGTGAAAAAAACATTAGAAGTGGAAGGAGTACCTGGTTCCTTACCCCACCACTAGTTGGCTTTGTGATTTGGGGCAGGTAGGACATCTATTCTTTGTGCTGTCAAAAAGAGAGACTGGATTTGGATTTCAAAAGTACTTGGCCGTTACAATGGCTTTGAAATCCTAGACAGGACCAGTAATGTCACATTAGGCCAGGGGTTGTGAAGGTACAGGGGTCTTAAAAACAAATGATTACCTTTCACAACAGAATTATAAAAAAAGAACCAAATGAATAAATGTGCGAATGGATATTCCCTATTTACCATCATGGTCCAAGTGTCACAGGATGTTAGAACTAGAAGGAAGTTTAAAGGTCATCTAGTCTACTACCCTTGTTTTACAGAGGAAGAAACTAATGTCCAGCAAAGGGAAATGATCTGCCCAGAGTCACACAGATAACACACAGCAAAGTCAGTGTTTAAACCCAGGTCCTCTGATTCCAAATGTAGTGTTTTTTCAGAATAATAACTACAGATTTTGGCACCTAATACAAACAGTCCCAAATGCTTTATTAAATCAATTTTCTAACTCATGATGTGAATAGGCACTGAACCTGTGAATTTGTTGGTACATTGATAATTCATTAAAGTAACTCCCAGCTGAGAAAATTCTCTTTACCAACACAGATTGGTACCTTCTCTATAAATTATAGTCTATTCCAAGCACTGAGAGGAAAAGTGTTTGACTTGAATGCATACTCCTCTATTCACTGCACCAATGATGTCAAATTCAGGAAACTCTCTAAGACTCTAAATTGCTGAGAAAGTGCAGATCTGCAGTGATAGAGGAAGTTGCTCTCTAGGACCTCTCTTCATCAATAAAGTCATAAAGCAAACAAAAAAATAATGACTCGCAAATAGGGATATCGATAACTTCCAATGTTAACTAATCGTACTTGCTAATTAGGTGCTTGGCTCAGTTGTTTCTCTGCTGTTGCTGAAGACATATGTGTGTTGAATTTTTGTGCTTTCTAAATTTTGGTGCCCGGAGGGAAAGTCCCAGCTGCCCTGCCCTAGTGATAGCTGTATTCTTTCAGAAGATGAAATTAAACATTAAAATAAAAAAGTGAAAAAAAAGAGAGTAATAGAGAAAATGTTAATGATGCAAATTAAGCTTAAAGGTATGTACAAAAAAAAGATGAAATTGCTTTCTTTGGCAGTAACATATTGCTCAAATCTGTTAGTTGATATGAAGTACAGTTGAGTAGTTTTTCCAGCAGATGTTTGAATCAGGTTGATGATGCCCAACCTTTTCCAGATGAAAAGCTATATTTGATTTCCTCAGAAACCTGACTGGGGACCTGGGGTGGGGGAACCCTCCCAGTCATACTTTCTTCCTTACTGGAAATCCCTTTGATGCTCAGGGAAAGGGCAGCTGACTTGAGGATCAATGAGGAAAGACCCTAAGATTTACTAGGCAATCAAAGCCCCCTAGCTAGAGATCTCTGATGTAAGCTATACCACCTGTGAACTTCGATCTACCTTTGGTCCTGGAGGTCCCATCTCTCCTGGAAAACCCTGGAAGACACCATAAATTAAAATTACAATATGAAAAGAAGTTCTGCTAATTTCACTAAGAAATGTTTTTTGAATGGAAGAAAAACTTATTCAGACAAAGAAAAACTACCTGTATCTGCAAGTTCCCAAAATAATACCCATGACCATCTTTAATATGGTATTTTATTAAAAAAATATATATAAATACATATATACATACATATACACACTGTAAATATATGTGTATATATGTATGTGTGTGTATATGCATAGATATACACATACACACACACACATATATGTATATATGTGTATAGGCTTCATACTCACTAAGAATCCTGGGGGCCCTTGTGGTCCAGCTGGCCCAGGAAATCCCGGGGGGCCAGGCAAACCCTTTTAAAAAACGTGGATAAGAGTTACTTTCCAGGTAGTTATTATACAAGAGTAACACTAATTTAACAAGTCTAACTTACTGCAATGTTTTAAAGGAATCAGAAGAATAAATCATGTCTAATAAACTGTCACACCCAAAGAATAGAGGGTCTTTAACTATGTGGATTAGATCATCAGGAGCCCAGAATGGAGGGGAATGTCTACAGATACGTAGGCAGAGATTCCTTCGTGTTTTAGAACAGAGTCTATATAGTCTCACTTTCTCCCTGCTTATGGTCTCGTCTTAAAGTTTAGGATATCATATTCCTTTCCCCCATCCTCTCTGGCCTCCTCCCTTCTTGTCATTCATCTCTTGAATCTGTCAAGGCGGGACAAGAAGCACTTCCTCAAGTATCATTTGTCAGATTTCACTAGTTGAATGGAATCAATTCAAATTCCTAATCATCAGTTCAAGGCTCTCTACCAGTTGGCACTGGACTTCAACTGGAGTTTGGATATATTTCATCTTCTATGCAATTGCTCCATCTCACATCGGCAAACCGCTTGCTTCCCCAGGCTCCAAAGCCTCTGCTTATGTCGTTACCTGAAATGGGCCCCCTCTTTTTTTTCCTTCTTCAAAACATTGCTGAAGACTCACCTCTTCCATAAAGTCTACCTAGTTCCCATCAATGCCATTATTTTAGCCACTCCCTATCAGCCTCTGTATAGTTATAGAATCATAGATCAAGATAAAGTATTTGCTGCTAATCATAGCAGTAAGACTAGTTGCAATCCTTTTGTTTTTGGAGGAACTGACTAAAGTGAGCCTTTGGTGTTCAGGGAAGGGCACAACTATAGCTGTGTGGGTAACCTAGGGAGTCTTCCCTTATGTAAGGAATCTATGAGTTCACCACCATGCTGATATACTAAGAACACAAAATGGTGGCAGGTCTGTCTTCCCCCTAACTAGGTGTTTTGAGGACTGTGACTGTGGTTGGTAACCAGTACTGGTTGGGGTGGGGTGGGGTGGGGTTAAGCAATTCATTGGTTTGTGATGATACAGGAATTAATATACAGTCTAGGCTGATTATCTGCAGAGGCCACTGATCTAAGTTTCTACCCCAACCCTTTAGGGGCCTGTTTGTATGACCCAAGTGTCCCATGAGGTATGGATATGATTACATTGGTTTAGGGAACTCACTGGATGAGGACCTCTACCAATGCAGATCAGCACCTTCTCTGCAACTTATAGCCTTAAGTGGAGGTTCTTAACTGGAGGTCCATGAACTTGTTTTTAAAATTATTTTGAGAACTATATTTCAACATATTTGGTTTCCTTTGTAATACTACATACTCATGTATATGTGAAAACATTATTCTGAGAATGGGTCCATAGGCTTCACCCCAACCCGCTGAAGGGATTCATAATACAAAGAAAGTTGCAAAATTGATATTCTTAAAATGAGAGTCTGACCATAGCATTCCTCTCCTCAAGAGGCTCAATTTGACTATTTGGCAAACTCTGGCATTTAAAGTCCTTTACGATCTGGCTCCTTTGTGATCTGATCTGATATCAGTCCTCCTGATACCCTCTGTACTTCAGTCAGACTGACTTACTTGCTCTTCTCTGTAGGTGACATTCTATCTCCTCTGCTCTCCTTATTCACTTTCACCCTGGAGAATCCCTGGCTTCATTGAAATCACAGTTTAGGACCCTCAGGAGGCCTTTTCAGATCTCCCCATTTTTAATGCTCTTCCTACCCCCAAATCACCTGTATTTACTCTATGTATGTGTGTATATACATACATACATATATACATATATATATGTAAAACTGTTAAGTATAACTATAAAACTATAACTCTCTCTATATATGTGCAAATATACTTATTTGTGTACATGTGGCTTTCCCCTGTAGAATGTAAACTTCTTGAGGGCAAGAACTGCTTTATTTTTGTTTTTGTGTCCCCAGTGCCTAGCAAACGTATGGCATGTAGTAAGCTTTCAATAAATGTGTGTTGAATTGCATTATTGAATCAAATAGTGTCTCATTACAAAATTTTTAAAAGGCTGTTAGGAAGAGAAATGTCTTTGAATTACATGTATGAGGTAGATTGATGAATCTGAATGAATGAATGAATGAATGAATCAAATTTTTAATGAAATGACAAGTATTTATTATATTAGCATTGCAGAAGACAACAAAAATGAGAGTCTGTTCTCTGCCTGAAGTTTTGTACCTGACGTCCTGGGATTCCTGGTAACCCAGGATCACCTCTTCCACCATTTCCTGTACCTTTTTCACGGGCCGGGGCTCCCTTGAAAATGAGGGAAAGCCATTAAATCCAATGAAATATAATATTTTTACAATTCTTATTAATTTGTATTCAGTTGTACTGTTCCAAGACTGAAAATATGTTACAGTGGAGATACTGATGAATAATAGCAGTAATCATGACAGCTCACATAGATCCTGCTTACTCACTGTATAACCTAAGACCCTTAACCTCTCTGACTCATTTTCCTTGGCTTAAAAATGGGGATAATAATAGCACCTTATCTCACAGGGTTATTGTGAGTATCAAATGTGAGCTATCTATAGACACAGATATAGATATACACACATATATGGATATATGGATAAATATCACTTTGAAAACCCTATTTTAATTCTAGCTATCATCATCACCATCATCATCATCATCGCCATCCCGAAAGTCTCAATGTAGTTTTAAGCTTTACTGGCTTAAAATTGCACTAAGACTTTTGGGACACCCCATATCATGCCTTACAGTTTACAAAGTATTCTGCTCACAACCGCAAAATGAAGTAGGTAGTGCGAGTGTTATTATCTACATTAAAATATAACCAAGGTTGTTTTAAGTTGCTGGTTTTCTTTAGAGATGGCAATGCCTTGAACTTATCTGGTATTTTATTTTTGAATTTGCTTTCTCTTCTCTCAGGTTCTGTGGTTTACTGGTGGGAAAAATGAACAGAGAGCTTAAACAGGTTTGTAAGATCATGCATTCAATGACAGAGCTCATTCTAGATTTTAAGAGGTCACAGGATTGAAAGAGGCTAATGAAAAGCCCTGAGTCAGGGAATTAAGGTCAGGGTTAGGCTGTCTACCTGGGAAAAGCTGGATTTGACCTATGAGGAAGCAGAAACAAATCAAAAAGGAAGGCTGGTCTGGTTGCTCATCCTCCTCGTTGTAAGGATTTCTGTGCAACTGTTATCTAAAGCACTGGAAGAGGGTCAGAGGAACTGGTTCTCACCCAGAAAATTCATAGCTGAGGACATCCAAAACAGAATGAGGAAGCCAAATTGCAAGGAACACTAGGGACTTGATTGCCCAGGTCAACCTGATTTCCTAGCACATCGAATCTTTTTATTGTATTGTAGTGTATTGTATTTCCTTGCCCTGTCTTTGGCTGGTGCCAGTATGCCTGAATGTCATAGACAGGGTCCAGCATGGCTCCTTCTGACTGAGCCACACCTGCCACATATACTTTGGGCTCCTGACCATCAGTTTAGTGTTCTTTCTAATAGATTATACTTCCTCAATGGATTATGATGATAGAAAATTACATCTGTTATGGCATATCTATAGAAAGGGCTAGAGAAAGAAATGATGGAATAATCTCTTTTATTCCATAAGCACAAAAAAATGCCCAAATTATGTTGGGTTATGTATTAATGGCATTTATATTTATGAAATCTTATTTATATTTAACTATATTTCTCCATTTGATATAAATATTTTCTTTATAATATTTTAAATTTGAATACTTTTTGATCATTGTGTAATTAATAATAACACTACAAATGACTTACTTTTTCTCCTTTTAATCCATTGGTGCCCTAGAAAAAATAATGATAAATTAATAAAATAGAATGCAAATAGGGAACTTTTCCCCATTCTTGTGAAAAACGTAGGGAATGCCACATTGATGAAATCCAATGATTTATTTCAAAGTTTGCAAATTTGATAATTCTGTTGCTAAAGGAATTAAACCAGTGTTTAGTGACAGCTAATGAAGATTCAAGGGACATCAAATAAATCTTTTATGGCAATAGGTTGGTGTGAGAGGAAACTCTACGTATCCAACATGAAGTGTTACCTAAGAAAACGGTGGACTCCTAATGTTCAAGGCACATTTCCTCTGAACCCTGCCCCAGGAGAACAGAACACTCTGTTCCTCCAAAGAAAATTGTTATTTTAACAGGCCTCAGAAGCACCACGCCCCATAAGGTGTGAGAAGAAGGCTAAAAAAGTTGAGTTCACATTAGTGTAATGATATCATTGTGGGTTTTTTTTTTAAAGTAATACTTTGAATTAGCATGATGCACTTTGTTTTGTTGAGGCATAAATTTAATTTAGTTTAAGTACTAGGATGAAACTAACCAAAGCATTTTTAGTGATTTTTCCACAGTTTCAGGTTTACCATGGTTAATAGTGCTATTTACATAGTTTGAGGCTATAGATTAACATGGGACAGGTAGGTGGCACAGTAGATAGAGTGTGAGGCCTGGGATCAGAAACACTCATCTTTCTGAATTCAAATCTAGCTTCAGACACTTACTGGCTGTGTGACCCTGGGCAAGTCACTTAATCATGTTTGCTTCAGTTTCCTCATCTGTGAAATGAGTTGAAAGAAATGGCAAACCACTCCAGTATCTTTGCCAAAAGCAAAAAAACCAAAAAACAAATGGGGCTATGAAGAGTCAGACATGACTGAAAAATGACTCAATGAGTACATTAACATCTGAGAATTGAGGGTTGAGGGGATAATATGCAGAAATAAATAATGAAGTAGACAGTTGTCACAGTAGTAAGAAAAGTGATATCTAGTTGTACGTGAGACTGTTGTAGTCCCCATTCTAACCAACCAACATCAGGAAGTAAGGCTGGGATTTGCAGAGTGAGAGAACAAGGGGGTGAGGGGAGCACACTGGAAAAGATCCAGTGAAGGGACACTTAGGAGCTTAGCTGGAAAGGACTTCAGTGGTCCAAATTCGTCATTTCAGAAATGAGGAAAGAGTCAAAGGGAAAGTGACTTGCCGGAGTTCATGTTAGTATTAAGAAACAGAGCTGGGATCTGAACTGAGGACCTCCAATTCTAAAAGATAGGAAAGAAAGACAGAAATATAGAGGTAAAGGAGGATTATAGAGCTGGAAAAAACCTCAAAGGTCGTCTAATATGAAGAAATTGAGAATCAGAGAGGTTGTGACTTGTCAGAGGTCATACAATTTGTAAGTTGTGAAAATGGAGCTCTATTGAGATTTGAGATATAAACTTTGTGTGTGTGTGTGTGTGTGTGTGTGTGTGTGTGTGTGTGTGTGTGTGTTCATACAGAGCCAAGGTACTAGGCAAGGTAAATCTAAGCTCCTAAGTGTCCCTTCACAAGGTGCTAAGGATTTGGTACTTGGCTCTGTGGCTTTGGAAGAGATAAAGAAGGGTTAGACATGGTTCCTCACCTCAAATAACCTGCTATCTATTTGGAAAGACAAGACTGATACAGATGGAACAATGAGAAAGCAGTTCAAGACAGTCTATGTCCAACACTAAATGGTGATGTACAGGCTATAGAAATGTAGTGGGAGTCAAGTAGTCAGAGATGCATCTATCATACTTTGGTTCCCTGTGGACTGCCTTTGGCTAGCCACAAGGGATCTCAGACCCCATAAGATCAGACATTTTCATTCTCCTATTGACTGTAGAAGGGCCCTGCCCACCTAGACACATCTTCCTACATCATTTTCTCTTGTCCACAAAAGTGATACCTCATCTCAACTCCCTCCTTTCAGATACACTGAAAGAGGGAAACATGGCTTGATTTCTGCACTCTTTTCCTCACCTTTCCCAACTATTCCTTCTCTACTGACATTCTGTAGCAGAGCTTTCTCAATAAAGCAGAGTTGCTAAATTCTTATTTTGCTTCTGTTATATATGTCAAGGACAAAGAATCTTTAACCTGGAATAATAATAATTAAAGGAAAAAAGGCTAGTAGGGAATTAGATAGCCATTCATTTGAAAATCTCTGTAGTTTTCAGCAGATTTATAGCAACCTTAATACGAGTCAGAGGAAGATAGCCAGGATAGTGAAGAGCCATGTGAGGATGGGTGGAAACAGCTGGGAGTGTTAGATTAGAGAAGAGAAGTCTTAGGGAGACATAATGATTATATTCAAGTAATTTAAAGTCAAGGGCAAATTTAGTCTTAATATTAGAAATAACTTCCTAAAGAGGAATGGACTACCTTGGAAGGTGGTAGCCTTCCCCTTGATGGTGTTCAAGAAGAGATTAGATGACAGTATGTCTGATGTGGTAGAGAGCAGACTCTTTTTTAGGGATTGGTTGGATTAGGTGGTCATTGAGGACCTTTCCAACTTTGAAATTATGGGATTCTACTATCTGCTAAGCCTGGGATAGTGGGACACTGACAGTGACTTTCATTATCAGCTGTAACTTAATCTTCCCCTGTCCTCAAACCCACCCAACCCCCTATACTGTTCCATTCATCACTATTAGAGTGTTGTACACCCTCAAATCAAGTTGCCAGTATATAGTTATCCTAAGACAGCACACTACTATCTTTGCAATTAAATTTTAGCAGTTGTTAGTCACATTGGCCCAATGGTGCACCTGCCAGGTGCACAGCCAAAGTTCTCTTTTCCTTTTCTCAGTCTCATTAGTTGTGATGCTTTCCTGGTGGAGAACAGAAATGCCTTCCTGAGCTTTCCCTTTCAGCACGTGAAGGAGAAATAGATGGATTCTGGATTCTTTCCCGTACTTTATTTCCATGGTAGGGCTTGCAAAATAGAACCTACCGGTAACCCTGGCTGACCTGGTGTCCCTGGAGGTCCTGGAAATCCTTGCTCACCCTGAAAAGCATACAAAGTTGGTCATTCTTAGCTATTGTCCAACCTCACTAGAAAAGCTTATTCAGGCATTTCCTTTGTCCCTTCCCCTCCCCTTTCAGTAAGGCAATGGCAACTCTAGACAAAAGCACTCAGGAGTACTTATAGCTATTTGTGGGTCAGGAAACTGAGAGCCAGGAATCCATTATATCAATTGAAAATGGGATTAGAATCTACTTGTTCTCAAATTGTTCATGGGCTCCAAAAGCCTAATTGTGCCAAGAAATTTCAAATTGCTGATTACTTGAAACTTGAATAATTAGGTCATCTCCCTCCATCTGAGGCCATGCTCTGGGGAAAAGGGATGAAGAGCTGTAAGATAGGCTTGACTTGGGAAGCAGAGTCATTCTTTATCCTGAGTGCAGCTGTGTTCCCACAGCTGTGTGATTAATGACGCTTTTGACAACCGCAGGTGAAACTGACCCCTTGGGCACCTGGTTCTTTATCTTACTGAGGGTGAATTTGACTAGCTACCCCACATGATGGCATGAGAGAATTGGAGACTAGAGACAAACTGAACAGAGTAAGTCATCTGATTCCAAATCTTGTGCATGCTTAGTTCAGGCATTCATACACGTATATTTGGCTAAAATGTTTCAAGGAAAACCCAGCTCTTCATTGCTGTTCTATCCTTTTTCTTCTTTTTCTTTTTTTTTCCCTACCTTTGTGCCATTGCATCCTGGTAAGCCAGGAGGTCCATAGGGACCAGTATTCCCAGGACTACCCTGAAAAAAAAGAGAGAGAACAAAACTGAAAGATATAATTTGCTAGGGACGACACCCCACAAAAGCTGCTGTGAGACCAGGGTTAGTGACCAACTTTAATACTTAGCTGATTCATAATTTTGTCCATATACCACTGCCTGTCCTGGATGCCTCCCCTCCCTTCTTACAGATCACAGCCTTTCTGTAAATAGTCCCTTTGAAGACTTTCCAAACTTGGGCCAGGGCAATTTGAAGACATTTATTCCATCCCCAGGACAATATTCAGAACTTTTTCAGCTGGAGAAGACTTGTCAGACCCTGCTCTTTGCTAGCCCAGCCATCAAGAACCCAAAGTCACTTCTATGCCATTATGAGCATTGTGGGCAATGAATTTTGAGTCATTGGAGCCAGGTTCAAATCCAAGCTCTTTCACTTACTACTTGTATAACCCTGGGCAAGGCATTTCATCTCTCCCAGCCTCAGTTTCCTTATCTGTAAAAGCAAGAGATTGGACTAGACAATCCGTAATTTCTCTTTTAGCTCCAAATGTATGAGCTGATGATCTGATTGGACTTTAGTGGAAACTGCATGTGCTAATGTGGTCCTGAAGAATGCTAGAAGAAAACTGGGTTAATTAAAAGCAAAGGATATACCTCTTTGTTAAAGTTATTTTGTAGATGATATTGGTCTAATATAGAATGAGGTTTGTGCTATTTTAATTGAGTATCCAAATAATCATTACAAATTCAGTGGAACAAGTGAGGGGACCCCCAGGGCAGAACCTATGTCGTAGAGTAGATTTATCAGGCTTTACCTTTATGTGGTTTGTTACATCTCAGGAGTAATGATGTAATAATGACATGTGTGTGTGTGTGTGTGTGTGTGTATGTGTGTGTAATGCCTTAAGCTTTACAAAGCACTTTACATATTATCTTATCTCCTCAAAGCAACTCTATGAGTTAGTAGGTGTCATTACCCTTGTTTTACTGATAAAGAAACTGAGATTGAGAAAGGTTTAGTGACCTGTTCAGGATCACACAGGATTTTACCTCAGGTCTTCCTGATTCCAAGTCCAGCACTTTATTCACTATATCACGGACCTGCCTTTCTATACAAATCATTGCATAAATAACTGGATTCTAGAGTATGTTTTATTTTTATTATGGTATATATGGCATATCTGTAGAGATCAGTGGTATCAAAGTCAAATAGAAACCCCTGCAGGGTATATATTGACCACAATCCACAAATTAATTTTTAAATCAATTTTATTTATTTTATCAAACACTTCCTGATTACATTTTAATCTGATTGCCCATTTTGCAACACACTTGTGGGAGGTTCAATGAGTTTGACTCTTCTGACATGTCACATAGAATTATTTCAATTACTCTTCAGAGAAATTTAAGAGAGGCATTGTGGTCTAGTGGAAAGAGCATCAGATTTTGAGTCGGAAGACTTAGGTTCAAATCCCGGCTCTGCCCCTTACTACCTATATTATCTTGGACAAGTCACTCCCTCCTCTGTTTCCTCACCTGTAAAATGAGGGGGTTGAATTAATACTGATAACAATAGCCAAAACAGACTGTTTTAAGTAGACCGAGGAGATGCTTTCATTTGCTAGCCACAGTAACTAGTCTGCTTTAAGACTAACAAAATATCTTAGATACGTATTCTAAGGTGAGCCTCCCAACAATGCTGTGAGATGGTTATAGCAGGTATTGGTATTCTCAGGTTCTCAATGAGGAAGCCCAGGCTCAGAGAATGTGAACACCTTAACCATAATCACACAGCTAGGAGGACCCCTCCTTGCAGGAGGGATCAGATATGGGTCTTCTTGACCCCCACGTCCAGTGTTCTGTCCACAACTCCATGCTGCTTCCTTAGATGACTTTAAGGTCTCTTCCAGTTTTAAAACTATGATCCCATGACTTGTGACTCTACAAACAAGAAACGTATATTTCCTCACTACTTACAGGAAGTCCTGGAGGACCTGGAAAACCTGGCAATCCTGTCATTCCCTGTTGATATATAAAAAAGAGAGAAATATTGTTTAAATGTTCAAAATACAGCATATAAGAAAATTAATATTAATGGATTATAATACTGACCCTTGTGCCTTTGGAACCAATAAAGCCTGGAAACCCTGGAGAACCCTAGAGCCATATTAAAGAGTGAGGGAAAGAAAAAAATGCATATTAAAATAATATGTAAATTATATAACATTAATACCTGCATACATTATAGACCATCCTTCCTCACATTCCTCCAAACTGCTAACACTGTTTTACCTCCCATTTGATCTCGTCATTGACCCTGCCTTACTTGTAATCAATTTTCTCACAAAACACTGTAGAGCTAGAATACTAACTTAGAAGGGAAAGATAAAGCTCCATCTAGAAGAGACCAGCTAATCAGCTGCTAAAGCATAATAAGACTCAATGTAAAGATGGCTGCGACAGATGGAAATAGCAGCCAACATTACGTGTCTGGCTTCTCAGGCTTATTAATAAAATATGCCACAAAAGTAGAGAACTGCATAAATCTGAGGTGAATCTGCATTGTTTATATTGTGAAGAATTAAGAAACATTGTTGAATACAGCTTTAGAGGGAACCTGCTTTGGGCAGGGGAGTGGGGGGGGTGATTGTCCTCTCTACCACACAGAAACAGAAAGTTTCAGTGACTTTTAGTATTTTCCACCATGCAAGAAGGAAAAAGTTGTTAACATAGTCTTTCTAGATTAAATTAGACTGCCAAGGACAAATTCTGCCTTTTCTTACTTATATGGAACTCAGGGGCTTAATACTGCTCCCAGATCCTCAAAAAGATTCACACACTGTTCTTTTCTCCACCCCATTCCTCCCCCCCAAAAAAATCCTATTTGGGTTATTCTGCAGGGAAGATATGTCCTTTATGCTTTATTTTTCTGTTACACATTTTCTTATACTTTCAAGTACTTCTAAAGTGGGACAAAAAACTTGTGACTTTGGGAACTTTTCTCATCAATTTTAATTCATCTGGTGTTATCTGTATTTGAGCCAATGCCTCACAGGTCCCCATTCTTGGTGATCTGCTTTAAAGTGTAAACTTCATGAACACTGCATAGAACATATTTTTCCTGGATTAATCTTGTGATATGTTAGGCATATCTTGGACAGCTCATACCCCCAAAGTAGCACCGTGTGCTCAGAAGTATTGTTTTAGTTAATGTTGACATATCTGATGGAAACGCTGAAAAAGGAAACAGCAGGGCAATGAGACACAGGTCACATGGGAAAGGAAGCAGTTGCCATAAAATAACTGACCTGCTCAACCCCCTGTGGAATGGCAGCCCCGCAAGATGGTGGAAGGCATACTTAGACCAGGCTTGGCCTGGCCTGCCCCTAGAAGGAGATATTTGAAATGAAAAGAGAAAGAGATGAGAAGATAGAGGTGGCAAGAGAGACAAAATGCCGAGAAAGAGAAATAAGGTTGGAACTGAAGAAAAACAAATCTACACTATAAGTGAAGACAGTGTCTCCATGCCCTTTGTTGGGCTCTCTGTTCCCTATTTTCTTTCTGGTAGAAATGGGAATGAGAATCTGGGTAAGGAATTCAGAGGATTCCTAAATAATTACTAGCATGGAGACAGAAGAAGATAAATGAGAACAATCATTTTTTAAGGTGACAAGACGTGCTAGCCTTTAAAAAACTCAGCAGATGAACCATTTTTTTCTCTGTTCACCTAGGTTATAACTAGTGCTGTAGGAGACTCAGGGTTCTCAGGATTAAAGAGATTAATCACTGCAGACTCCAGTCTGGCTAAGGCCTATAGTAATAAAGACAGTCTGTCTTTAACTATCCTTTAATTGACATGTATTTCTAATGGAAATCCATTGATTGTTTATAAAGTGGCCTCATGTTCAGTCAAGACAGATGTTAGGATTATAGAATAATATTATTGCAGCGTTCTAAGTTTTAGATCTGTGGCAGAATCCAAATGTGGAAGGTATATATGAATTTAAAAATAGAGCTGGGATGTGGTCCTGCTATATTTTACGATGATGACAAAGAGCTAATTTATTGATTTAGTACTGAAATCTTCAAAGGCCTCAAAACCCACTGTTGTAGGAGGTACCAGATGGTAACTATGGCAGTAAGACTGGAAGATCTCTGCTACAGACTAATATTTTTCCCTGAAAAGGCAATGAAACCATCCTTGAGACTTAATTGGTCCAGGAGATCCAGCTTGAATCATAGACATAATCAATGACATAGAATTATTGACCTCGTGGTCACTTGAGGCATAAAAGCCCAGCTCACAATAGACTGTGCTCCTCAGCCTCCACAGCCTTCCCACTGCTGTATGACTTCTCACTGGTTGTATCACTATGGCAAATGCAGGAGGAGCTTTGAAGGGAGCCGTGCCCAGCTGAACCAAATGCATCCTTTGCTTAATATCCCTTTCATGCTAATGTTGAGTAAACTTCCTTTTCTTAAATCTTAGAGAGTCACTAGTATATTGTTGATGGGGCTGTCAGTTGATCCAGTCATTCTGGAAGGCAATTTGCAACTATGCCCACATTCACCAAGTTGTGCAGCTATACCACTACTAGGTCTGAATCCCCAAAGAAAGAGGAAAAGGCCCACATGTACAAAAATATTTATAGCAGCTCTTTTAGTTTGTAGCCAAGAACTGGAAATTAATGGGGTGCCCATCAATTGGAGAATGGCTGTTGGGATCAATGAATTAATGGAATATTATCAGTATGGTTTAAAAAATAGGAAAAGACTAGTATAAACTTAAGCATAATGAAGTGAACAGGACCAGGAGAACAATTATTATTATTATTTTTTGGACTAAGAACATTATAAAAACAAACAACTTTAGAAGACTCAAGAACTCTGATCGACACAATGACCAACCACAACTCCGGAAGAATGAGACGGAGATTTTTGGACATGGGGGATGATGTGGGTTTGTTTTGTTCGACTATTCTTGTTTGTTACAAAGATTGTTGTTTTCCATTTTCCTTTTTATTTGGGACTGAGTGGGAGGTCGAGGCTAGCAATAGTGCTATCCCCACCAAAAAATGAAGATGAATAAAAGAGGGGCATAAAAGCATCTTTAAAATTCACGGAAGGGAATACAAAGAAGTTCAGAAGGAAATACATACAATCAGGACATCGTTGATGGTAATGTCTTGTATGTGTTATGTACTTTAAAATATAAGCTGAATGTAATAGAAATTTGTGGTTTCTCATGGAATTCTTTTTTCTTTTCTGCTTTGTATGTGGATATCCCCCACCCCACCCCTTTTCAATGTTCACTAAATTCAGAACAAAAAAATTGTTTAAAAATATGATATGGTCTATGAATGTTTTATTTCATTTCATTCCAATCCCAAGCCAGAAGCATGAGACTAGCATGAGTTATGCCTAGCCCAGAATACTATTTTATGGGCTTTCTTTTTATCCCGCCAGAATTGTGGCGACCAGTTGGCTGCTTCCTTCATTAGACTCCCACCTATTTTTGAATCAAGGCCTTAGATGTTGTGTCTCAGACAAGAATCCGTGAATCATGATTCATCAATAACCTACTGCTGGTAGTTTTGCTCAAAGAAAGTTTTTCCCTAACCTCCTAAGTATGAACTATCAATCCCATATAGTAAGTGTAGACTCATAATCAAACAAGAAGAAAAGAAAACGAGGTGAAGCTTAGGGAAACGTAATAAATGATGACTGGCCCTGGGCCCAGTAGATAATCCTAGATTCCAAATCAGTTCAGGTCCTGGTCCTTGATCCAAGGAACAATTAGGTAAACCAAAAGGATAAAGTCTTTCACACCAACCTATCAAGGATCATACAAACCGACAGTCAAATTGCTGTCAAATCAACAATTTAGGTGGTGTCAAATGTCAATGGTAGTCATGCTGGGGTAGGCCAAAGGGAGGACAAGTAACCAGAGGGGAAGCAGCTCAGAGGCAAGGCTGGGTTTGGCAGAACTCATGCTGCTATGACAAGAGAGCGCTTACATGAAGCTATGTTGCTCCATCCACTTCCTACTACCTGTAGAGTTGGTGGGTTCCGATAACTGCTGAGCCTGTAGACTGTCAGAGAGCATATGATATGCAAACTTGGAAGATTATTTACCTTGGGTCCCTGGGGTCCAGGTATACCTTCTGGACCAGGCAGTCCTTTCTGGCCGGGAGTACCAGGGCAACCGGGAAAGCCTTTCTCACCCTGTTCAAAACAATAATATTAACATGTTACTTTGGAATTAAATAACCAAAAAGCCATCATCTTCTTGGATGATTTAATGGTGAATTTTTAAGTGCTGTGTGTGTGTGTGTGTGTGTGTGTGTGTGTGTGTGTGTGTGTGTACAGAGAGAGAGAGAGAGTGAGAGTGGATATAGCCATCAATGGCCAATAATACATAATGAAATTGTAGTTATGATAAGATTTCAGTCTTTCAAGAGGATTTGTAGAGACGACTTGGTATGATAGAGAGAGTAGACTGGGGCACAGCTGAAAGAATGTTGGATTTCGAATGAGGGGACTTGGACTCAACTCATGGCTCAGTTACTTATTACCTGTATGACCCACATCAAATCACTTAACCACTTTGAGCTTCAATTCCTTATCTGCAAAATAAGCTGGATGGGGGGATCAGGGTGGGGGTGGGGGAGGAGAATTGAGCTCCATGGTCTCAAAAGTCCCTTCCAGATGTGAATCTTTGGTCTGTGAGTACTGACCTTGGAGTCAGGAGACCTGTGTCAGATCCTAGTTCTGACTCTTATCAGCTAGTTGACTTCTGATGAGTTGTTTTACCTTGAAGCCTGAGGGCTTTTTTACTGGGAAAATGGGGATACTAATCACAAGCTAACTATCTGAAAAGGCTGTTGTAAAAAAGGTGCCCTTGTGAAATTTCAAGCATGCAGTGCCCAAGCTTCTGCTCTCCTGCCAGTGCCCCCACCCCTGCCCCAACACTTTCACCTTGCAAAGCCTCTTATTTCTGAAAGTTCAGAGCTGAGAGATGCAGATGCTAAGTGGTGAGGAAATTTAAAGGGGATAAGGGAATCAAGTAAAGTAAAAAAAAAAAAACCAAACAAACAAAACTCCAACACAAAATAAGAAAATGTCTTAAGTAGAACCTGAGGTAAGAATGCCAAAGAATGTGGCAGAAGCATGCATAATTGTAACATTCCTGTTGTGGGCTTTACTGTCTCTTCTTCTGTTAGAGAACTGTCATATTTAATCTGTTATTTGGTTAGGAGATAAATCAGTAGCAGGAAAAAAAGATGGGTTGGCGGATCTAATAGTCTGAGTTAAGTAATAGTTATCACTGATAGTAAGGTGTGTCAATGAGGATAATATGCATAAGTGAAACCACAGAGGATGGAGTAGATAAAGGAAGAATTGGGGTCAGGCCCTGCCTCTGATACAGAGGGATGAAAATAATTCAGCTATTTGGCAAAAAAAGTCTGAATTTTTAATTTTCAAAAGCACAGAATTCCTTGTCATCTATCCTAAAACTATCTTTCTAGCCTTAATTCCTACTATTCCTTTTTTTTGGTACAAGTTTTACTGGATTGCACACCCATTCTTACTCCCAGTTTCCCACCTCCATATGTTTGTGTTACAGAAAAGTCAGAATGCTAAAATGGTTATAAAGAAATGAAATTTTATTATTTTTAGGTACAGATGGATTAATATTAGTATAATGAAATAGGAATAATAGAGGGCTAAATGACCTACAGAAATGAGTATGTATATTAGTATATATATATACACACATGTATATATACATATAAATATATGTACATATATAGCCATTGAGATAAGTATAAATACATAGATATATACTTACATGTACACACATACACATATATGTGTATATGTATGTTTATTTACATGTGTATATGAATGACCTGAAGTTACTGTGTAATTTGTTTGCAGGTGATTAGTGCTTCTGAAATACTTGAAAAAAAATTGCTCTCTACAGTTAATTGAAAGATTCCTTCTTCAAGTCTTTACATCAAATTCTTGGTACCATCCATGACAACCCTCTGCTAAAACCTATCCTGGCTCTCTATGCCAGCATTGAGCTTACTTTGTCTTCTGAAAGGCTGAACCAATACGTTGCAAACTTTTGCAAGCCCTGACAAGTGTGAAGGGCTCTGCAACTCTAACTTTGTGTCTATCACTCAGTCGATCAGCAAACATTCATTAAGCGCTTATATGTCAGGCACTATCTTGCATAGGAGCGTCCACCAAACCCAGTTTGGGGAGCCTCAGTGCCAAAAGTTTGGCCACAAGGGGGTGAATTAATTTTGGCCACAGCAACTCATGAAGACCTGCCCATCCTAAGGCCTGGAAGGTTTTCACTCTGTCTCAGTGGAGGGCCCATCCACATTTGGGGAAATGATAGATCTTAGGAACTAGTGATGCATCTAAAAGGAAAAGATTGGACAGATTTATATAGAAGCATAGACTTGAGGAAGGACTTTTTGAGATCATCCAGTCCACATCCTCATTTTACAGGTGAGTCCCAGAAAAGTAACACAAGCAAATGAGTAGTAAGTCTAAGACTCCAACCCAATTCAATGAACCATAGATTTAGAGACAGAAAGTGTGCTTAAGATCATCTAGCCCAGCCTCTTCCTTTTACAGTTAGAGAAACAGAAGCTCAGAAGAGTCAAGGGTTTCCCTTTTTCAAGGTCACACAAAAAATGTCAGAGCTGGGCTTTGAACCCAGGTCCTCTTAACCCCTAATCCTCTTTCCACTGGACTATGCAGTATGTCTGAATCATCACAAATGGTATATTAATGGACTTTGAATTGGTAAGATCTTTGCTGCATTCCTTCATTTATTCTTGCAATCAGATCCCTTCCTTAGCCCCATGCTTTGTGCACGGCAGGCTTGAAATCCCAGAACTGATTCTTATTTGAATCTCAGAGACGATTGTAGTTCTGATGACCTCATCTTCCACTAGGTGGAGGTGGAGATCATGACATCCACTCTGGCTCTTCTAATGTTTATTCAGCCTCCATCTAATAAACCATGGTGGTTTCCACTTGAACTAAGTGGTTTTCAGTTGTCCTCTTGTGTTCTGTAAGATTGTAGCCAGTGCACAAATGTAGGGACATCCTCTGGAACTTCACTTTACTAATTATCTGCCCCTCTCTCACCACCCAAAGAGTTATAATTTAACTGCTGGTATTTAGGCCAGCCAGCCAAGGGCTTGAACAAGGCCTTCTTTCAGGTTAATGTTTCTGTTTGGGTACATTAAAATCGCAGTGTTTGGAAAACTGATGGACACCACTCCTTCTGGATGTTATGAATGGAGCATGTTGAGGACAGAGAAGCAAAATGTTAGTTACCATCTTGTTCTTACCTTATTGCCTTTGATGCCATCACAGGAGCATGGGCCCTTGGCCGTACAGACGCAGCCCTGTGGGGAAAGAAAGGAGTTTTGTTTAAAAACAAGGACAAATTTCTATGTTATTTGATGAATCGCAATGAGCAGGACAAAATTAATCCAGCCCAATCATTGTTTTCTTTTCTCTGACTCAAACTGCTTTGTTTGGCCTTTAAAGCTCTTCACAATCCACCTTTTTTACCTTATTAAACATTCTTCTCCAGCTTGTGGTTCAGTCAAACTACCCTTGCTTTTATCCCTCGGGCCTGGAGGGCACTCCCTCCTTATTAAACACTTAGAATCCCTAATTTCCTTCAAAGTTCAGCTCCTGATCACAGTTAGAATTATCCTCCCTCCCCCTAAAATTACCTTTTGTGCATATCTGGTGTAGGAAATAAGCTCCTAGGGGACAGAGACTGTTTGTTTTGTTTTGTTTTTTGTATACCCAGTGTTCTGACATTCAGTCCCGTCTGACTCTTTGTGACCCTGTGGACCATAATACCTCAATAATAGCCATGAAATTTTCCTGACAGAGATACTGGAGTGGTTTGTCATTTCCTTCCCTGGTGGATTAGGATAAACAGAAGTTAAGTGTCTTGCCAGTAGTCATACAGCTAGTAAGTATCTGAGGCCAGATTTGAACTCAAGGTCTTCCTGACTTCAGTCCTAATGCTCTCTCCACTCAGCCACTTAGCTGTTTTGTCTGACACATAGTAGGTGCTTAATAAATACATGTTGGTTGATTTTTCAAGTGTGATTTACCACAGAAAGCCTTTTTTGATTCTCCCAGATGCTAGTCTCCATTCCTTATTTTTTAAAAGTAATATTTTATTTTTTCCCCAATTATATGTTAAAGCAATTTTTTTTTACAATTTTTCTTCTCAAATTTTGAGTTCCAAATTCTTTCCCTCCTTCCATCTCTTCCCTCCTTCTTCCCTGAAATGGTAAGCAATCCTATATAGGTTAGACATGTGCAATCATGTAAAACATTTCAGTATTAATTATTTTGTACAAGAAGACTCATAAGAAAGGAAGGAAGAAAGAAAAATAGTATGCTTCAGTCTGTATTCAGACACTATCAGTTCTTGCTCTGGAGGTAAATAGCATGTTTCCTCATGAGTCCTTTGGGATTGTCCTGCATCATTGTATTGCTGAGAATAGCTAAGTCATTCACAATTCTTTATCGTATAATGTTGCTGTTACTATGTACAATGTTCTCCTGGTTCTGCTCACTTTACTTTGTATCAGTTCATGTAAGTCTTTCTAGGTTTTTCTGAAATCTGCCTGTTAATCATTTCTTATAGCGCAATAATATTTCATCACAATCGTATACCACAGCTTATTCAGCTATTCCCCAATTGATGGATACCTCCTAAGTTTCTAGTTCTTAGCTACTACAAAGAGCTGCTATAAATATTTTTGTATAAATAGCTCCTCTCCCCACCTTTTTAAATCTCTTTTGGATACAGACTTAGTAGTAGGGTTGCTGGATCAAAGAGTATGCACAGTTTTTATAGCTCTTTGGGTATAATTCCAAATTGCTCTGTAGAATGGTTGGACTAGTTCAACATTCCACCAACAATGCATTAGTATCTTAATTTTCCCACATGCCCTCCAACATTTATAATTTTCCTTTTTTGTTATATTAACCAATCTGATAGGTGTAAGGTAGTACCTCCATTCTCCTATTATCTTGTATTTATTTTATATATGCTTATATATGTACCTGTTGTTTTTCTTGACAGAATGTAAATTCCCCAAGGGCAGGCACTGTTTTTATTTTTAATCTTTGTGTAACAGGTTCTTGTGGTGTACAAGGGGTCTGGGTTATCATTATCTCCTTTGTATCTTGGGCACCTGGCACCTAGTAGGTGTTTTATAATTCTTTTCTTTCTTTTTTTGCTTTTTGGTGAGGCAATTAGGGTTAAGTGACTTGCCCAGAGTCACACAGCTAGTAAGTGTCAAGTGTCTGAGATCACATTTGAACTCAGGTCCTCCTGACTGCAAGGGTAGAGCTTTATCCACTACGCCACCTAGCTGCCCCTAACAATTGTTTCTTAATGGATAGGACATTAAACACTCTCTGTCCTGGACCACATGAGTCAGTTTAAAGGAAATAAAAATTCCTTCAAGATGGGGTTGGGAGAGAAGGACAAGGGAGCAGCCTTTGGCTCCCAATTGTTTCCTTTACTCACCTAGTTCATTCACAAAATAAAGGTCAACAATCTCTCTCTCTCTCTCTCTCTCTCTCTCTCTCTCTCTCTCTCTCTCTCTCTCTCTCTCTCTCTGTGAAGCAATCAGGGTTAAGTGACTTGCCCAGGGTCACACAGCTGGTAAATGTCAAGTGTATGAGGCTGAATTTCAACGCAGGTCCTCCTGACTCCAAGGCTGGAGCTTTATCCACTGCACCACCTAGTTGCCCCAACCTCTCTCTCTCTTTTCTCAGAGGAACTTTCATGTCTCCCTGGAACTCCTGTGAAACACTGGTCTTCCTGAAATATGTCCAAGGCTCAAAAATGATGGTCCACAGTGTTTGTGTTTCTCTAAACGGAGCAAACATGTCTCTGACATTAGATTGTGGAGAGATGAAATACAGTTTTGTTTTATCTTACTAGCCACATGATGTACTTTAGGACATCTGCTGATTTTTATGCTAGATTAACACTATAGGATCTGAGGCAGCAGAGAGAAATACTAACCAGTGATGAATGCAAAGCAAGTGGCTATGCTTTCTGCATGCATTCAGAGATATGAATAATATACATCTAAACAAATATAGATGCATGTACATGTATTCTTGTATATATATACATAAACTATAAAACTTAAAACTGAACTAAAATTTTTAGGACATCAGATATATTAGGTGCAGATATGTGCATATATATGTATATATGATTTCTGTCTGAATTTGGGGATATGAATAAGATATATATGTAATATATATATGTAATATATATGTATATATATAAAGTACACCTATATACGCAAAGCTTAAAATTGCAAAAAACTTGGGATACTGTATATATATTAACATGTTTATGCATATATATGTTTACACATGCATACACACATGTGTGTATGCACACCACATTTATGTGTATGTATGGAGTCTTCCAAAGTCTCTAATGCTTAGGTTAATGTTAATATTAGTTTGTGTTCCCTAGAGTTGTGAGAAGAAGGCTCTGATTATAAATTTCCAAGGAAGGCTTTTGGAGAGAGATATAGGAAATTAAAATGTTTCCTTAGATATCATCCAAATGGATATTTTTTACGTATATGTATGCATAGTTGGTTGGTTGTTGTACTTTGTGCTAAGTCCTTTATAAGTATTATCTAATTCTCTGAACCAATAGATCAATGTTTCCAAAGATCTAGACGTTATGTCAATGAAGCGTATAGAGGATTCTTTGCAATTTTCCATTTAGGGATGTTTTGGTACAGTGCAGTCATGTCAAAAGCCAAATATCCACAAATACCTCCAGTAGGTAAGAAATATCTAAAGAATTGTGGTTATTTTTACGTTTCTCTTGTTAAGACTGTTATTGGTTGGTTTATAAAAAATCCTTCTTGGTTCAAGGCCGTTAGTGGTCATAAGTGAAAGGAATTGGATCTGGTTTTTCATTCATCTCATACTTGGGACTAAGAAACTAAGCCTTAGTTGACACTTTCACTTGTAATCAATACATGTCTTTAACCTCTTTTGTTAAACTGATTTATGAATTTATTCTTTATTGTCCCCCATTTGGGGCATCTGCCAATATTTTGTCTTTTTCTATCCATGCATGAAGTATGACACTTGAAAAGCACAGCAATAGCTCTTGGAAGTATGGCCAGAATGTACAAAATGTACAAAATGTACAAAAAATGGATGGATACTCTTTCCAAAAGGAACACATCATGGCAAACAGACAATAGTGATAGCTCTGGGGCTCTGTGGATTCAGATTTTTCCAGGTTTCTGATGCCCTCTTGGCAATATGTTTGTATCTAAGCCTCAGTGCTTGCCTCTAAAGTATTTTGACCTCTATTCTGGCTTCAACCTTCAGGTTCAAATGCTTATCACTGGGCATCTCCTTTGCAAGAAGACCTTTCTAGTCTCTCCTTGTACTCCTCTCCAAGCATTCTACAATCTATTTCCACTGGTCTTTGCAGTGCCTGTCCCCAATGCTGGGAACACTTTTCCTCCTCCCTTCCATCTCCTGACTTTTCTGTCTTCTTTCAAGACTCAGTTCAAATCCCATTTTCTGTGGGAAATCTTTCCCAATCCCTTATAAGTCTAATGCCTTTCCCCTGTTAATTACGTGCTGTTTGTCCTGAACATAGCTTATTTGTATATGTTTGTTTGCTTGTTGTCTCTAGCATTAAATTGTGAGCTCCTTGGTGTCAGGGATTGTCATTTATCTCTTTGGATGCCCCGTGCTTAGCACAGTGCCTGGTACATAGTAGGTGCTTAATAAATGCTTTTTGACTGACCAAAATTATTTTTGTTGTGCATGGTTCTATAGCTGTGCATGTATACACTAGCAATGACTGTCCAACTCTCTGTACAAAAGCACACATGGATGAAAATGAGGATGAGGAAGATGAAGATGATGAAACACAAGATTCGAGATCCCTATTCCACTAGCTGATGCTGTATTCCCTAGAACACATATTTAGATTTGCAAATGTGGCTGAATATTTTTTAAAAGAATATATGTATTGATGTACATAACTAGAAAAATTAATAAAATTGATCTGGAGGAACAAAAGGTCAAGAATATCAAGAGGACTCATGAAAATAAAATTTGAAAGAAGAGGTCTTAGTGGTACCAGATCTCAAGCAATAATATGAAGTGGTAATTATCAAAACATTTTGGTACTGGATAAGAATTAGAGTGGTTGACCAGTGGAATAGATTAGGCACACGATATACAGAAGCAACTGAGCACAGTAACCTAGTGTTTGATAACTAAAGATCCAAAGTATTGGGGGAAAAACTCACGATTTGACAAAAACTGTTGGGAAAACTAGAAAGTAGTCTAGTAGAAA